CCCCAAGGTCGCAGCGTCAAGTCAGCTAGTCTCCACGCCGAGGTCGGTACTACACGAGAGAGGATGCTCAAATCAAGCCAGCATGGGAAATAACGATTGCTAATGTGGTTTAAATTCACAGAAGGAGTTGTATGTGTATGATATTCGAGTAACGCACGATTCATCCTCCAGCACCTCGACCTCACTGGTTCCCGACACGCCACTACCCCCACGGTTATCAATTCCAAACGCCCCAAACTCTATAGACGATGTGCAAGCTATTTCGTCATGGCAGGGTTTGTATCAAGAACGTCGTGCATGGGCAATCAAGTTGGCAGAGGAATGTGCCCGCCTCAACTCCGAGGCTATGGCTCGATACGATGAGATGGATGTCATGATCAAGTGCTTGGACGCCGCCGTTGCAAACCTCGAGATCAGCGTCAAGCAGATTGAGCCCAAGTACAACGAGTTGAAGAAATGGGTAGAACCCGCCTTGGCAGAACACGAGAACCTGGCTTCCATGTGGGAACAACATATTCGGCTTGCTCAAAACACCCCTATATCGCCCGTCTTGGTCAAGTTCATGACTCAAGGGAAAGTGACCAAGGGGAGCGTTACCTTGGAGGACCTCATTGAGCCCGAGACGGCTAGGAAGGCTGCAAAGCTTGCCCCCACGGCCCGCCGTAGGTTTGTTGAGAAGGCCGCCACGTTGGACAAACTTGCGTCGCAAATGTATCAGGGCTTGGAGAAGCTGATTGCAGACTTTGACAAGATTATGAATCGTTCGGCTTTGGGTCACAGCACTGACACGGCTCAACTACTTGATGATATCGAAGCCGTGGTTAACCAGATTGACTCAGACTATCGCACAGCCCTGGGGTATAGCGGCTCCCAGAGAGACCTTGCACAGGCATCCAAAACAGCATCAAATCATACCGAACGACTAGTCCCATCTCTGAAGAAGAGGGCTAAGGAAATGGACGACTTAGTACAGTACGCCACACTGGCTCGAAATTCTATTGCCTCGGAATCAGTTAGCTGTATGCGGACCATTACCGATGTAACCTCCTTACATAGCAATGTGCGAAGCCAGATCAACGTTCTCAACCAGTCCGAGGACGACATGACCACCTTTGATTACCTCCGACTTATTCATCAGCTCCCATATATGTATGCATCATTCGTTGTCGAGGCGATCCGTCGGCGTGAATGGGTTGACAAGGTCAAAACTGACTCTTCCACTCTTGCCAACGAAATGGCGCTGTTTCAGGATGAGGAGTCTAAAAGGCGAAGGAAATGGCATAAGATGGTGGGAAGCATGTACGGGCCGGCCTTGGATTCGCATGTTATGGGCCTTGAGGTGAATCTTCTGGGAGAAGACTTGCCCTGGCCGTCAATAATGAAGGATGATTTGAACACGTTCGTCCAGACCCTCCAAGAACAAGAACCAGATGAAGCCATTCTCAAAGACATTGAAAAGCTCGTTCAAGAACTCAACAGTCCCACAAAGCAGCAGTCAAGACGGCTCAAGGCATTTAAGAATGGCAGTGTCCACGAAGCGGCTCTAGGCAGAAGTGGGCTTATGATTCGTGGGGATGATGATCTTCTTCGCTCCTTGCAGGACGACAAGTGCAAGATGGAAAGCAAGCTGAGGACGGCCGAGAGCAGAGTCAGACGTCTTGAGGACTTGCTCCACAGGCAAAGCCAAGCATCCCGGCCCAGTAACTTGTTCCAACCTCAGAATCAGCAGCCGCACGAGCGGCGAGATTCAAGTTCCTCTGTCAGATCGAATCGACTAGATGATCGTCGGCGATCTTCCGATGGAGCTGACCCTCTTCTACGAAGAATTACCCAGCTAGAGAATGAGCTTCGGGAGGAGAAGCAGAAGTCGACTCGCATCCAGAAAGATCTCAGCACCAGAGCAACGGAGCACGACGACATGAAAGACCAGATACAAGAAGCCAATTCTACCAAGAAAGACCTGCTTGGAAACATGGAGGCTTTGAAGCGCGAGTTCCTGGAGGAAAGAAAATCTTTGGAGGACGAAATCAAGACGCTCAAGGCTCGTCTGGAAGAAAATGAAGATGAGATGGAACACTTTGACGCGTCTCGCGAGAATGAGAAGGCTGCATTCGACGGGCAGATTCAAGACTTCGAATCACAAATCGAAAAGTTGGCCAAGGAGAAGACGGATGAGGCTTTGAAAGCTCAGGGTCAGGTCGAGTACCTTCGGAGAGAAGCGCAAAAGCACCTTGAACAGTTAGACACGTCTATACGACAAGTACAAGAAGGCAATGAGGAAATAGCCATACTATCAAAGAAGCTCCGGGAAGCGGAAGAACTTACCCAAAGTCAACTCGATTCACTCCACAAAATCCACGTCGAATTATGTCCCGAAGAAGCGGCTCCTACTGATTTGTCAGATCTGACAGAGATGACTCTGTCCCGCATTGCCAACCTGGCAGCTAAATTACAGAACACTGAGAGTGATTCGGCTATGACCAAGGCGGATCTAGAGCATGCTTTGACATCCGTCAGGGAATTCAAGGCAGAGATAAGTGATACAAAGACGAAGCTCGCCAAGGAAGAAGACGGCGCGGTACAACTGCGCGAGGTTGTGTCCGAGGAGAAATCTAGGGTGGCTGCTCTTGAGAATGAGCTTACAATCGCCAGAGATGACCTCAGTCAACTACGAGCGAAATTGTCCGCCGGCGAAACAGGTTCCGAAACGCTACAGAAAAAGCTTGAATCGGCGGAGAAGAAAGTTAGCCAACTGAATGAAGACCTAGCATCTCGTCAGTCTCAAGTTGGCAGTCTGGAGGAGGAACTCCACTCCATTAAGCAAAGAATGGAAGACATGCAAACCAAGTCTTCGGACTTGACCGCGCACTATGATACAAGAGATACGCGAACCAAGGACCTCACTCAGAGACTCTACACTCAGAGCGAACGTCTCACACGCCTCCTCGAACGTTGCGGATACATTGTTGCGAGAAAGCCAGGGGAGATGACCATCACCAAAGTTATACGGTCGGACCGGGCTACTCAGAACCCCAACGATTCTTCGGATCCTGGGAATTCCGCACGTCGTTCCATTAGCCTGAGCACAAAGTCGATGGTGGATAGTGCGGATCTGGAATTGATGTACTGGATGAATGCCAGCGACGCAGCTGCTGAGTCGGAGAAATACAATGCATTCCTAGAAAAGCTTGGGTCGTTTGACATAGAAGCCTTCTCTGAAACCATATACATGAGAATCAAGGAAGCAGAGCACAAGGCTCGAAAGTGGCAACGAGAAGCCAGAGCCTACAGGGATCGCGCGCATACTCAGCAAAAAGACGCGCACGAGAAGATTGCATTCAAGAACTTCAAAGAGGGCGATCTAGCCCTGTTCCTGCCTACGCGTAACCAGCAGGCAGGCGCATGGGCAGCTTTCAATGTTGGATTCCCGCACTACTTCCTCCGTGAAACAGATGCGCACCGTCTTCGCCATCGAGAGTGGCTTGTGGCAAGGATATCTCGTATTCAGGAGCGGGTAGTTGACCTGTCCAAAAGCCTTCAGCCAGCGAATGATTCCGAGTCTATCAATGACGATGAGAATGACAACCCCTTCCAGCTATCAGATGGCCTACGATGGTATCTCATCGATGCACAGGAAGATAAGCCTGGCGCACCATCAACACCCGGAATGGGCAAATCAACTGTTGCTTCCAATAAAGTTGAAGCAACGGCCGACATTCAGTCTCTTCCGATGAAGGTCAGGGGCAAGAATCGAGACAGCATCGCGAGCATTGAGGGGATCAACAAGAGCCTTTCAAAGAGTTTGGAGAGCAGACGCAGCAGTTCTGGGTCGAAGAAGGCTCTGCCGTTCCCAACGGCTGGCGGGACAGCGTTGCTGAAAAGTAGTGCCTTGGCCAGCGAAACAAACTCCCTCCGAGCCGTTGCACCAGATTCCCCAGCCGGAATGAGTCCCGTGCAAGCAGGGCCATTGTCAAACGGCCAGTTTCAAGCCAGCAACTCTGAAAATACGACAAGCCCGGAGACACAAAAGGACACGTCTGGCAATGAAGGAGGCGGTCTGCAGCCTAGAGAGTCGTCAGCACAGGGAGCCGCAGGAAGTTCTTCCGAGGTACGAAATGTCGACTCCCTGCTAGGCTCGTAAATGTTGCTGATCGCCATGTACGCAGGCCCGTATGAGTGTGCGACGGGAAGATTCAGCAGGAAGCCAGTCTAAGAAATCGGTGTTGTGGGATTCCCTGTGGAGCATGGACTATTTATATGAAGGTCCAGTGAAGAAATAGCGAGGCAGGAGTGGTGGTTCGCCACGAAGAGTTGGAATACAAACGGGTGCATTTAGACTACAACTGCTGTAAAAATAAAGCGCCTGGGATGGTGTTGGCGTCATGGTCAAGCTGCATTGGGAAAGGCGTTTCCTGCTTTCCTACCTGATATGTTGGGGCTCTTTATTACGTTCCGGTTCATGTTTTAGTTATGTGTACAATCCTAGGGATGGCTGTTCCATGTTGGCAAGTGAGCAAATTGGGCGGATATTCTTGTTCCCTGGTTGCCCAGTTGCATCATCGATGGTACGTAGTAAGGGGTAGGTTGTGTTTAGTATAGAAGCTTCAGATACCAATTATGCGAGGGTTTACCTATAAAGGGGGATGTTTTCTGCTCGACGTTCAGTTTGGCGATGGAATTACGAATCGTGGAGGACCAGGGTCTGACTGAGACAGTGCACAGTGCAGCGCAGCGTCAAGACGTTCATCTACGGTGCTTACCTCAGCTCATTCCACACTGTGTAGCTTAAACACCCACTTGACTCGCTTCTCCCAAGTTGGCAGACGATAGACTCATTCACTCGCATCAACCACCTATGCTGAGCAAGCGAGGATAATCGCATTCTCGGTCGGGGGTTTCCGACTCGGTGACCCTCCCCAACCGAGCGGCATCTCTTCCCCACAGGAGCACTTGAGCAAAAATGAGATTGATGTTGATGCTAGTCGTCTATGCTTCATGTCATGGAGCCCGTGGCTGAAGCTCCTCCAACCTCCGCCATCGAGGTGCAGCACGCAAGTCTGCCGCCGGAGCTCATTTTGCACATCATCGACTGTCTACTCCCATGCACGCCGCACATGATTCTCCCCCCAAAACACCCGTCCACCAAGACCTTTGTCTCCTTCACCACCGTCTGCCGCGCCACCTACACCCACGCCTCGCGACTCCTCCGCCAGCATTGCGTACACATCGACTCCAGCCAGCGTCTCGCCACCTATCTCCTCTGCATCCCGCGCCTGGTGCCGACCCTGCCGCCTGTCCTGTCACTCCGGAACATCACATCTCTCTACCTGGCGCCGTTTGGGCCTTCGCTCGACGACCAGCCCACGGCCGAATGGGTGCGCGAGCTCTTCTGCGAAGTGTGCGACTCCCTCCGCCGGCTCGTCGTCCACATGCCCTTTGCCAGCCTCGACCCTCTCGACGACCATCTCAACGTGCGGAGGACGCTGCGCGAGGGCTTCGAACAGCTCACCAAGGTGGAGGAGTTCACGTGTCTGGCGGAATACCCAGCCCTGAGCGTGCCCGATGCACACACCGACGTATGGCGCCTATGGCCAGACCTCAGGCGCCTCACGCTGTTTGGGGTGCCGCTTGACAATCACTGGCTTTGGTGGGATATAGCTACGCTCCCGGACCTGAGGCACGTGGTGCTGGCGCAGCCGCAGAGGGTGGACGCGGCGGACATCAAGGATGAGTATTTTCACAAGCTGCCCAGGAACGACCCTCGGCTGGGGAGGAAGATTCGCATTGTACTCTTGGATGCGGCGTACAAGATTGGGACAGTGAGAACGACAAGGTGGAAAGAGGTTGACCCCGAGGCAAAGATGGAGGTGGAAACGTACGAGGTTCCGAGGCCGTTTTACGGGGACGAGAGTGATGAGGAGCTGGTCACAGAGTGGGTGAGGAGGGGGGCTTTGGATGGCACGTTGTGGGAGTGGAAGGGAAACAGGGTGAGTTGACGGGGGATGACGAAGCTGGAGCATATAGAGCATGTGTTTGACTTTGAGGCGGTGGTTGGATGCTCATGCTTGATGGATATAGTACTGCAATATAGCGTGTATAGACGGGCATGCGCCATGGTTGGGCCCAGAGGCAAAGGCAGCATGTCACGTCACGCGCAAAATAGTCTACTAATTTAAACCATGTCGACCTATGCAACGCACTGTTCAACCGTCGGTCGGTCGATCGGTGGTCGATGTTGATCTGCGGACAGTGGAGGGGTCGCGCAGCCGCATCTCGACAGACGACGATGGGTGGCAGACCAGTCGGCCAAGTTAGGCACTGCTTACCCCGCCAAGTCGGCGTGCGTCGAGAAGAACAAAATCCGGAGGAGCAGCGCCCTCTTGCGCCGTCGACTAGGTGGTTTGCATCACGGCGGAGCCAATGGGCGTGTGCAGGTGGCGCGGGCAGGCGTTGTGGGTGTGGCAGGATGCGGCCTTTGTTTTCTAGAAGATCTGGAACATTGTTTATTGTGCAGTACGGAGTAGTACGTATGTATATCACTTCGACAATACGGCATACGGCGTACGGCGTACGGAGTAACTGGTAGTAGTATAGTACGGAGTACCTAGGTAGCTGTGTGGTTCTCCGAATGGAGAAATGGACCACGGCCACGCGGACGTGAGAAAAAGTGAGCGCCAACATGGACGCTTGACCCGCTGCGTCGGGACGAGCAGAAAGCCTCTCGCCAAACAAAGCCGTCTCTCCACCTGGCTCAGGGCGGAGGACCTCGATTGACCTCATCCCCTCGTCGAGCCATCCGCTACATGTACTGCTACTTAAGTACTAGTAGTAGTAGTAGTAGTAGTAGTAGTACTAACTAGAGGCCTGCTTACTTAGACCGAGCATGGCCACGTCGACCGAGTTCAGATTCAAGTCAAGTCAATATCTTCGGCCTCATCGCCACACCCGTCAACCCCGTCAACCCCGTCAACCCCCAGCCTTGGAGCCGTGTCCTGTCCATGTCCAGTTGGATCGGAGGCGTCCAACCATCGTCCATTCTTCTCTGGCGCTCACCTTTCCGTTCCTCTTCCTCTCCTCGGCTCGCTCCTCCGTCATCGAGTGGTTCTAGGCAGCACAATAAAAAAACTCTCCGGTTTGCGCCGCGCCATGAATCTGCATCCAACGTCGACGACCCCCTCGCAGACCTAATTTTGCACTTGGCGACTCTTTTTGTTTTGAGCGGCACATGACATTGGGCATTGCTTGTTTCGTCTTTTTTTTTTCTTCTTGATTTTCTTTTTTTATAAACCTTCCACCAAGCCTTCGCCCCGGCCGCGCAGTATACTACTGCATACATCCCTAAGCCGAGGAATCCGAAACTCCGATTGAAAAGAGCACAAAAGAGGCGCGCGCACACCAACAGCTGCCACCCCGGGCTCCCGCCGCCTACCTGCGAACCATGCCCGACAAGTCGTCGACGGTCGTATCGTATGCTGCCGGAGCTTCTCTCGCCGCCGTTGCCCTCATCTACGTCTTCGGGCCTAACTTCACCATCGACCATGAATCGAGCCCCAAGAAGAAGACCGTCGTAGGTCTGCGGAACCAGGCCAACGACTGCTTCATCAACTCTGTCCTCCAGGCCCTCGCCGGCCTTGGCGACCTCCGCGTCTATCTCATCCGCGAAACCCACCGCCGCCGCATCGAAGATGCCGCCGTCTACGCCAATCTCGTGCAACCCGAGGGCACCGCCAGGCTGGAGCAGTGGAGGCTGCAGGGCCTGCAGGACGGCCTGGTCACCCAGGGTCTGAAGGAGATGCTGGATGCCCTCAACGAGCGGCCCATCTACAAGAAGTCGGTGTCGCCCTTCCCCTTTGTCAAGGTACTCGAGGTTGCCTTCAAGCAGCGCATCAGCAGGCAGCAACAGGACGCCCAGGAGTTTCTACAGATTGTCGCCGAGCGTCTCAAGGATGAGTACCACGCCGGCCAGCGGGCGAGGTTTCACGCGCGCAAGAATGGGCTGTTGCGCGCGGCTACGAGTGGCACGGATAGCCCCCTCGATGGCGGCGCCCAGGACCGGGACGAGGATGCAACCAACGGCGGCGCAAACGACGTCAATGGGAACGATGATGGCGAGTCCGGGGCACGTTCGCCGAGCTCGCAAGAGGCACCTGGTCCCCAAATACAGCTGCAAATCCCGCTGGAGCTGGAAGAAGGGTTCCCCATGGAAGGCAAATACGAGTCGCATCTGGAGTGCCAGACGTGCAGGTACAAGACGAAGCCCAGGGAGGAGACGTTTTGCACCTTGACCCTCGCCGTTCCGCAGGTCTCGTCGACGTCACTAAACTCGTGCTTCGACGGCATCTTCAAGACGGAGTACATTGACGACTTCAAGTGCGAAATGTGTCGGCTGATGCACGTCAAAGCCAACCTGGAGCACGAAGTAGCCCGATCCAACTCGGAGAGCTTTATAGCCCAGGCCAAGGAGAGCATCGACAAGCTGCAAGCGGCCATCGACACGGATCCCGAACAGCCCCCCGAGGGCGTAGACCTGGGCGACATTCGTTATGCGCCGAAGCGCAGGATAGCAAAAACGACGCGCATGTCCATCTTTCCCAAAATCCTGGCCATCCACCTGTCACGGTCCATCTACGGCATCGGTCAAATGACGCAGAAGAACTCGGCCAAGGTGGCGTTTCCCGAGGAGCTGCCGCTGGGAGGGCTGGCGGACCAGCACAAGTACAAGCTCCTCGGCACCGTGACGCATCGCGGCGGCCACAACAGCGGCCACTACGAGGCCTTTAGGCGGCAGAACCAGCCCTCGCCGTACCACAACACAAACACCTTCCAGCAGTCCGACGTCTACAGCAGGACGCCCACGCCCGCGTCCACGCCCGAGATGGCCGCCCGCCCGACGCTCAGCCCGGCCATCTCGACACCCGACCTGCTCTCGCCGTCCCCGGCGACCAACTCTTCCACGCCGTCGCTGGTGTCCATGGCCGCGCCGCCTCGCAGCGTCCCAGCCGAAACCACTTCCTCCTCCTCCCCCGGCTCGTCCGCCGGCACCCCGAGGGAAAAGGACACCGACACCGCCAGCCTCCGCTCCGTCGCGGCCTCGACCAAGTCGGCCCTCTCGAAGCTGGCGTCCTCCAAGGCCCCGGACCTCAGGAAACTCTCCTCCAATGGGATCCCCAAGAGGCCGAGGCGCCGGAAGCCAGCTGCCGACAAGTGGTGGCGCGTGAGCGACGAAAAGGTCCGCGAGGCCAAGACCAGCGAGGTCCTCAGCATGCAGAGGGAGGTGTATTTATTGTTTTACGAGCTAGAGCGGTGAATCCCGCCCTGTGTTGTTGGGGAAGGGAACCGGGGGAGATGTGCATAGTACATGCATGGTCTTGTATATAGCACGTGGCCTCGTCAACCGTCAGGGCCCACGCTGGCGTTGTTGTTTTAGTATACATACATACATGTGCATGGAACGGGCGTCTGGTTTCTCAATTCAATTTCTTTTTCAGCAGTTTCAAGAAAAAGAAAAAGAAAAGAAGGCATGGGGAATTAAATCCTTGGTAGTGGCGTGTATATACGAATTTATCTGGACAAGAAAAGAACAATGGCTTTTTTTAAAATACAGTACAATAGCATTTTCCATGTTCTTTTGTCATGATGCTTGATCGACGCTGTTGGGTGTCAGGGCAAAAAGAAACGAATATTGAAACAAAACACCCGTCAGCGACTAATAAGTGGATAAGTGGCTAGTCCACTCAATTGCCAGCGGGTAAGTGTTTAATTACGGCATGTAGGTACTAGTTCTGCGGGTGGATACTGCCACTCCCCTGACGGGGGAGGACACGCCGCCCAAAAACTTGCCTGTATCACAATACATTACATCGAGACAGACGGAGAGAGATTCTGGGGCTGGCTGCTAGAAACCAGCTCTTTTTTTTTCCTTTTCGTGGCCGCCAGGAGCCAGGATGATCTCGTTGCCCATTTGACCTGCGTCTTTTTTTCTTCTTTCCCTTTTGCCAGTTCTTTTTTTTTTTTTTTTTTTTCCAAACACAGCCCCCCGTCAGGTATGCCTGTCCGTCGACGGAGTCGCCTTGGGCCCCTGGCCGTCATGGCCCTCGTGGTGCTGACGGTGCTCTTCGTCGCCCTGCCCCCGGACTCGCCTGCCGTGCTGGCGGTGGTGTTCAACTCGGCGCGTCTTGGGTCGGCGCTGCGGCCGGGCAATAGGGATGCGTGGCTTCGCGAGCGAGCGCGGCATCCGGTGCACCTGGCGAGCGAGGTGGGGTGTCTGATCAAGACGGGGTACGGGACGAGGCACCGCGTCCGGGAGCAGCTGGCTGCGTTTGCGGTCAAGGGCGGCGTGCTGGGCGACGAGGGGAGGGATTACCTGGTCGTGGGGGACTGGGAGGCGGCCAACGGCACCGCGGGGGGGGACTTGGGCGCGGCGGTTGTAGATGCCGTCGGGCTGGTGATGCGGGACGAGAGGGTGGCCGAGTTCGCGGACCATGTGCGCTTCGGCAAGTACAGGAGCTTGAGCGCCGCGGTGGGGGCCGGCGATGAGGTCAGGGCCGGCGAGCTGGGGGCAAAGTTTGGCTGGGAGCTCGATGCGTTGAAGGTGAGTGCTTCGAGATTCTATGCCATGTCGTTGGGTTTTGGGGGAGGGTTGATAGAATGGCAGGTGGCGGGTTGAAGGAAGAGGGACCTCTCTAACTAACTATTTTCTGCAGTTCATCATGGGCATGGAACTATCGTACAAGAGGATGCCGCACAAGAAGTGGTACCTTATCCTGGATGACGACACATTCGTGGTCAAGGAGTCCCTGGAGCTGCTGCTCAGTCACTTGGACCCTTCGAAACCGCAGTATGTGGGCAACGCGGTGGGCGATTACAGGGCGCGATTTGCTCACGGCGGATCAGCCGTCATTATCTCCGGCGAGGCCATGAGGATACTCTTTAACAGGCCAGACATCGTGCGAGAAGCCTACGTTCGCTCGTTGGACGAGACGTGGGGTGATAGACTGGTGGCAACGACGCTACAGAGGATTGGCGTTTACATCGACGAGCGGTACAGTCACTATTTTAACGGGGAGGCACCTGACATGACAAGGATTCGGGAAGATCGTGTCTGCTCGCCCATTGTTTCTTTCCACGGGCTCCGGAAACCTGGTGCCATGGTCCATGCGGGCACGACATTGGGCAGGATGAGAAAGCCGGTACTTTGGGGCCAGCTGTGGGAGTTGTTTGGCCAGACACCTCTGGAGTCGTTTGAAAACTCACCTCTGAGAGGGGGAGACCATGTTGGGCCTGGTGAGGAAGAGATCAAGGTCTGGCAAGGCATCAAGAAGGCACAAGATTGCCAGCGTAAGTGTAAAAGCCGGTGCCTGGCGTGGACATATGATTCGCAAAGTCGCCAATGTCGTGCGAGTCCATGGCTCATTGTTGGACCACGGAACAGCGCCGGCGAGGTATCTGGGATTAATCTGTCGGCGGCGAAATCTGCTTTTCGAAAATGCTCTCCTGTAGGCTGAGGGCAACTTTGCTAGAGCTGGTGGTTTTGCCAGCCTTGGCGCGATTCCCAGCTGTGTTGAATATTGGATACTATAGTAAAGCGTGCATCGTTGGGTGTTGGGCCGGTGTGATTTAGATATGGGGATAATACAACTGTGCATGATAATGTCAGTCTGATGTAATAGCCAATGTTAGGCTATTTTACAGGGCACAGCGTTACCCGTGTCTGACCACACGAAATCGAAAAGGTCGGAATGCTCAGTGCTGTCTTGTCTGTATGGAAAAATGAGTTACATACATACACAACATACATGGCCAAGCCCACCTGTGGTTCCTCCGGGCCACGTCCTCGGTCGAGCTCGTGATTATTACCTACGTACGGAGTATAGTACTTCTACTACTACCTAATAGTATTACACCCACCGTATGGGGTAATTATTGGATGGATACTCCGCACGCAGCGAGCGAGCGAGCAAGCCGCACGACACGGGGCGCGCGTGGTTCTCGCTCGCCTACGGAGTACTCCGTACAAATTAAAGATTGACGCGCATGGCGATCCAGATTTCTCCCCCGGCAATTGAGCCCGATTTGCGAGCTGTTGGTTGTCGGCATCGATTGTCGGATTCGTATTGTGCTTTACAATGCACCGGACACCAACTGATGTTGCAGTTCAACCAACCCGAACTGGGTGTCCGTCGGTTCTCAGGGGTACGGCGAGCTTTTTATCGCGTGCGCATGAATAAAAAAGAGGAGCTCGTGTAACGTTCGGTGCGCGAGTCCCGTTATTGCACCCATGGGCGTCACATTAAGACAGCGGCGAGTCGGTCAAGACAGATGAGCACGGGCTGATGGATTGTGATAGATCGATAGCGTCGGAGATGAAGGGAAAGGCCAGCGACCGAATACGCGTCAAAGCAACATTCGCACGTAATGGAGCATGTTGCTGCCAACAGACGTCGTTTTGTGTTTTCCAGCCTCGTGGTTCCGGGTAGCCAACCCTGGCGTATCCGACTTCCAATCTTTCTGGATGTCTTTGACCGAATTTGTACCTGGGTGCTCCGTGGAGCACAGGAGTCGAGGGATCCATCCGCCGCCATCCCTCCCCCCAGGGTCGGAACCAAGCGGCGCCACTCGCCCGTCGTCCAAAGAAAATAGAGTATTCTGTACGGCAAAGACTGCTGCCGACGACCTGCGGCTGGCTTCGCTTAAGCACACATGTATAATTGAGGAGTCACGCGGGGATTCTGCTAGTGCTTCCGTCTGGTGGGCGAACGGTGTTCCCCGTCCCCCAAGTGGCTGTGTTAGGAAAGGGGTTTTCCTGTAGATTCAGCAGACTCGAGTCACTCGACTCTGCTCACTGTACGAATTGCTCCGTAAAACATGCTCTGTTGGGTTTGGCCGTTCTTTTGCCTCCTTTTGCCTCCTTTTGCCTGTCTTCCCCACAGCGGCAGGACCGAAGTGACGCCTGGCAGGGAATATGGGCATGTGCCATATGCCTTATTAGTTCCCACTCGTGACTGGGCCGCAATGGGATATGAAATGTCTCCGTGCACAAGGTTTAGCCAGGGCTGGTTATGATAGGGGGTCTTGAGCTGACAGAGTCCGCGATATTAGCTTTCGCTTGTACAGAGTCTTGAAGCGTGGGTCCGATGACGATGGGATATACTGACTCGTATTCATGTGAGGTCTACGTGGCAACTATACCAGTTGGATGATGTGATCAAGTGATATAAATGTTGGAAAGACTGGCCGAGTGGCACTGGTGATAGGGCGACGGGTTGGGAATACTATGGCTGCTGATGTATGTACAATGTTGAGCCTTGGTCTCTCTCTATCCCAGCCAACAGTTCAAGCATCAGCCACACTGCTCTGAGCTGTCACTGGCGGCACCAAAGCTCATGCACGTACAAGCCTCATCTTGGCCATGCACCGCCACATTTTTTCTGTTCATTTTTTCTCTCGCTTTTGCAAGTAGCGACAGGCTGCTGGCCACTTCACGCAGGCACATTTCCAGTAACGATGTACAGACACAAGCGGCAGCCGTTCTCTGCACCAGTGGACACAAGCATGGAGCCCTGGGAGCCTTGTACCTTGTACCTCTCAAGCTCCAGTCTTCCCGCGGGCGCATGTAACTACGACTTGAGAATGTAAAGTACTTAACTTAGTCGTCTGGGTTAGCGTTTTTGAACCTATTCCACATAACTCGACATTGGGGATTGCTTCAACGCTTTCAACTGGGGCGCCCCAGCCAGCTACCCCGACTGTCGCCCGGACCTGGAATTCATGAGCATCCAGACGAGACGATCCTTTTCCATCTCTCTTCCCTTTCAATTATTGTTCTTTGTCCACCGCAGTGGCACCCCTGTACTAGATCTCTGGGCCGGCGCGCAAAAGCAAGGCGGCAAGGCCTGGCCGACCACGGTTGAGCAAGGCTTCCTCTCCCAACCCTAGTCAGGGCGTGTCTCGCGCTGTCTATCCGGATCCCGTCAAAGTCAACTGTGGACTTCTTCACGCCCAATCTTGCCATCTGGACGCCCCTTGTGTGACGGCTGCGGTCAACCAAGGCCGTCCTTTTACTGGGCCGTTGTACCCTTTTGAATTTCGTCTGCTGCTACCCGCTGTTGAGCTTCCCATGTCGTCCGATAAGCTCCATAAATTTTCCAATTAAAAAACACTCCCCCAAGAGGCCATGTCTACGGACGACAAGAGCATGGCTCAGGACGCCGGTGCTGGTGTTGGCTCTGATCCAGCTCCAGCAGCTCCTGGCAATGCTGCGACCTCTGGTGCTACTACCACCACCTCAAGTCCTTGTCCCAATCCTGATATCGCCACGCCCGGTACCGCTGCTGTTGCTTCTGTGGCTGCTACAGCTGCTCTGGCAAGCTCAAGTGCCGTTCACAGCCCTCCATCAAGGCCAATATCTCCTTCTCAGTCCCCTTCAGCACCTGCAGAGTTGACGATTTCGACTACACCCACGACGACGACTGCCGCTACACTCCCAAGTCCGACTGCAGGCCCGGCACCGGCATCAAGTATCGACTCAAAGCCTGCCGTACCGACCTCGTTATCGCCGTCCGAATTGCCTGCTACTCTCGCCGCCGCTCCTGCTCCTGCTCCTGCTCCTGCCTCACCATCTCAGCAGAACGGCCGCAGTGAGGCGCCCGAGGCCGACTCAGATATGAACAGCTACAGACCCGTTCTGACGGCCCACAATGGGCTTCCCGTGAGCTATTCGACTACCACAGCCACGGTATCGACGTCTTCGCACCTCGCCGCTAGCCCTCCCGTCACCTCTGGCTACGCCTCACCTACTGGTATCTCGACTGTACAATATCCATCCTACCCTACGAGTACGACAGTATCACATCCGTCTGAGAGTTATAGAGTCAGCCCAGTCTCAAGCGGCAACACATTGTCTTTGCCGAGTATGCGAACGATCGATTCACTTCCTCAGCAAAGGCCTGGCCAACCACAAATGCCACATCATGCCATGTCAATAAGCATGAATCCTTCTTTGACTTCTGTATCTAGTGGTCCAACAATCTACCCCCCTCACCATACCATGTCCGTACCCTCAAATTACGGGCTGCCTTCAGATTCTGTACCTCGTTACCCCCTACCTCACGACCCCAGGATTCTTGGCAGCAGAGGCCCAAAGAAGGTACGTTTATAGACATTGAGGAGCGAATATGCGTCAATCCTAATCAACGGCTCTCTCGGAATCTGTGTTGGACTCGATAGTTGGACTGACTCGATGCTTTGCAGGAAATCAAACGTCGAACCAAAACGGGTTGTCTAACATGTCGCAAGCGTAGAATAAAGGTATTCACCAGTCCACTTGTTTCGTTTACGATTCTATTTCCCCTCCATTATAGTTTTATATCTTCCAGCTTCAATCCAATCCTTGCAGTTGCTCCCATCAGTTGCCATCAATCCTCGTCGCTGCAGCACTAGTCAGATTTTATGTCTGACCTTGCTCCGATGCGGAGGGAGCTCCAAAAGTTAATCCGCTGCGCAAAGTGGGTCAGGGAGCTCTCTTATTGTCTGACCTCTTGCACAACATGTTCCCCCTCCATCACAAAACCATTTCTCTCAATTCGCCAATCTGGGCGCCAATGTCGATGTCTAATTCATTTGCTAACGCACTGATAAAACTGTTGGAACTATAGTGTGACGAGACACACCCCACCTGCAATAATTGCAAAAAGTCGAAACGAGAGTGTTTAGGCTACGACCCCATCTTCCGACAGCAACCAGGTGCACAGCCTAATTCTCACATTCAACCTGCTCCAACAAGTCAGCCAGTGGCGTCGTCATCTGTTTCTCCTTCAGTTCCAGCCCATTCGAGTGCTGGAATCGGCCACCTGCCTGCGACCACGAACACATACGGTAGCCAGCCGTCGATGCTTGCAAGTTCCTATTCAACCACATCCCCACCGTCAACACTTTCCTCGTCCTCGGTGGCACACACCGTTTCGTCCAATTATAACTCGCCAGCTTCCGCCAGCGCAACGCCAACTATCAAGCAGGAGCCAGGGTTTGATTTTGCGACTCCTTTTGATCCAGCTAGTAGGCACTTGCCACCCCCGACTGGCCCTGACATCAAGCCATACGACTACAAGACATTGACAGCCGCGGACAGCAGCCATCACGCGACATGTATGTAAATATGCCACACAGTTTTCAGATCCTTGCTGCGGGTATGCCAACTGACTGCTTCTTAGCTAAGAAGATGAAGATCAACGAGATAATCGATTCGCTCGGTCCGCCCCCTCCCCCGCAACAGATAAGCCATACCGAGGAGACTTTTAACGAAATCACAAAAGTTTATCATGAGATGTATGCTGGTGGATTAAGCGCTTTTCTGGAGACGACATGGTATTATTTTGTTGATAATGGCAAGATGTCCTTCCCCAGAGATGCCAATCTTATCGAGCACATGGCGACCTTTCTCAAAATCTTGGAAGCTGTTAGAGCGAATGACCATTCGCAGATGGCTTATTCCGGAGTGTTGGAGACGAGAATCGTGTGGGAGCTTGCTTGCACTGCGTATCGGATACCTGATGCAACAAATCAGGCAAACCGTGCGAACATGCCACCGGAGGGCGATGCCACGGAAGCAAGAAACCGCCTGCGCGTGGTTGAAGCCTTGCTTTGCGGTGAATATCTAGTCACCAACCCTCTCGCACCACCGCTGCAAGACCCAGATACCCAACGTACTCGCCAGTTCGACTTTTGGTATAGTCTGGCGGAGTTTGTGCGAAAGCAAGACTTGCCTGGTTCGCATCAGGCCCTCAAGGCCAGAGAGGATGCACTGAGTAGAATGAGACACTTGCTGGATGGGAGAGAAAATCGTGATGTGCTTTATTCTATAGCCGTCGTTCGCGAACTTGCACCGTATTACGGTCCCAGCTATGGAAATACCCCCCAGTACGCCGATGAGACTGATCCAAAGAATCGACTTGCAGTCGCATCGAAATTCATCTTGGACGAAGCACAAGTTACTGGTGGCACTACTAATGTGGTGCGCCGATTCAGTGATATTGCGTCCCGAGCCTTTGTCAACCCCGGGGTCAACGTTGCACGCAGAACCGGTTAAGGCATAGAGGAGAATTGGTAATGAATACATTCGCCACACATACCATATAATTCAGCATACAAGCGATCCTCTCGGCGTTTCTTTCATCTGTTCTTTTTGATTTAACACAGCATTTGGAAAGCATTGCGAAGGTTTATAAAAAGTGTTTCCCATGTTTATTCACGGCGTTGGGCTTGAAAGCGAAACTGCGCTTGGGTCATCTTGATCAAACATATATTTCTTTTAGTACCGCAACTTCTACTTCGTCAGCATATTTCACAAGCCCCGGCGTTTCGAGTAACCATTGCCTTGTTGGTTTACTACGTCCGCTGTTGTATTATTACAACCTCATACTGTCGGTGCACAGGAAATGGGGACTGGAGATGGGATGTCTCGCCTTCAAAAGAGAAAATTTCATTTTGTAACAAATGGGAATTCGGGTGTGTTGTTTTCTTTGAGGCTCAACTAGATAAAGGAAAGGTACGATATGGGATAGAAGAATTATTAATGCCAACAATGTGGCTGATGGAGACTTAGAGAATAGATAGAATACTTGATCAGTATCGGGGTCACTCGACGTACATTTTAATTTTCAGCTTTTTGTGAGCATGATGGATACGATAAAACTAAAGGACGTGACCTTGATGAGATTGAACAGCACCCTGGAGAAGCAGGCACTTTGTACTCTGTATTGTCTAGCAAGGTAACTATTTAACCCATATTCGAACCCAACGCCGAATTTTCTGCCATGGATATCTATAAATACACATCCTTAACCATTTTTGATGATATAAACTCCGTCTCATCTTTGGTGTCCAAAATCAGTGCAGCACAAACAATAACCACCGCTTAAGCAATATGCAGCAATAAGCCTAAAAGCTGCCAAACCAAATGCTGTCATCTGGCCTCATACCAGACATGACGCCTTCAAATCCACACATTGCTCTATGCTGGGGGTCAACTTTCCATCCACTTACTGCTTCGCTTTGTACAAGTAACTGCATCACCATGCCCGATTCGGAGTGCCACGTATTGTGGCAGTGAAGCGCCCAAACGCCAGGGTTGTCGAGGACAACGCGGATTATGACCCAGGAGTAGGCTTCCACGGTGACAGTGTCCCGGCGAAGGGGGTTCTCTGGCATGCCACCGTGTTGTTGTAGGTATTTGTCCAGCGTCGCTGATGTAGGGGGATATCCGCTCCTAGCTTGAGCAATGATGAAAAACTTGTGGCCGTGGAGATGGAAAGGGTGTGCGCCGTCGTCAAAGTTGTTGATAGAGATGTCGACTGTACGTATGCCCTTGGTCTGAAGGACAAAATCGTTGTCCTTGTTGAATGCTTTGTCATTGATGGCTAATGGTGCTTCAAGGCTGGTAACTTCCGGCTTGGCATCGAGAAATCGATGGAGAGAAGGGTAGGTGGCGTTTGCATGCCAAGTGGATTCATTAAAGAAACCTCGAGCTAGACGCCAGGCTCCAATCATGAAGTTGGCTCTGAGGGGGACAAAGTCGTCAGCAGGAGGAGGGCTGATGTGCCGGACTGGATGTAGAGCTGATGTGTTGAGGTCACGACAGATGGTTTCGACGGCCTCCGACCAGTCCTTGCTTTGGGGATCGGCTGTAAGGGGCTTTGAGCTCGATGAGATGTACCGCAATATGCCTCTGATTTCGGGCTGTAATCGATCATTTTTGGTAGTGAAGCAGTGCGTGACCATTCTGGCTCGCAGCCAATATGCATCAGCAGTCGTGACGTTGGTTTCGACGATGACACTGTAGCGTTGACCAGGTGATATGTTGAGGCGATGGAAGGCTAAAGGATGAACATCTGTCCCATCAACCTCTGTGATATAGAATGGGTGCTCGTCAATCTGAATTTGGAATTCGGCAAAGGCTCCCACGTTGATGAATCGCAGACGATGCCGTTGGCCTGCAGTCAGGTCAAATATCGGCTCAGACGTGTTGCTGCTGTCGCAACGCCACCCGTCAAAGTCGTCACAATTTCGCACGCCACGACCGTTGATGAGCGCGTTATCTGGGACAGGCTCGTCATTTTCCTTGTCTGGTTGTAGATAATCCATTAACAACTCAGCCGTTGTGTTGTGGTAATGATCCTGGACCATGATGACTCTGTCCGTCGCGTAATCGACCTCTTGCAGTGTAAGCTCTTCCCGTGAATGAATGACGACAGGGCCCAACAAGCCATCCGATGCCTGAGCACTATGGTGGGCATGATACCAATATGTGCCGGATTGTCCACGGACAACAAACTTGTATGTAAAGTTTGAGTTGGGGGCAATGGGACATTGCGTGACACCGACAGTGCCATCCATCCAGTTGGTTCCATTCTGGAAGAGTCCGTGAAAGTGAATTGATGTAGAATTTGACGCCTTATTTTCCACGTTGACAACGATGGTATCGAATTCGTTACATTCTATCAAGGGACCGGGATATTGATTATTAACCAGAATCATCGATCGATAGACTCCATCTGGATTCAATTCAGCATCTGATATTGTCCAGTGATATTCCCGGGTGACCGGAGCAGCACTGCGATCCCACGATGGCGAAAGTACATATTCGGATGTGTCTCGCAGACGTGGCGTGCCGGAAATGTCTTTATGCTTCCAGTCATCGGTGTGGTCTGTGTCTTGATGGTCCTTTTCTTGGTCGTCGTGGGGACGAGTGTCAAGAGAGTCTCTTGTGCCCCTAGGTGGGAAGCTCAGTACAATTCCAGATACTAATCCCAAGATGATGGTGAGGAAGAAAATGAAGAGGCTCAATTTGCAAAATTCGTGCAGCCGTGAGGCTCGGCTGTTTCCGAGCCAGAAGGGTGGACTCGCACCTGCCTCAATTTCCTCCTTGTCTCCCGCTGCCTCTTGCCCAAGAAACGGCTGCTCCTCTGTCTGTCCAAGAGCCTCTACATCTTCTCCCGTGGACATTCTGTCGGACGAACCGCACCAGCACCAGACTGCAAGAGACCAGTGAATCACCTCCCAATATTGTTTCTCACTTTGTATCACGGCAGACAGCGGTCAAGTTGCATAGCTACCTCGTGCTGGTCCACGACGAACTGCGGACCTACGCTGCAGAACCACAAGCGATATTGCAGTTGACGCCGGCGACCAATGCAGTAAGCGATAAATCGGCTTATTCCACAGCGAGGGCCTCGTTCGAGAAGACGGCGGCCAAGGTACTCCGTACGGCCGGGACTAATAGCCTTGGTTAACCGTAGTCGCATGGAAAGTACCCAGCTGTATTCCACGGCCGACGACCGAGAAGAATTCTCAAGGGAGGTTGTTGCAAGACGCGCGTGATGGAGCTATCAGATGCAATTGGGTAGCATCAACACCAATCTTGAGACCCCCACCAAGCTGGGGACTGGAGCTGGATGGAGAGGTCACCAAGATAAAATGGTCCGTCAACGTGCTCAATTCGATGGACGATTGGCCTTCTTAGACGGATGAATCGGCACGCGACAGTGCATGGAACCCCTGCTCGATAGAGTGACCATCGCAAAAACTTGGTGGCCACACTCTCTATGTACCTCATCAAGGGCCGCACGCTTCGCAGCTAAACTTTAAGTTGCCAAAGGAACAAAGATTGAGGAAGGGCAGTACTCCCCTCTTCCCGCTACAGGAAAACCGTGAACCTTGACCACGATGCTCCATGTTAAAATTCGGCCCCACGTACGGAGAACTGGAACCTCGACAAATGGCCAGCCTTCAGGTGCCGATGTTCCATTCTGTAACCAGCTTCTCAACTTGGCTTTCTCGAGAAGCTCGGTATCAGTTCTTGTGACCTCAGCATGTCTCTCTTGTTTGGCCTAGTCACTCTTGAACTACAATGTTGCGAGACACTCCGGTAACTCCAGGAAAGTCAAGATGCCAATCACCGCCGACGAGGGGCCGAGATGTGGACCGAGCTGCATGAATAACCAGATTCTGGGGTACCGCGCCTAGGTATCCAGATTCGGAAACAAATTCCAGGTACTGCGTTGTACGGACGATACTCAGGGAGGGTTCAATTGAGAACGTAATATTGCTGACGTTACACAGTACCCGCAGGGTCGACTGATCTGCATTTGGACGACATTGGTCTCTACGGATAGAGTGCTAAGCTGTGTGCTCACAGAGTACATTCGCAGTCTTCCTCCGTCCGGCAATGGCGTAATCTTACTTCGTACATACTTCATTAGGACCTGCCATACTCAGCAAGGTGGGCCAGCAACCCTGCCGCCATGCCCGGCGTTACCAGACTAAAAGTGTTCAAGTCAGCAACTACGAATTAGTATGTAGAATGCTCGACTCCGTACTCCGTGTGGCCATGCATATTCGACGGAGCAGTACCCGCTCGAAGAAGATTGGGTGACTGTGTGCCTTATCGGAGCATACCGTTGCGCTCAGCTGGAGTGAGAACCAGTTCCTTTAAGTAAACGCTCCGCCCTGAAATGTCGATCGACCTTTACGGAGTAAACTGGCAGCTACCTGCTTCATTGTTTGTCAAGCCAAGTGCTTCAGGTTCGAAAGACTGAAGAAGCAGACATGTTGCTTCAAATTTCTGCAAGCTTCCTGGCTGTCGCCAGCGTCGTCTCTGCTACTCCCTGCAAGTCTCAAGACGGCTGGGAGACCAGGTATACCGCTACTGGCACGGCCGATGTTGCAAAGGCTGCTGCTACAGCAAAGACCAGCAGCCCTACAAGCCATGTGAAGGGCAAGGCCTTTGACAGACTTGCCATTATTTACTTTGAGAACCAGAACTATGACAAATCCTTTGGTGACCGTAAGTGATTTCCCAGGGCACCTTTTAGAGGAAGAATCTCCGATATTGGAACGGCAGGTCTAATATTTAGTACAGCCAACTTTAACTGGTTCACCAAGAAGGGTATTACTCTATCCAACTACTTCGCCGTTACTCACCCTTCTGAGCCCAACTACATGGCCTCCATTGCCGGTGATTACTTTGGTATGGAGAACGACGCCTTCACCCGCTCGCCTCGCAATATCTCCACAGTGATTGATCTCCTCGACACCAAGGGCATTTCGTGGGGTCACTATCAGGAAGACATGCCTTTCTCTGGCTTCGAGGGCAACGCCTACCGCAACCAGAAGAACGGTGCCAACGACTACGTCCGCAAGCACAACCCTGCTGTTCTACACGACAGCATTACCCACTCTGAGAAAAAGCTGTCGCAAATCAAGAACCTGTCTCTTATTGATACCTCGCGCTCCATGTTTCACAAGGACCTCAAGGATAACAAGCTCCCCCAGTGGATGTTCATCACACCCAACATGACCTCCGATGGTCACGACACCTCCGTCACCGTCGCTGGTGTCTGGTGCCGCAAGTTCCTTGAGCCCCTTCTCGAGGACAAGAACTTCATGCAAAACACCCTTGTCCTGGTCACCTGGGACGAGAACGAGTCGTATGCTGCCCGTAACAACATTCTGGGTATCCTTCTGGGTGACGCTGTTCCCAAGGAGCTCGTGGGCACTGAGGACAAGAACTTCTACAATCATTATTCCGAGATTGCCACTGTCTCTGCAAATTGGGACCTTCCCACCCTTGGCCGATGGGATGTCGGTGCCAATGTCTTCAAGGTGGTTGCGGATAAGACTGGTGACAAGCTCCGCCAGTGGAGATCACAGGAACAACTCCAGAGCATGTACTGGAACTACTCGTATGCTGGCCAGTATAACGACCAGGGCGGAAACAAGATCTTTCCTAAGCCCAACCTCGATCTCGACAAGGCGTACAACGGCCGTCCTATTCTCCAGTCTGTCAAGGACACCTGGAAGAATAGCAAGGCTCCTACTTATTACGAAGACACAATTGAGACCCCTGATGGTCTGCATCCCCCTGAGGGGTATGAGCCCGAGAGCGAATAAAAATGGTTACGAACATCGATTACTTTACTATAGATGAAATGGACTGGGTGGTGGAAAAATGCGAGGGCTGTAGTATCAAGGATGAATCCGAATCATGGCCAAGTACTAGATTCCTTGAGAACCTGGAGGGAGAGAACGTTTAGAAAGTAACAACACTGTATTGTACAGAAATAGATGACCCTGCTACACGTACCTGCCAGACTTGGAACAGAACAGCGGCCAGCAAAAAGTTATCGTTGGCCTCTGCGTGTGCTAACGGCCCAGCGGCCCAGCGGCCCAGCGGCCCAGCCCTGCGATGATCATCGCAGTTACTCTTCTTACTACTATCCTTGGACCGGCTCACTCTTTCTTCCATTTGGAGCCGAACTTGTGGTGACAGTGAGGCTTGGTGATACGCATTGTAACATTGAAAACAACAATAGTTTCTCGATACCCATTCCGTGCTCCGTTTGTTTGCTTGTGTGGTACGAACAAAGTTGTACGGAGTGCTCTGTAGTACTGCCCAGTGCCAATGAGTTTTGCCCAGACAGCCAGTTGCTAGTCTAGCCAAGCCGGCCCGGAGCCACAGGCGCGCGGAGTAAGCCGCATTTGCGTCCAGACGGTCATCGGGGCCCCAGGGATTCCCTGGTCTCGTAGGAGAGTAGCGGTCCCCACAGAGATCCTGGGTCCAGCACGCCGTCAGTTCGTCCCTGCTGGCCTCCTCCACCTGGCTCAAAGCAACACCGACGGGGAGAAAGTGGTGGTCGAATCAGTGGCCAGGCGTTCTTAAGCAGAGCACGTGGGAGGGCCTATTCGCTACCGAATTTGTACTTGAGATTTGGGCCCGGCCCATGTTTATGCAGGCATCTGTGCGAGCACAGAGAACCAATCCGCACGAGAGGGGAAAAAGACATGTCTTTAGTGACTTTTTGAGCGTATCGGAGCCTGTTTACATCAGCGGATTACTGTGATGCGGGTGGCTTTTGCTCTCTGGGTCGGTCTACTCCGTGGCTTGGCGCGAAGCGCAAACCCCAGTTGATGCAGTTCCAGTGCTCACAAGCCGGCCTCGTGCCCGATATTCTTGTAGAGGAGATCTATTCGCCGATACTCCGTGCTGGACGGGGACTCCGCCCTCCTTAGCGGGGGATTAGTGAGCACGTGGAGGTTGGTAGCTCAGTGATGCAGGGCCGTACATGCAATGGATGTACCATCGTGGACTCTGGTGGGAGGTGTCAATACCCAGCCGGGATAGAATGATAATGTGGGGTGAAGTCGATCAGGGTGGTGGATCGCAGCGGCAGCCACTTTCCGTTCCTGGCCTGCCACTGAATGGGTTGCGCCTCGTCCATCCAGGACGGCAGGAGTGAGCACTTGCTGGTTGAACATTGCCCTTTGCTCCTGCCCCGACCTATAGACAGCTCATGTTTTTCAAAGTTACTCGCCAGTTAAAGATGCAATTACACCGAAGACACAGTCCACTGTGCACCTCATTTGAACAACTGCTCCATCTCTTGGACTCGAGTTCATCTGTTGGTTGATTTCGCTATGAACCATTTTTAAACTTGTTGCATTCTCCTCAACGCTGGTTACTGCGCTTCCCTGTTCTTCCTGAGCTTAAGCTCGACATTTTTAACTCGGTTCATGACCAATGTAATATTTTAACCACCTTTGTCATCGCAACCAGTTCACTACGACGCACATTAACCAGCTCGCGACGTCATTTTCTTTTTTCGGCAAAGAATGTGAGCATAGAAAAACACCATCGTACACTATTCTATTACCCTAGCTTGCCATAATGTCCAAGCAGAGCCCTTGCTTAACTCGTTTTCTTTCCGACTTCACCCTCGGATTTTCCGATGGCCTGACCGTCCCATTTGCCCTCACCGCAGGGCTCAGCTCACTGGGAAGAGCTGATACCGTCATATATGCAGGCCTCGCCGAGTTGTGTGCCGGAAGCATCAGTATGGGCATCGGTGGATATCTATCCACATTGGATGAGGTTCCCCATCCAACCGGGAAGAAAGACGACCTCGATAGCAACGGTGACGAGGAGGAGTTGAGGGGGATGTTGCGCGATGGAAGCTCAAGGGCCTCATCTAGTCATCTTAGCGACAATTTGGACGAAAAGTATCTGGAACAAGAATCGAAAGAGGACCTTATAAGGAGCCATCTTGAGCCGCTGGCTCTACCACCTGCCACAGTCCTGGAGATTCTCGTGATACTGAGAAGTCGCCCTGACGGTGTTGGAGGAACAGCCTGCCGTCTGCAGCAACAAAATGCTGCGACAGAGCCGTTGTCGGATCAGCTACCAATCTGGCCCGTCGCCTCGGGTCTATCCATCTCGCTGGGGTATGTCGTTGGCAGTATCATCCCCCTCTTCCCATACTTCTTTACTTCAACAGTTGGTAGAGGTCTGCACTGGAGCATTGCTTTATGCTTGATAGCGCTCATGACATTTGGATCAAGCAAGAGCTGGATACTCCGTGGTGAAGAGAGGAGTGTCAAGAGAAGCTTGTGGGAAGGCCTTCAAATGCTCGTTCTTGGAAGCTTAGCCGCAGGCGCTGCGGTTCTCTGTGTGAATCTCGTTGGTGCAGGCTCTGAACCTGGCCATTGATATTTGCTCTTCAAATAAGTTCTATTATGGCATTTTGGCAATTCGTTCGGCCCTATGGTTTTGGGGAAATGGTCAATTGGGGATAAAGGTATAAAATTATTCATGTATTCACTATTGAGTCAGAATTAACGAATAGGACCCGGTCAAAGCAGATGTGTGGCAATGAAGAATCTGTTTGCCCTCTCACCACCCCAAACTGCCGCTTGATTACACCGGGCGAATCTTTGCGCAGCTGTTGACAGTGACGACGAGTGAATCATTGCTTGCAGGTAATAAAGTGTATATTGGTTCACAGCTATACGCCGGAGACATCATTCACTCCAGCCTTAGGTACCAGGCTCGCTTAGTAGGTGGAGTGGTTATTTAACACCTCTTTCAACCCAACGCATCAGAACTTTAACCACGATATTTATTTACCAACTTGCATCTTAAAGATACTGTAGTTTCAAACTATATCCTCTCCGACGAAAGAACACTGCCTCGACTTCGCACAGAGAGCAAATAGTGAGATCCACGTTATACATTGACCAAACCAGGCACATTCTTATGGAATTAAAAGTATGTTTATATTTTTCGAGTAAGATAAGAACGCCGATATTCTCGATGACTAATTATTCCCGTTACAGAGGAGGCGCTACAAAAGTGAGCGTCACGTAACGGAACGACAATGCCACATCCAGTAGCACGCCCAACGCCTCCCGGCAAGGGCAAGGGCAAGGGCAAGCCGTCTGATTGTCAAGAAAAACGTCAATTTTTGGAAGAAAAGAACCATAAGAAGAGACTTCCAGACGGCGATAAAAGGTTGAATACATTGCACGCGGAAGATGCCATTGCAGAAGATGATGACTCATCGGAGACACTCAGCAATGGTTTGCCGCCTGATGCCAGAAAGCTCGATTCGTGTGATGAATTAGTCCTCGATCACATAGAAAGCTTTTCAGATGATCCGTGGCAAGGACCACCTCAATGCTACGAAATTCCGTGGACAATTTTGTTTGGGAATGTGGGCAGGCAAAGAGAGGACGCCGAAGTTGAAGCTGTGAAGGAACTGATTCGACAAGCTGAAGCGGTTGGGCTGATTGGGGGAGGTGTGCGCTCGGAGGAACATGACGAAATACCCATTGATCTTGACGGGAGGAGTATTTTGGATCGGAGTGATGCCCTTTGGGATAGGTTAGTTCTTGGAAGCGTACCGTTTGACTTTGGCGACGGGGCTTTGGACAAGGCAAATGTTGATCCAGCAGGGACGGACGGGCAGGATGAGAATTGTGGCTGTTACAGAACGTCTGGATCTGACGGGATTGAGTAAGCTGCTAGGTTGCCGCCGTTTCGGAGTTGACTTTGGTTTGGACCGGTGATGGCCTGCTGCGTATACCGACTAAATAGTACAGTTTGCAATAGCTCATCTTTAGAGGCAAAATAACCATGACCCGCATTTGTGAGCGTCACCCGTAGACTTGAGAGATGGTGTTGAAGGGATTCCGTAAGCGGAGAATTCAACACTAGCGAGTTGACTCACCTCATCCAGAGTCCAGACCAGTCACTTCACCGCAACATATTTAAAACAACGCCTCAACAACCACAACCGTTACCAATACTCAACCCTTCTTTACAAAGAAAGGGTGAGCAAACTCCGCAAAACTCAACTGGAGAATGCCACCGCCAAACAGAATCCTCACATCGCCTAACCCTCCCTCGCCCGAGCCAGGGACAGTCCTCCTCGAAACACCACGGCTCATCCTCCGCCGCTACAAGCTGTCAGACGCTCCGACGCTCGCCTCCGTCGGGGACCATGATGAAGTTGCCGCTACCCTCAGCGACAGGTTCCCGTCACCCTACACCGTCGAAGCCGCCTCCGAGTTTATAGCAACCTGCGGCAACGGCGCGGATCCGCACTATCCCACACACGGGGCCATCATGCTCAAGCCCAACACGCCGGATAACCTGACGACGGCGCCGGTCATGATTGGGGGCTTTGGATTTCTCCCGCAACAGGATGTCTTTTACAGGACGTGGGCAGTGGGTTATTTCCTGACCCCGTCGGCCTGGGGCAAGGGATATGGTACGGAGGCGATTGCCGCGGCGGTGCGGTGGGCGTTTGAGACGTGGCCTGGTTTGCTGAGGGTTGATGGGCGGGCGTTCTCGTCGAATCCGGCGAGTGTGAGGGTTATGGAAAAGAGCGGGTTTGTGAGGGAGGGCGTCAGGAGGCGGGCGGTTGAGAAGGGCGGCGTTGTTTGGGATATTGTTGCTTTGGGGGTTGTGAGGAGTGATTTGGGGTTAGGATAGATTGAGTGTGGGATTGCTTCTTGTGCGGATTATGGAGAGCCACGCTTTATGACGAACGAACGAAGATGGAGGAAATCTTTCTTTGCCATCTATCTAGACGGTGTGGCTGCTATGCCTGGCTCTTTTTTATGCATCGGAGTTTTCGACATCACTTACCTGCAGGCGGTTGACGTATGATGTATCTGAATCAAATCAGCCAAGTGAAACTGGCTTTCCACAATCCATTGGGTTTTAAGAAGTCTCTGCGTTATCATTGTAATATCTGGATGCCTCTCGGGGTGATTACTACCATTACAATGATACTCCTTTTCCACCAACGGTCTCCTTGAAATGAAACTCGACTTTCATTTTAGAGAAGAAAGTTAGAAAAAAAAGATAAGATAAATGGTACAACTCTCTGTCGATAGTCGGATACTCTCGTGTTGAAGGCAGGGTTGTGTGCAAGACGAAGATCTGGTGTCATCTGAAACCTTGCAAGTCCGAATTGCATGTGGAGTCGAACAGTCAAGCTGGCCGTGCTCTTAAAGTGGATCGTTGGCAAGCTTCCTCTCTCCCGCAGTGAGAGTAATAGCTGCAATCTAACTGGTTGCCTGGCACGCAAAAATATTAAGCCGAACCCACCCCGGAACCCACCATCGCCTAAGCTGCCCCGAATATTGACGTGCAACATCCGGGACAACGGGCCATAACCACCAAGGCGATTTCTCCTCAGCCCACAAGCCATTGACTGCGAGCAAGAGGCTCTCCAGGAGGATCTCCAGTCTATCCTCTTGCTTCCGGCCCCTCTAATCTCGTTACCAATGGCTTCTTCACTGCAGAGGCTCGCTGGCCACGGCGCCAAGCGTCTCTGCCTGCGTCCTGCCACACAACTTGCAACTCGGCCCTTCTCGACGACACGTTTTCGAAAATATGCTACTCCCGAGCCCATGGGCACTAGGCTCATCCCCGTCGATGACGATTTTGCCCATCCCAGCGATCCCTACGGCACAACGCAGCATATCCCCGGCGCCGTTCAAAAGTCGCGCGAGAACTCGGTCGAGGACCGCAAGGTCAGGCATTATACTGTCAACTTCGGCCCACAGCATCCCGCTGCCCACGGTGTGCTTCGACTAATTCTCGAGCTCAATGGCGAAGAAATCATCCGCGCCGACCCTCACGTTGGCCTCCTCCACCGGGGCACTGAGAAGTTGATCGAATACAAGTCCTATCTCCAGGCTCTGCCCTACTTCGACCGACTGGACTACGTTTCTATGATGACCAACGAGCAATGCTTTGCCCTCGCTGTTGAGAAGTTACTCAACATTGAGATTCCCGACCGCGCCAAATACATCCGTACCTTGTTTGGAGAGCTTACCCGAGTTCTGAATCATCTCATGTCTGTCCTGTCTCACGCAATGGATGTTGGTGCTCTCACGCCTTTCCTGTGGGGCTTCGAGGAGCGAGAGAAGCTCATGGTACGCATCTTCGCCTCAGTATATCCACGTCTTCTTTTGAGACCTTTAATGACGCTGACTATCCACTACAGGAGTTCTACGAACGTGTTTCCGGCGCACGTCTTCACGCAGCATACGTTCGCCCTGGTGGTGTTCATCAGGACATTCCCGTTGGTCTGCTGGATGACATCTATCAATGGGCCACCCAGTTTGGTGACCGCATCGACGAGACGGAAGAAATGCTTACCGACAACCGCATCTGGATTGAGCGATTGAGAGGTGTTGGTGTTGTTTCCGCCGCTGAGGCCCTGAACCTGTCCTTTACCGGTGTCATGCTTCGAGGCTCTGGCGTCCCTTGGGATATCCGAAAGAGCCAACCCTACGACGCCTACGACAAGGTCGAGTTCGATGTTCCTGTTGGCAAGAATGGCGACTGCTACGACCGCTACCTTTGCCGAATGGAGGAGTTCCGCCAGTCCCTGCGCATCATCCACCAGTGTCTGAACCAGATGCCTGCTGGCCCTGTCCGTGTTGAGGATTACAAGGTCTCACCTCCCCCCCGTACTGCCATGAAGGAGAACATGGAGGCTCTCATTCATCACTTCCTTCTGTATACTAAGGGTTACGCCGTCCCCCCTGGCGAGACCTATTCCGTCATAGAGGCCCCCAAGGGTGAAATGGGTGTTTATGTTGTCAGCGACGGCAGCGAGCGTCCCTATAGGTGCCACATCCGTGCTCCTGGGTTTGCTCATCTGGGGGGTTTCGACCATGTCTCCAAAGGTCACTTGTTGGCCGATGCCGTCGCTGTAATTGGTACCATGGATTTGGTGTTTGGTAAGTTTTGATGGACCCCTCCCTTTTCTTTCACTTTCCAAAGTCGCAAATCTCTACATTTAAACACACGCTGACAATTTTACTCAGGCGAGGTCGATCGGTAAATTTTGGGAAGAAGGGAGAAAAATGCCATCAAGATTTTTTATTTGTCTGTAGTCATAGCTGGCTGGGAGAACCTGTAAATACTCCATAGAAGTCTTCTTTTTTTTTTACCACCCACGCAGTCTCACTCAAGTGATGTACATCTTGTATACGTATACATGGGGTGTTATTGAAGATGTGCATGTGTTTTATTGTTACAATTACTTTCTATACTACTATACACACCTCACTTTACACCACGAGGTGAGTCTGGTTGTCTATACGACTTTGACGCCGGTACCAGACGCCTGTCCCATGAAGAAATTCTTTAGCGGTGATAGCATGTTGACAGCCTGCAAGCCGATAGATCGAAGACCAACCAGTGGTCCGCTTTCAACCGAGTAAATCTTGTGGAGCTTGTCGCACACGCCCATCAGGACGTGGTTAGTAGCGTAACGCTCGCTATTGTAGCTCTCAAGTGACAATTGTGTCCCCAGATCTTGTCCGTGGGAAACGGCATATTCTATGGCCTTGACAAGGCTCTGCACGTCGCCTTGCCCCATGTTGAGGCCCTGTCCAGCCAGCGGGTGGACGGTGTGCGCGGCATCGCCGACAAGTGCAATTCGTTCACCTATATATGTATCTGCGTGGCGAAGCTTCAAGGGGAATGAAGCAATTGACCCCTCTTGCACGCCGACAACAGTCTGCGGGATGGCCTCGGCATCCACGGGCGTGTGTTGTAATCTCCAGTTGTACTCGTCTTCTTGGCCCTCGGTTTGTGTGTGCATGTACCCCAGGTCGACGGAGCTAAGGCGGAATGCAGCGTTTACCAAGGCAATAAAGTCCTTGGGAGACAGCTTCTTCAAAAGCGCGGCGTTCTCTGGCGTCGTTGACCACACCAAGGTTGAATAATTCCCCGGTAGAGGGAGCATAGCCACGGGGCCGGTGGGCAAGAACCTCTGGTAGGCAATCTTGCTGAACTGTCCGCCCCAACCGTCTCCTTCCAGCTGCAGCGTCGCCACGAGCCCGTGTCTTCCGTAATCCCACCCACGGCTCTCGATGCCTGCAAAAGTCCGTACGGGACTGTTGGCCCCGTCGGCGCCAACGAGAAGTCGTGCAACTAGTGATTGACCGCCTGACAGGTGTACGACGGGCCAGTCGCGAAGATCCATATCTTCGGTCTCTTCGCCCAGGTCGATTTTCTCTACTCGCGAGTTGTCAAAAATATCGATGCTTCCTAGTTCTTTGAGGCGCTTCAAAAGACCGGAAGTCAGGTTCAGGTTTTCCGTCATGTACGCAATCGTATTGCTGGGGCCGGAGCTGGCGGGGGGGTCGAATTCAATCCGGGCACCTGTGACGCCATCCCAAACTTGCATCTCGTGGAATTCTTGGATGCGGTCGCGCTTCATGTGTGTCCATGCTCCAATGGTATTGAGGTACTGGGCCGACGATGGGGTCACTGAGCTGCAGCGATTTGAGAACTGGGTTGGCGGGAGAGAGAAGGCGGCGGTCTTGGCTAGGTCTTGAGCTTCGATGAGGGCAACCCTTAGCCTGGAAGTGATGGGGCTTGCGCCTAGGATATTCGTTAGAGACTAAGTTCAAGATATCATTCAACCGAGACAGTAAGGTGCGTACGAAGCGCTGTGAGAAGACTGAGGCCAGCCGGGCCACCTCCAACGCAAACTACATCGTATATATCGTCTTTTGTAGTTGAATATGAACGCCGCCATTGGCTGCGGGCAGGTCGAGAGCAACTTCTGCAAACGGAATTCGAGGTTGTTATAAGACCCCGCGCCCCAGCCATTGTAGCCTGTGGCATTGTTGCGTGTGGTCAATCACCACACAACATTAATTGGTGGTTGAAGGTGGACGAAGCTAGAGCTCTTGAGGTGGGACGATGTTATGCATTGCAATGCAAGTTCCACCCCAATTCAGTACGTACCTAATGTACATACGGAGGTACTATGACAGGGCTGAGGGTGGCATTTGCGCCACATGTGGCAAGGCCACGCCAGCCTCTCGCTCCTGACTGGGCGGGCCGAGGATGCGCCGATTGTTGTATCATAGTTGCTACAGACAACGGGAGCCGTGGCTCCGTCAGTGGAGCTAGGACTCGATCAACAACAATCATATCATCTTTGCCGACGATTTTGTAAACCTGTCATCCTTGCAATACTGCTTTGCAGGCTATAGTGCCGGCAACGCCCTTATTTTCGGATTTCCGTGTCAAGGTTGTCCTTTTCGGCAACCTAGTAGATGCCTCCCTCTCTCTGCAGGTCCGATAACCTGCGACCTTGGCCGCGACCGCTCCTCCTCGGCGGTCCTCCTCGGTTGACCTTGTCTCACCACCTTGTGTCGTTGCATTCCTCCGCGAAGCCAAGCCGCCACGGTTGCTAGACTTGCCATTGCGCATTCACATCTTGCCTTGCCAGGAACTTGCAACTTCATCAACCGCTGTGCGCTAACGCCGTCCGTCAACATGGCTGATGCCGATGATTACCTCCAAGAGGGCTTCGATCCGCGCAGCGTGACAGTGCCGCGCTTGCGGTCCATCCTCGTCACGCACAATGTGGACTATCCATCGACAGCGAAGAAGGGACAACTGGTAGATTTGGTCAATGATCACGTTTTATCACAGGCTGCGAAGTTGCGGGCACAGAGAGCTCAGGCGAAACGATCCAGCTTAGGGTTCGTCAATGCAGGCAGTGCAGAAGATTCCAACGCTTGGGATGAACACGACACGCGCTCGCGCCATTCGTCTATGCGCAGGTCGATGTCGCCAAGGAAGAGCTCGAGCAGAATTAAGACCGAGTCCGAGGAACCAGAATCCAATATTCTGCGCAGCCCGCGCAAGCGCAGCTCAAGATCTGCCAGCCGGCAACTTTCCCATTTTGACGAAGATGACGGCGCCGCATCCGTTGCGTCTAAGTCGGCGCGTCGAAGCAGCAGAAGGACCGTCACTCCTCAAATAAAAGATGAGTCGGAAGAGGAGTATCCCACTCATGCTGATCGCTCGAACGAATATCTTCAGCCGCCAGAGGTAGAAGAGGACGGGGGACATGACGCATCTGTTTTCACCGACGACAACCCTTTCCAAAGCGGAAGCTCCCCGCCGCCGGTAAAAACTCCAAGCAACCGTCGACGCACTTTGGGGGAGGACATGTCTCAGAGCGTGCGATCTGCTAGGAGAAGAACTGATGGTTTCACCGATCGAAGCAAAAAGTCTAGAATATCAGAAATTTCAGCACCCAAGTTACGGCAAAAGAATCCTGAATTTGCTTTGGAGCCTGGCGAGGAGTTTACTGCTGAAGAGCAGCTCGAATTGGAAGAAGCTCAAAGCTCGGGTGAAGTCGCTCCAATTTTGCGCAAGAGCCATAAACCAGCACGCCAAACAAGCGTACTGACACCCCTCTTTGTCCTTTTTATGGCTCTTTTCGGCGCTTACGGAGCTTGGTATCGACAAGAGAAGCTTGCTGTCGGATACTGCGGCCTCGGTAGACAGGCTAAGCCACTCCTGCCACCAGAGATTGTAGTTCCCGATGCGCTACTTCCTTTTGTTGAACCCCAATGCGAACCATGTCCTGCAAATGCCTACTGCTATGAGGGCTTCAATGTGAGATGTATCCAAGGATTCATTCAGAAACCTCACCCGTTGTCATTCGGCGGACTGGTCCCTCTTCCACCAACATGTGAGCCCGATAGCGAGCAGGAACGCCGAGTTCAGGCCGTAGCTGACAAGGCGGTTGAGGAGCTTAGAGAGCGCCGAGCCAAGTATGAGTGCGGTGACTTGGTCGACGAAGCGGGTCAACAGGAAAATTCGCCTGCAATCGCAGAGGAAGAGTTAAAACACGTTGTCAGCAAAAAACGAAACAAGAGACTTAGTGATGAGGAATTTGATGACCTGTGGGAGAAGGCCATCGGCAAAGTCACTACGAGAGAAGAAGTTGAGGTTCAAGTTGAGACAACCCAGTGAGTATAGACCAGTTTTTTTCCCCTTCTTCTTTTTCGCAATGAGATAAAATCTCAGCTATGGCTGTGGTGCTATCTCATATCTGGTCAACAAATCCTTCTTCTGACACAGACTAATCAGATCCGTGATTAATCCCACAGACCGTCCGGTGCCTCCAATCTTCCAGTCAGAAAGCTATCGTCAACCTCTCTCGCTCGCCTTCCGCTCACCTGCGCCATCAAGCGGTCAATCTGGCTCGCATTGGCAAGATATCGACTCGCAATTGGATTTATAATCTTGTTGATCCTCGGAAGCTTGAACGCACGTTCACGGTACCGTCGTCACGTTGCAACATCTGCACAGGTTCCAGCCCTCGTAGACTTGGTCTTACAGCGAATCGCGGACCAGAGGGAGCTTGGAGAAGAGGATCTTGATGATCCCTGGCTCTTCCTGCCAAACCTGAGGGATGATGTCCTGCGATCTATTCACACTCTCTCCGAGCGAGACAGGATATGGCAGAGGGTAAGGGCTGTCGTAGAGCAGAACAGCAATGTCCGCATAAGCCAGAGGGAAAGCCGAAGCGGGGAAGTAGGTCGTGCTTGGGAGTGGATTGGCCCTACCAAGGGTGAGGGGGCGAGGAGACGGCGCAGTGGGAGGGTTTCGTTGGTGCCGGAGCTGAAGGAGGAGACGCCTGATTCTAAAGATAGAGTCGAGGCTAGGAAATGGGATGAGCCAAGGCCGATTTATTAGGGGTGGCTTTGGTGTTGGCTATACTGCATTGTTATAAATTGTATTAGAATGTATAATTGCTCGCTGTGCTACAATTTGGTGGATGAGTTAATATTAGGCCCAGGGCAGCAGTCACTTCCGATTTATGGTGTACCAAATACATCTCGATGACTATTAATTTGTTGAAATTTGCTAGGTCTCTGTTTTGCTACAGCCACCCTCGAGACGTAGTAAGACTGGGGACACTCTTGCGTTACTTGGCATGTCAAGTTTGCCTAGGCTTCGGTTGGTCGTTGATGTGTCCAGTGACGCAGGTGGGTTGCCTCGTTCAGCGTCGTGTGGTTTTCGTTTGTTACATGGCTATCAGCGCGTCAGGATACGCATTCACCCATGGCATCGCTGAAATATCTCACTGTCGACAGAACAGAATCACGGGAGGTGAAGAAACATAGAATAGAGTTAAAATAGTTAAGACTAGTGTCTCGATTTAATCGGCTATTGCACAGGTGTGGTTATATGCACAGAGTGTTGTAACAAAAGAAACGGCGGTACGTTTTAATCTAAGACTCTAGTAATTGGCGTTTATTGGGCCTTGGAAGAGACAATCTCTGTGGTCCGTGTTAGCACATTCATTGGTCATGTCATCGTTTTGCGTAAACTTATTCAGTTCAACATACTCTCAACGTCAGCGACGCTCTGCTGCAGGATCTGCTGCAGGACCTTGGGGTTCTCCAGCTCCTTCTGGACCTTGGCGATGATGGAAGCAGCAAGTTCCTTCTGCTGGCGCTGCTTGACCTGGCCCTCGTAACGGACCCAGGAGTCAAGGACAGCCTTGGCCTCGGCGGCCAGGGCGGTCTGTTGCTCGAGCTCATAGGCCTGAGCCTCAAGCTTGGCGGTTTCCTGCAAGCCCTTGCGTCAGTACCTCGGGTACTATCATCGTCCAGATGGGGATCCCATCCCCCTCCAAAAAAAGAAAAACAATAGAATGCTTTCAAGTTCTCTCACCTTGGACACCTCGAACATGGCCTTGGTGATGTCCACAACACCAGTCATCTGCTTGACGTCCTCGATGCGGCCCTTGACAGCCTCGGTGTGGTCGGCACGCGCGCTGTTGAGGATGTTCTTGATCTTCTCGTTCTGGCTCTCGGCCCACGCCTTGTATCCGGGACCACCGTACTTGATGAGACCACCCCAGACGGCCAGCAAGCAGATGGCCACGATGGTCTCCTCGTTCATGACGTAGTACTCATTGCTGATGGCGTAGATGCTGAGACCAGCAGCGCTGCTGAGGAACGCCGTCTTGCTGAGGAGGCTGCTTCCGGGGAGGGAGTCGACGATGCTCTGAGCCTTCTTTTTGGGCTCCTCGGCGGGAACGTTGCTGGCGTGGCGGACAGCAGCGGCGGACACGGCAGGGATGGCTCGGCGGGCGAGGGTAGATCGAAGAAGGGGAGCGCCTGTTCGTTACGACAGATTCATCATGCGTCAGCAAACTTTCCGCTTCCAATTGGGTCTCCAAATTTCAATTGTCGTCGTGCAATTCGATAGGGGAGCGACGTACTGACAGCGCTTCGCGCCAAGCGAGAGGCCATTGTGATACAGAGTAGCGATTGGGGGGTGTCGGGCTTGACGTTGCTCGGGGAGCTGGGAGTGAGGTTTGAGGTTTTATCGCGCTAGTTCGGCAACATGATAAAATCACGTGACCCCGGAGAGTAAAGGAATGGGCCAAGTAGACGTTCGCTCGTGGAGCAACATGATTTACCCGACCTTCTCCCTGCCTTGAGGTGTAGGGGGAAAAGCAATCTTATCGATAAGGTGCGACTGATTGGATTTTTTTGGAAGTCCAGCACTCGATTTATTTGAGGCTCCCAAGATTTCGAACAATATGTATCTACCATTTCAATAAACATACGGTGCTACTTCTTCTTCTTCTTCTTTCTTTGTTTGAGGCTCATTCTCTTTCAGTTGGAGAGTTTAAATACTTCTTTTTTTAATTCCCGAATTCCCAACGACATACGCGGCAAAGTATTTCCATCATGGCGAAAGGCGCTGTAGCTGAAGGCTCGAAGCGCAAGCGTACCTCTGCTAGTGAAAAGCCAGCCAAACGGCGCAGGTCTTCAAGTGAAGAGAGTGAGGACCCAAATGCAAGGATTCTTCTTCTGGAACAAGGGATTCTGGAATCAAAAAAGAATTACAACGATATCACTGACCTGTTGAGCACGGCAAGGGACTATGAAAATGGCGAACCAGAATCGATGTTGGCAGCAGTAGCCCTCTGCAGAGTCTTTATTCGATTGCTAGCCCAAGGGTCTCTCACCTCCAAGAAGTCTCTTTCGGAAAAGGATAGTGTGGTCGTTGGCTGGCTCAAGGATCAGTTTTCTCAGTACAAGATATTGCTGATGAGTCTGTTGAGCCAAGAAGAGCTCGCTGTCACTGCTCTCACGTTGAGCATGAGATTGCTGAAAGCTGAAGCAGAGTTCTTGAATAACAATGAGGACTACACGTTCCCCATCGCATTTATCGAGAACATCGTCAAAGCTGTATTGCTCTCAGGCAACGAAGATGTCAGGCAAGCATACATAGAAGATTTTGCGGAACAGTATGATGATATTCGCTATTTCACGTTCAAATCTGTCAAGTATGTATTTCGTTTTTAACGAATTATGTTGTTGTGCTCTGCTAATAGCTTTGAAAGGAACCTTGTGGAAAGCTCTTCGGGGGATATCGAGTCCAATAATTTGTTTGACAGGGTGTTCTCCCTGATTTCTGCTCTAGACGGTGTGCCAGAGTCTGCGGATGACCTGGACGACTTCTACATCCCCAGGCCCAAGAAGAAGGCACATCCTCTTCGATCAGTCAACCAACACAAAAAGCAGGGTCAAGAGGCGTGGCTTGCATTGATGGGCGTCGCCGACACCAAGGACGAGCGCAAGCGTTTATTGGATATAACTTCAACCGTTATTGCCCCTTGGTTCACAAAACCAGAGTTGTTGGCAGACTTCCTTACCAACTGCTACAACACAGGAGGATCGATGTCTCTGCTAGCACTGTCTGGAGTCTTCTACCTGATTCAAGAGCGCAACTTGGACTACCCATCGTTCTATCCCAAGTTGTATTCGCTACTCGACCGAGATATCCTGCACTCAAAACACCGGTCCCGATTCTTCCGATTGTTGGATACATTCCTGGCGTCAACCCATCTTCCTGCTTCTCTGGTAGCTAGCTTCCTGAAGCGATTATCCCGGCTAGCGCTGAATGCGCCTCCTAGCGCCATTGCGTTTGTGATTCCGTGGATTTACAACCTGCTGAAGCGTCACCCTACATGCACATACATGTTGCACCGGGTCGTAAAGGATCCTAAGGAGAAGCAGGATATGAAGGATCGCGGGTTTGAAGATCCCTTCCTGGCGGAGGAGACTGAGCCTACGAAGACGCGCGCAATCGACAGCTGTCTCTGGGAGCTTGTGCAGCTGCAATCGCACTATCACCCCAACATTGCGACTGTTGCAAAGGTCATGTCTGAGCAGTTCACCAAGCAATCGTATAACATGGAAGACTTTTTGGATCATTCATACGCAAGTGTAAGTTCTGTCTGACCTCTTTGGGGCATGTACGGCGCTGGTTTTACTGACATTGTCCGTAGCTTTTAGATGCCGAGTTGGGAAAGGACATCAAGAAGGCGCCGGTTATTGAATTCCAAATTCCTAAGAGGATATTCCTCCCCCATGATGACCCAGCGGCACAGCAGGACAGCCTGTTGGTCAGGCTCTGGGATTTTGGGGCCAAGGCCTAGTTTCTGGGATAGATTGTTGGCGGACTTGGCGTGGACATATTTTGCCATAGAGTACATAGACATAGCGAGCGAACCCTGCATCATATTGATTTTGTTTCCCAGCAATCCTGTCGCGCCATAAATTACTCTCTTGAACAACTACACTCTTGGAGCGGTCCTTGCAGTACATATTGAAATACATAAATCATGCCGCGCCGGCAGTGGGTTTGGCGGATAAAGTGAGAACAGATAGCGAAACGGCTGTCCATCATGAAGGTTTTTCGAGGAAAACAAAAGAATCTGACACAAGTTCTCGGGCCGGCTGTAAGCATTGAGGCCGCATACAGTGTCCGAGCTTTGTTGCACAACAGATGTCTGGTTCAAGCTACGGAGTACATGGAGAGTTTCAACACCAATGCGGGTTGCTGAAGAGCCTCGTGCGCCAAAGCTCCGGGGCTGGTTGGAAGGATCGACGCTGGTCTAAAAGCGGCTAGCACCGGACCACGTAGCCGCATACGGCCACTGCATTGTAGAACGAACATTAATGATTGAATCAAACCAGACAGTTATCTGGTGCTCCAGCGCCGTCCAAGTGCTGGCCTGGGCCACCGGCACGGTGTGACTTCCCCTGGTCAGACATGGATATGTTGCTTCTTGGTTGACAGCTTTGACTACTCCGTACTCCGTACGGCTTCGAACATTACATGTACATGTAGGGACTAGTACTGCCAGAGGCCAACCCCCTTGCAAGCCACTGAATCATGCATCAATGATTGACTGCTCCAGTCTGCACACTGCTGGTGTATGTATGTACGTATCTAGCTGAACGCTCGCCGGACCATGGAGCACCTTAGTGCGCACCTACTACTAGTACCTAGAACCAGACTGCGCCATGTGCCCCATCCCAGCAGTAACGCCCCAGACATCTGGAGCCTGGCCTTTTGACAAATCTTGGCAACGTGCGAACTCAACCGACAATCCTCTGTGGCTTTTTCTTTTTATTTTGTTTTTTCGTCTTTCATGTGAACTCAGCTGTCAAAATTCGCCTTGTCTGACACCTCGCCTCTGCAACGTCAGATCATCGAGTCACGGCGATGGTGACACCGCTGCGGGCTGAGCATGACCGTGTGTTAAAGCGGCTAACCTGAGAGCTGGACCACGTCACAATGGCCAGCAATCGCCTCCCGTCGCTGAGCGCCGTCTCCAACTACAGAACGGAAATTGCCTCGCAGAGCTCCCCGTCACTATCCACGGGAAAAGCCACCCCAGACAGCCAGAAGCAGCCGCGCAAGAGAAAGGGACATCGAGGCGGCAAAAAGAAGCGCTCTCGACGAAAGAGTTTTGCTGCTCTTGCCGAGGACAGCCATGATGAAGCTGGTCCTTCGGGCCCCGGGTTGCTGTATCAAGTGCCAAAGGCCAACCTGAGCAGTATCAGCATCGACAGCGAGGCTTTGCTTGACCACCGGTAAGCTTGCAGGAGAAGTTGTAATTTATTCAGCATGCCTCCCCGTATACGTGAGCTAATATTTGCATCAATAGAGGGCAGAGACCTATGCGAACCCGCCGTTCATCCACCATAGCAGTGTCTAGTCCCTTCCATAATCCCTTTTCCTCGACTCCGGGTGGTAGCCGACTGCGATCTACGCACACTCCCAATAGCCCCAATGAGAATGCCGAGCATGATCCGTGGGACGAGACCGCTCCTCTGTTGTCGGCATCCGCCAAGAAAGCATCTCCAACGGGTCCCTCGAGCTATGGAGCAAGTGAGGGCAAGACCGGTCGCAACAGAAGCCGAAGATCCAGCAGATCGTCGAGAACCAAGCCGGCCCCTTCGCAAAGGGATGGCTACGATGTGAATCATCCACCGTCCGTCCCAGGTTCGCCAACGTTCGGTGCTGCGACTGGCCCCGAGATGATGTTTGGAGACGTCATGATTCGGGATGACTTATCTCTTCCGAGCGGTAGCGGTCGGTGCTCAGACAACGAGGAGGCTGTGTCGGTCACAGAAAGTCCACTTCATGACCACAGGCCCGAGATAAACCGACGATCAACAGTGGCCGCTGCTGGGGACGTATGCTTCCCAGCCCCTGGCATGTCAGAGCTTGGCGAAGAGGAAGATGATGCTCAGTCTCGAGATCCTCAAATCCACCAGCGGCATGCACGTCGACGACGGGGCCAATGGCCGGACCTGTCAGTGTTGGAGGAATGGAGGCAGTATGAAAAGGAGGATAGAAGCGAAGAACGACGAGTGAAACGAATAACGGAGCCGCAGTTGATCAACGGGCGGCTACGTCCCGTACGAAAGGGGTGGTTCCAGACTGATGAAGACGTTCCATATCGATTCACTTATTTCAACGAAGAATTTCAAAGCACCATCCACAGTCAGACGATATCGGAGCTCGTCCAGCCTGGAAGCGACTTTCGAGAGCTCTTCATCCCAGATCCTCGCATTCTGTCAGACGACGAGAGCAGCGACGACGATGATGAGACCATTTCGCTAGCGATGAAGCACCAGCAGTCTTTTAACGGCTTAGATGTCGACTCCAAATTTCCGACACGCCAACCATCTATTGCGGAGTCACGAAAGGGAAGGGGAGGCACCATGTCGCCAAACTTGGATCCCATGAACCATTCTAGGCGCGTCAGCCCGAATGGCGCTAAATCACCCGGAGGCAGTGTTCAACCCCCTGCTGCAGACACAGCCGAAAAGCCTATTAGATATGGCGACAGGCCTGTCTGGTGGCTCGACGTTCTCTGCCCTACAGAGGCGGAAATGAAGGTCATTGCGAAGGCATTCGGAATCCATCCCCTCACCGCCGAAGACATCATGCTTCAAGAAGCCCGAGAGAAAGTAGAACTGTTCCGTCACTACTATTTTGTCAACTACCGCACATTTGACCAGGACATCAACAGCGCGAACTACCTCGAACCAGTCAACATGTACGTCGTTGTTTTCCGCGAAGGTGTGCTCAGTTTCCACTTTTCCATGACACCGCACCCTGCGAACGTACGCAGACGCATCCGGCAGCTTAAAGACTATCTCATTCTATCGTCTGACTGGATCTCATACGCCATCATTGATGACATCACCGATGTTTTCCAACCCCTTATCCAAATCATCGAAGACGAAGTTGACGAGATTGACGAGAACATATTACGGATGCATACACCCGAAAGGGACGAGAAAACGGCCCATCTCCGAGACGACAGCTCCTCCTTCTTCGACTCGGGGGACATGCTCCGAAGGGTGGGTGACTGTCGCAAACGAGTCATGAGTCTGTATCGCCTTCTAGGCAACAAAGCAGATGTCATCAAAGGTTTCGCCAAGCGATGTAACGAAAGCTGGGAAGTTGCGCCCAGGTCCGAGATAGGACTTTATCTGGGAGATATCCAAGATCATATTGTGACCATGACATCCAATTTGGGTCACTATGAAAAGTTCGTCTCCCCCCCGCCACGTTCTCCAGTAGACGACAATGGCTAACAGAGTTGCAGGATATTGGCCCGCTCACACGGCAACTATCTCGCCCAAATTAACATCCGCATGAACGAGAGACAAGAGCAAACTGCCGATGTCCTTGGAAAGCTCACCGTCCTGGGTACCATTGTGCTCCCCATGAACATCATCACCGGCTTGTGGGGCATGAACGTCTGGGTTCCCGGGCAGGAGTACGAGGGTGATTTGGCATGGTTTGTGTGGATAACCGCCGGCCTGTTGTGCTTTGGCATAGCGTGTTATATGATTGCTAAGAGGGTATATAATATTGTTTGAATCATTCTTTTTGTTTCTTCTTGGCGAGGCGCCATTCAGCAGTTTCGCAAAGCCATCCAAAAGGTTTGGGGAAATCAGTTTTTAGCGTGTTAGTCCCGGGATACACACGGTGTTGGAACCACGTTGGAACCACGGTACGACTTATTGGTTAGTTGATTTGTTTTGGGAAGGAGTACAAATGGACTGGTTTTCCTGTTTTCGGTCGGATCATGCATACCTGGGTAGTTTGTAAAAGTTATACCGTCATCGCCTTTTAGCATCAAGGATATGCTCAAGCGTGTCATTTTATCACGGAACGTGGTGTTTTGCCAAGTGTCTTGTATTTTTATTGAGACGTAGCAGTTTGCAGTCAACTATTGATCCCTTTCATTCGATTTGCGACATTGCCGCCGTCTTTGGGCATGCACCACCATTTTTCAACCCAACATTAAAAAAAATGTACATAGCAACCGTTATTGCGCCGGCTCAACCTGACTCTATCCAGAATGACCTCTCAATAATACTGCTGCAGCAAATTGGTATTTCAGTACGCAACCCCGGCCGTAAAGATTCCGCTTCCCAGCGCACTTCACTGGGCAGACCAACACCCTTGTCATAACCGTGTTTGTTTTCATACATCTGTGGCATGTCGCGCATGTCGCATCTTACCTCCGCTGACCAGCAAATGAGGCTCTCAGGGCCATGATCTGCTGTTTATCAGCTTCCGGAAGCATGTCAATTTGGGCCTGTGTCAGGTCCATGACGGCTCTCATCAGAGCGTCGGGGTCCTGGGCTGTCGCAGATGCTGGTGGTGGTGCCGCCGGGGCGCCATAACTCGGCTGGGCTGTCGTTGGTGCTGCTGCTGCCGGCGGCGCATATGGCATACCGGCCACTGGTGGTGTGTTGTTATTCGCAGTTGAGTAGGCGGAGACCGCTGCAGAGCCGGGATACGCCGTCGCTGGTTGTTGAGGCGCCGGGAGAGGAGCCGTAGGATCGGCGACAGACTGGATGGCTTCGGGGGATACCAGTCCCATGAGAAGGAGTGCCTGGAATACGGCATACGAAAGTTGCGGCGCCTGCTGGAGGAGTTCTGTCGCTCTCTGGGGTTCAGAGGTAGCTAGCGTCTTCATCTGTCCGAGGATATCGAGCAGTTGGGACGGTGGGAGGGTGTTGAGTGTTCGTGAGATGGCATCGGTGCAGGTCAATCCCGGGGGGATTTCCTTGCCGGCAGGGAGAGGAGGTAGCGAGATCGCCTGTGCGCCGTATGCGTTGGTAGGCGTACCATTAGTTGGATTCGACGTGGACTTTGATGCATTTGTTAGCGAGCCGAGGTTTGTGACGCCCGGGAAAGGGGTTTCTTTGCCCATACTTGGCTATTGTCATCGTCACCACTCTTTTGTTCATTAGAAAAGTCGACGCGGAGCTTGCGACCCATAACCTCAAAGTCGTTCAAATTTCGTACCGCAGATGAAGCACTGTCTGTTGCAGAAATGAGGTCAGCATGGTTTCTAGGGAGTGTGGAGGAGGCGATGGCTGTGTGCTCAGTAGCGGCGTATGGGTTACTCGACGAACCAGTATCTGGATAGTCTGCAAATCCAAAACCCTTTGGACGACCTGTTTCGGAATCGTATACTAGTCGGAATCGTTCGACCTTGCCGGCGCGGCTGAAGATTTCCGTAATTTGTTCCTCTGAGAGGCCTATTAGTCTAGTTAGAAAGGTCAAGAACTACTGAGGAGAGTCAAAAGTTTCAGGTTTCTTTTTTCTTTTCTTTTTTGACCCGTACCGTAAGGAATATTTCCCACAAATACCACGCGAGAGGGCGGTCTTGTTGACATTGTGATGTGCTGGGCCGGGCGAAACCTATCGTGAGAATCGTATGTCGTGATGTCGCGAAGGGAACCGTCACGCTGATAGAAAGAGCGAAGCGACGGGTCGCTAATTACTGCCGCTGAGTGTTTCGTGTCACCTGTGACCCAATGGCCTTCATGGACAGCTGAATAAGATGATTCAATGCAGAAAGCCTCAATACGTTGGAGGCAGGTGGGAGATGGGACCTTGAACACGCATGTGCAATCTACAAATTTAGCTCGGCGGCCTTCTCATCATGGCTCCAGTTGCAGCCACCAGACTCTGTGATTGGGACTGCCGACTGATGGGCGCAAGTGTTGGAGCACGATCTAGCCCAAGTACTCTGTACCTACCCGGCGATTTGCCGGGGAGCTAGGGAAGTCGCGACTGATGCGCCGGTGCCGCCCTGACGCGGGCCAATTGAACCCTCAAACCACTGAAGCACCCAGCCACTGCGAGTCTCAAGGCGTGTGGGGAGTGTCAGAAACACCAGACTGAAGAGCCCATCAATTGGCGGCACGACAGCTCGCGCGCAGCACCCGCTACACACGCACGGATAGGCGGTTGTCCAAATTTGGCTCCCTGAGAATCGGACCCCTGCCATTCGCTGTCCCCACACGTGCATGCATTCGAAGAGTACTGCGAAGTTAACTGTGGCTTCTTTCAGCCTCGCCCATGTTGGACCAGTACTTGCGACTGTGGCCTCAACCTCATCCTAGATTCTTTGATCTTGCGACCTTCCATTGTGTATTACCTACCAGTTCCCGGAGCAACTAAGCCGCACAGTTCTCACAAGTCTATCATATTTCGGTACAACCAACCACTCTGCTTTAGCCAGGGCTTCGTTCTTCTCATTTCGGTTCTTGCCCTCTTGTGGTTGTCGAACTTGTCCGTCTTCCAAGCCCAGTTGCCTTGAAGGCGACCTCTTAGTGGGGAGTCTGTCGCCAGCTGTCGCCATTGAGTCTTTGACGACGAACCAGGTCAGCAATGCCGCCCAAGTCGAGATTCACGAGGCTGGATGCCTTCACAAAGACGGTCGATGAGGCCCGAATCCGCACTACGAGCGGTGGTGTCGTGACAATTATATCACTTTTTGTCGTGCTCTTCTTGTCTTGGGGAGAATGGGCTGAGTATCGACGAGTCGTCGTACGACCAGAATTGGTGGTAGACAAGAGCAGAGGTATGGAGAAACAACCTGGCTTCTGACTTTTGGGTGGTCCCTATGCGCTACCCTTCTTGCAACTCAAAAGTTTGCGAATACTAACTGAGCCTGTGCAGGAGAGCGAATGCAGATCCATCTCAACATGACTTTCCCCAGAATGCCTTGCGAGCTGCTCACCCTCGATGTCATGGATGTCTCTGGGGAGCAGCAGCACGGGGTCTCACACGGTGTGAAAAATGTCCGCCTCCGACCTGAATCCCAAGGAGGTGGTGTCATTGATATCAAGTCCATGAAAGTCCACGACGATCCTGCTGATCATCTGGACCCCTCCTACTGTGGTGAATGCTACGGTGCTACGGCTCCCCCTAACGCACGAAAGGCCGGATGCTGCAATACCTGCGATGAAGTCCGAGAGGCATACGCAAGCCAGGGCTGGGCGTTTGGCAGGGGCGAAAACGTCGAGCAGTGTACACGTGAGCACTATGCTGAAAGGTTGGATGAGCAGCGCGAGGAGGGTTGTCGCGTTGAGGGCCATCTCGAAGTCAACAAGGTGGTTGGAAACTTTCATCTTGCTCCTGGTCGCAGCTTCAGCAATGGGAATATGCATGTTCACGACCTCAAGAACTATTGGGAGACCCCCAATGGCAAGCAGCACGACTTCACGCATACTATTCACCAGCTCCGTTTCGGTCCTCAGCTTCCCGCTGCGGTTTCCGACCGATTGGGCAAGGGTTCCATGCCTTGGACGAACCATCATCTGAACCCCCTTGATGGAACCAGGCAAGAGATTGGCGATCCGGCCTTCAACTACATGTATTTTGTCAAAATCGTGCCCACTTCGTACCTACCCCTCGGTTGGGAGAAGAGATTCAAGAACGCGGCCGGGTCGACGTATGGCAATGCCGATGGCAGCCTTGAGACACACCAGTACTCGGTCACCAGCCACAAGCGAAGTCTTGAGGGAGGTAACGATGCCGCTGAGGGCCATGCAGAACGTCAACATTCACAAGGCGGTATTCCCGGCGTCTTCTTCTCATATGTGAGTATCCATAAAATCCTCCCCCTACCATGTCGACATACTAATTGATTACAGGATATTTCTCCCATGAAGGTTATCAACAGAGAAGAGCCTGCCAAGACCTTCACTGGCTTCCTTGCAGGTCTCTGCGCAATTGTCGGCGGTACGCTCACTGTCGCCGCCGCCGTGGACCGTGGCCTATTCGAGGGTGCTGCGAGACTGAAGAAGATGCGGTCAAAGGATCTGTAAAAGTGTACTCTGGTTTGTGCTTATCATACAACCGGCTTTTGTGTTTGGGGCATAGGCTAAGGCGTCTTTTTTTTTTTGGATGACTCTTTTTGAACAGGGGATGGGGACTGTGTTGCTGAGGAGAGCATCGCATAACGGCTGAGTTGGGGCGAGCATGGGGATGCGATCAAGACAATTAGAAGGGGGGGCAAAGAGTGAGTGTGGAATATTTGCAATTGGTGGCTGTGATTTGATGCGCATGAAATTTACGTTTTACGTACATTTTAAAGTTGTACGGGGTGCTGACGGTGAAATGTGACTTGTGCTGGTTCGATCTGAGGTGTGGAATGAAATTTCTGTTACACCAGCTGGGTTGCATCGTTGGCAAGGATTTCCGTGTGGACTATGTCGTGTATCATTCTTGTTCATGATTGGGAAAGGGGACATCGAGGTCTGGACAGCCATATCCGAGTGTCTCACGTGGCGCTTGTGCCCTGGACAGGCTTGCTCATGTGTCACGGGTTGACGGGGTATCGATATCTGCTGTGGTAGCCCAGATGCATCGGCAAGGGTGGGTGTAGAAACGTCCGTCTCCTTGCGATAATATGTATGATGTCTTGGTTTTTTTGACCGAGTATCCCAGACCAGGGCGCAGCTCCGGTTGGTGGCCGACCGAGGGAAGCAAAATATCCGGCCACGGGGTCTCGGCACTGTGTGTAGGAGTATATCATTCGAACAAGGTGCAGTTGGCCACCAGAGCAACCGTTGAGCATTCCAAGTCCGCATCCTCCTAGATGGACACATATGGAGCCTTGGGACGCAAAGCATGTATGTATTATAAGGTCGGCAGGAGACATTGGAGTTCGATATGCCTAGAGCTTGAAAATCAAGAAAGACGGAAAAGGAGAGAGAGAAACCCCATGACGAAGATCTTCAATGACAGCTAGCGAAACCGGAATGGCCAAGGAACCAAGCATCATTAGGGAATTGGGTTTGACAACCGGTCGTTACAGGGTAGCAGCACATGGCGGACGGACAATCGTGACGGGAGGGTTGGGTCAGGGGCGGCTCTGGTACGTACAGAGTACGCCACCTGAACATCATTGATCGGTGCAGTTCAAGCTCTAGGCCCCCAGGCTGACATGCAATCGATGGGTGTTATTATTGGAGGTGAGCAAGTGAGAGAGGCAGAACAGATGGTGCGAGGCGTGACATGGAGCCAGTGGATACCCTGTGTCCTGTTTGTACGACAAAGAAGCCGTGGAAGATGTTGACCTGCGTTTACTGTTGAACCACAGCTTGGGGGGGATATCGATGGCAAAAGATAAAAATAAATACAAAAGGGGACCCCCCTGAGTTTATTTGGGTTCGGGCCTTGTCGTCACGCGACTTGCTTTATTGCCTGCCTGCTGCGTGGCCAGTGGCAGCGTCAACCGGTTCTGGTAACACCAGACGGCAAGCAAGTTGACATTTTTAGATTCGCCACATGTTGGTGCTGTGGCCAAGACCAGATCCATTGAGGAGTCAGACGCGCCGTATTCCAACAGTGATGAGCTTCTATCGCGGAGAACAGCTGAGCTGGAAGCTCCCCCGCGCGATATGTGGGAGACCAGAGACAGGAAATTAAACGTCAAGTTTGGCACTTTGTAACGCAGCCCCCCGGTGCGACCAGTTAACCTTCCAAGGAGGTGAAGGCATTGGAGTCCGGTCGTTAAATGCACCCCAGACCGAAGCTGTCTCCATTGCCAATATGCTGCAGGTCCCTGACACACCTGAAGTGGCTAGCGTGGATGGGGCCTGGAAACTCAAGCCATGCGCCGCCAAAGGGGGAGCGAGAGGGGGGCGTAAGGGGGACGGCTAGTGGGGATGACGGCCAGGCAGTTTATATTAAGAGAGCCACTTTGTTGGCGTTATTTTGTCAGGCCCTGGACACCCGGCGGGACAGGGGCTGGACCGGGGGGGTCGAGGAATGAGATGCGAGCATTCGCAGCACAACATGGGAGCCAAGTAGTCAATGTTACGGGTCAACGGTTGGGTGCCTACTGTCACGGCCTGAGCACAACCCAAAACAGCCAGAGTCTAGTGGCTGTAGCGCCAGCAGGGCCGTTAGTCCCAGCGACGCAGGGCTGGTGGTGCCTCGTATTGAACTCGCCCCAGTTGACTTCAGGACGTTGAACTGGTTACTGGCCAACGGTGGGAAGTAGCCAGCAGGGTTCATTTCGTCTCCTATTGTATTGATGCCATCCCAAGCCCTCGTCGGGCGCAACGCCGTGCTTCTGCTCATGTCGCCTCCTTCTCGCCTCCTCCCCTTTGCATCACCCGTATTTGCAGCCCGCGAGCCTGGCAGACGGGACGCCAATGCCCGTGAATAAGGGACATCTGGGACTGGCCGGTTAAACGATACATCAACGCTTGATGCTCCCCTCACCCTCACCCTGCGAATCGTTTCCCGCCGACAGCCACGCCAATCGGGGCCCCTTCTGTACCTCTGGACTTCTGAGCCTTGTCGACGCTCGATGCTCGACGCTCGACGCTTCATCTGATTTGATTATACAAGTTACCTTTGCTGCGCCACGACACAACACCCGCGAGACGTCGCCATTCACTGTGTTCCGGCTACCTGTCCCGCCTGTTCTTATTCTGTCGACATTGGCAACGACGCCTCCCGTTCTTACGAATTTCTCGCCTCGCCGCCAAGTCAGACATCGCCAACGCTGCTGTTGTTTGTCGCACGGCCGTCGTTACCAGAGCCGCGCCTCGTGCCCCCAATACAACCACCGGCGACGCAATACTAAATATATCTCATTCCTCGAATGCGTGTGCGATCGAATTAGACAGTCACCGATCCGGATCACACTGCTCTGTGCATCGTCTGCAGTACATTCTTTTTGTTTGGAGAATTGGATCCTATCAGAACGACTCTCCGGTGATGAAATAAAATAAACCGAGTTGACGACCGACATAGCCCCTATCCAACATCGACCCAAACCCCCGACTTTTCGCGAGTAGACCTCGTTTCCATTCCCTCCTTTCAACCATTTGCAGTTATCGCAAGCCGATCACCGTATTAACCCCTTGCATGCGAACAAATTGCGCCGTTTGACGGTGCACGACGAGTCCATCATGCCGAAGCGCCCGGACTTGCTTGACCTGCGGGCTGATTCGCACTCTTCTGCCATGTCGTCGAGCTCCAGGCCTTTGCGATCCCCGCGCATGCACGTCGCTGGCGAAGTGCCGCCAGAGCTGTCTCCTCTCGATGCATTTGCCCTTCAGAGTCGCCTGCTGGCCAAGCAGCTGCAGGAAAGCAACAGGGATGGAAATAGGATGAGCAGATTACCCCCCCTTACTGTTGAATCGCCTTTGATCGTCCAAGGCCGATCAGAGTACTTCCGTTCGATGTCAGCAGAATCTGTATCAGATCCTGAATCTCCAGAACCCTCCTCTGGCTTTGGCTTCAAAACCGAAATCGAGGATGCGTTTACAAACGAGGAACGGCCCAAGTCGATGCACCCGCGCATGAGCCAGATACCGCCTACCCCCGATGTTGACGTACCGGCCTTGCCTGGATCATTTCCAGATATCCTACGAGGACGACAAATGGACCCCGTCCAGCAACGTGGAGATGTCTTTGGCGCTCGCCAAGAGCGTTCACCATCACCGATCCAGAGTGATAGCCAGTCCCAATATGAAAAGCACTCTGAGCCATCTCCCGCTTGCAAGGACAATAGCTTACAGTCCACTTCTTCACGAAACGCACCTGTCTCTACAGGTTCTCCAGAGAGAATGAAGCAAGGCCGCTTTGATGAACTGGGTCTTGTGCCGCCGCCCTCACTCTTCCCCAGACGCTCATCAAGCATCCTCTCCTCCCCCGTTCTTGAAGATGATGAGAACTCGAGCAACATGGGCAGTTCGTTTCATTCCTTGCCACGTAAACTGTCCTCCGGCAGTGCTGCTCTGGCGAGTTCTGTGCATTCCCCTGCCTTGACCTCATCCTTTAAGAGGTCGCCGTCTGCTGCATCTGATTCATCCGCTCTTCCACGGCCGTCTTTCAATTTCTCGCGACCGCTTAGTAGAGCTGGCACACCTGGGTTCGACGTACCAACTCGTCAGGCTTCATCAGACAGCCAGCCATCATTCATCCTGGCTGATGATACTGCACATACTCCTGTTAGCATGCATAGCGAGGCTTTCATGGATCAGCAGACGGATGACGCTAAAGGTGCTGCTACATCGTACATTTATTCTAAATTTTCTCTTCCAAGAGGGAAAGCGCTTCAGCGACAAGAGCCAAATGAGATCACTTCGGAACAGCCCATGGCATCATCCAGCAATGCTCAACGTTATCCCAATGGCGCACCTCCATCACCTCCTACACGGCCTTCTAGTTCATCTGCTAGAACAGTTCCTGATGATGCGATTAGCACGGTGAGTGGCACAACTAGGCCGTCCATGGACGTTGGTAAAGTAAGTATGGAGAGCTCGAGACTAGCAGCTGCTGGCACATCGTCATTTCCTCCACGGCCATCAGTTGACGCGATTCGGAAGTCTGAGGATGGCCCAAGAGGGCGAGCCTTCACATCAGCTCTGCATGAGCAATCCCGGGGCAGGACGCCGGCCTCTACAAACACAAGCGATTCTGCCAGCACAATTCGGCCGCCACCTACGTCTAGATCCTTGGCCCCAACGGCCTCTGAAATGTCGGCAGAAGAGCATTTGGCCAAGGGCATAGAGTGTCATGAAAACGGTTCCTTGAATGAGTCAACATACCATCTCCGACTAGCCGCAAGACAGAATTTACCAACTGCCATGTTGCTATATGCTCTTGCATGCCGACATGGCTGGGGTATGCGAGCTAATCAACGAGAAGGTGTCGAATGGTTGAGAAAGGCAGCTGAGCATGCCAGCATCGAAATCGCGGATGACGAAGATCAAGTGAAAGAGGGCCGTGCTGCCCCAGCGGCTGTGGTTGAGAGGCGGGCGCGCAAAGCCCAGTTTGCTTTAAGCATTTACGAGCTGGGTGTTTCTCATATGAATGGATGGGGTATCGAACAAGACAAATCTCTTGCCCTCCGATGCTTTGAGATTGCTGGAAGTAAGTTTTTCTAATAGCCGATGTACTTGGCCAGATGTATTAATCAACACGACTTTTGTAGCTTGGGGTGATGTCGATGCCCTTGCAGAAGCAGGATTTTGCTATGCTCAAGGTATTGGATGCAAGAAGAACCTGAAGAAGAGCGCCAAGTTTTACCGCATGGCTGAAGCAAAAGGAATGAGCATGGTGGGAAATAGCTGGTAAGTTTGCCAACTCAAGTAACTCACCGTCGCTCGCTTTGTACTCGATGCTAAAACATCTTATAAAGGATCCACAAAGCCAAATACAACGACGACGACGAGCCGTCACCAAGCAAGGACGGGAAAAAGACACGCAGCAAATCCCGTACACGCACCATGTTTGGCCTCAAGTCTTCATAGGCACTTTGACAACTCATCGACCTCTATATCGACAAAAGCTAGTCGTGCAATCTCTAATGACCATGACGTTTCCCCCCCACATTCATCATATATCCATCTACTTCGGAGTTCATTTTTCTTCCATATTTATCTATTTCTTTCGGGCCGGCAGCTCTGCTCTAGCATGACTTACGGGATATCTCTCCTTGTTTCTACAGTCAGCATTTAAGCAGGCGGATTCTTTATTTCCCCCCTTTCTCTACCCGTTTTAACTTCTTCTTTGCCTGCCTCCTTTCACTTTCTGCCCGAGGGGCTCTCATGTTCCTTACCGGACTGCGAAAATACGTCAGGTTATACAATCTTCCACCCGTGGAAATAATTTTCAAGAGATGCATGATTTCTCACCGCCCTTGCCGGGATTCTTTTCGGAACGCACACAAATAAAAACTTCTTTTGTCATTGCATTATCGTTCTGGGAATGGGGTAATAGGGACCAACGTTTTGTGGAAAGCTTTTCCCTTCGTATTTCGTGTACGACAAGCACCGTTGCTGTCGCTTTGGCGATGTTGTTCCTGGGGAACGGATTTTTATCATATTTTGTCTTTTTGACTCGTTCTTGGACCAAGGCTCCGGTTGGAGGGGCCAGGCATTTGTTTATATACCCTGTGGCGGAATGCCCAGTATTGAAAGATGAATCGAGAATATTGCATATTATTAATTTCCAAAGACTCAGTTGTGTTTCTATATCCTCCTGATCTTGACGACTAGTGGCACCGGGAGTGTAGTCTTCACGACTTGCTATGATAGGATATAAGACGGAAAAGAAAGGGTGTATTCGTATTGTTACATGTGTCTACCTCACTTTGCTACCGCTTCTAGTTTCTAACTCACTATCAAACTGAATCTTCAAGTGTCCACGTCCATCTTCTCCCCCTCAAGTGGCACTTCTGTGACGGTAACGTATCGCCCAATCTCATTCTTCTTGATTATCTTCTCATTGAGAACAGCCGTCGTGCCCTTGGGGTATGCGTAACTCTGCAACTTGGCGCTCTTCTCATTAGGCTTAATGTAGTTCCTCTTGAGCGTCGTCTTGTCCTTGGTGATGATGGCAACATCCACGTTGGAACCGGAGCCCAAGTCGTTGAAGATACCAGCCAAGATGGCCTCGCTGGCTAGCTTGACGGCATCCTCTTGCGTCAAATTTGGCTTCCACTGTGTCTCAAAAACACTCATGGCGGCCAAGCTACCGCTGCCCATGGTGACGTAGGGCAACTTGTCGGTGCTGCCGTGGGCGTGGACGGTGAACAGGTGGGTGCCCGTCGGGTCGCAGCCCGCGACGACCAGATACGCACCAATGTAGCCTTGGTAGCGGAAGAGGTGCTGCTTCAGGAGCGTCATGCAGGTGACGACTCGGGGTTTGCGGCCCGTAGAGAGCGAGTGCAGCTCTAGCTGAGACGAGATGAGGGCCGTGGTGAATTCGGTGTCGGCGGCGGTGCCGGCTCCTGCACACCAGATCTGGGGCGAGATATAGTGCAGCTTTTCGCAGTTTTTGTCGGCGACAATAGGACCTGATGTGGCTCGGGTATCGGCAGCAATCTAAGTAAAGGTGTTACCTGTCAGTATCGGGGGTGATTTCAGGGTTATGGCGTATGAAGCTGGGCCATGAATGATGGGTTGGTTGATTGGCTTCGGGGAAGTACGTACGACAACACCGCCGTCGAATATACAGCCTACAATGGTTGTGCCCGTGCTGGTGGCTTTGGGAAGAGGCACGCCTCTGGCATGTAGTGCCGCATTGCGGTTGTAGTTGGAGAAATCGAAACCCGGCATTGTGGATGGTTGTCGTCCTGTTCGGTCTGCAGTGTTTCGCTGCTACACCGATTGACGGATCGTTTCGTATCTCTGAAGCTACTTTAGAGCGGGTCGCTTTAGGAAGTCCGAAACTGGCGGGATTAAAGAAGAATGTGATTGCGGAATTGTGGTTGTTGATTTCGTTTGATGGAGGCTCGAAGTCGTGGGTGTGGTTGGCGTAGAGGGAGGTTGAGAAGGCAGAGACCTGGATGACGAGGCTAAAAGCTGCCTTCGATTCGCAGGCAGGCGAGCTTCCACCCAGTACTAGTGCTCAAGTGCTGGGCGCGCGCAAGTACAAGCATCTCAGCGTGTGGCGTTCAGTCAACAGCGTGACCAATTGGTCCAAGCTTCCTGCCATGCTTGGTGCGCCTCAGTCACGTGGCTGGTGCCTTCCATCCAACCCTTAACTAGGAGCTACCAAAAAAGTTGGCCTTGGAGGTCATCGCGACAGACTGTGCTACTGCTGCGCTGGCTTCTGTTTGCTTTTCATCCGTTGCTTTTCTACCGGCCATCTTCGCACGTACGCCGATTATACGATTCGTTTTCTTTTGTTGGCTGTAGACACCAGATCAAGGATTGATAGCAAGTTGTCGCGTCTACTGTCGCCGCTTGGCATCTGTCTATGACACTGCTATCCTTTTGCAGCCTGCTTTGATGCTCTGGAGAATGAATGCGTTTCCGTTCATGACAGGTTCTTCGATACGCATTTGGCATTCCAAGACTCTTGCTCATGTACATGCTGGATTGATGAACTAGGACCACTTTTAAACAGGCTGGTATCTGTGCGGCAAACATGTCTTTTGGCTTTGGAAACACTGCAAACACCCTCGGTGATGGCGGTGCAGCTGGAGTAGGAGAAGCATCCGTTGGACCTGACTTGGAGACGATACAGACTGAGGTAAGCGTCCATGTTTTATATCATAAGACATGCTGGTTTTTGCGAAATGTACACAAGGATGGCTAATGGCGGCTTGCGACTGCAGGGTCTTGGATTCCCGCCTCTTGCTGGCGAGGCAAAGGTTCGCCTGACATCACCATGGCTTTCTTTACCTGCCCAGACATCAAGTCTACTTAGCATCGCCTCCCGAAGGGGCCTTGTGGCTGCCGCCGGCCCCGACCAAGTAACCATTGCTACGACCGAGTCCGTTCGAAAAGCTTTCGCCTCCCCAAAGGATGGCGAGTCAGAAGTTCGCTCCTTTGAACCCCAACTCAAAATCCCTATGCCTATGCGCATTTCGCATCTTGCTTTCACTGCAGATGAAAATCATCTAATATTGTCGGCAGAGTCGGGTGGCGGCCTCGCAGTCTATGAGGTGCAGAGCCTCCTCCAGGGGTCGTCGAATTCTGCTTTTGAGCTATCCACAAATGGCGAATCTTTGCTGTACCTGGCGCCCAATCCTGTGGCGGGCAAATCTGAGCTCTGTGCTGTCGTGACTAGCAATGGAAACTTGTACATGGCGAACTTTAAGGAACGGAGCTTGAGTAACCCCTTGAAAACTCAAGTGAGTTGCCTTAGTTGGAGTGCCAAGGGCAAGCAGCTTTGCGCTGGTATGGCTGATGGGACTATCTCTCAAATGACTCCTGAGGGCGATAACAAGGGGAATATTCCCAAGCCTCCAAATTCAGGAGACTGTCACGGTATGGGCATGGCCTTAACTCTCGTCTTTCTACGTCATACGTACTAACATCGAATCCTCAGTCTCTTCCCTCATATGGTTGGAAAACAACTTATTCCTTACCATTCATAGCATGACACACGAGTCACCGCCCAGCTCTATATATCACATTATCAGCCGGCAACCACCATCGTCATTCACCTTCCAAAAATTAACGGATCCCGTCGAGCCTTTTGGGGCAGAGAAACCCCCTCACCACGCCATCTTGCGGTTAAGGGACTTTTTAGACCTGCAAGATCTTCTCATCGTGTCCTCCACTGCCTCAACGGACGTTGGAATTTTGACAAGGTCAAAGACGCCGCTGGCTCACGACAAGCCAGCCGACTCCATCACCAATGTGTTCACTACTACTGAAATCTTGGGGGATGCGAGACGACCTACTTTGCCTATGACGGAGAGCATGGATGACTCAGTGGCTATTGGCGTGGCTCTGGATCTTTCCAGCAAAGACCCGGTTTACAAGCCCATTCCATCAGACGAAGAACTAGACCAGTCCTCGGGACCTCTACCCGGATTCTGGGCTCTGACCAATGAAGGCGTTCTTTGCTCGTGGTGGTTAGTATACAACGAAGCAGTTAAAAAGGGACAAAACTATTCTGGTTTAGCCATGATGGATAGTACAGTCCAGTCAGCACCAGCCTCAACACCCACAGCAGCAGCAACTTCTGTCTCTCCATTTGCCGCTGCTTCCTCAACTCCCTTTGGCTCGTCTACAACACCAATCGCAGCACCGGCTTTTGGAAGTTCCTCACAGCTGGGACAGAAATCTTCACCATGGGGAGCGTCAACTACAACACCAACAACTTCCACAGGGGGCGTTGCATTTGGCTCCAGCACTTTTGGCGGCTCGCCATCTGGCACGGGCTCAGCATTTGGCAAAACCAGCTCCTTGGGCTTTGGCCAATCCTCGCAGTTGGGTATGAGAACGTCTCCGTGGGCATCAGGCGCTGGTTCGAAGCCTGCGTTTGGGCAGTCAGGTTTCTCTAGCTTTGCTAGCGGAGGCAACAATCAAAGTCCCTTTGGTTCCGCCACTTCCACTTCCAACACCAATGATGCAGCAGCACCTGCAGCTCCATCAACTGGAAGCGGCTTTTCCGCATTCTCTTCTCAGGGCGGATTTTCAGCATTAGGTGGCAACAATAGTAGTTCAGGCGGATTCGGAAAGGGCAGTACGTTTGGTGCGAGCACTTTTGGTACACCGGCGAAATCCAATACCTCAGCAGACACTGCTTTCCCTGCTAAACAAGACAAACCACTTGCAAACCCTTTCGCGTCATCAACACCGTTTAAGCTAGAATCGTCCTTCAAACCGGACCCATTCCAAAATGATTCGAACGAGAAGCCTTCCACTACTTTTGGCAGCTCGATGTTCGGAAGCGCATTCGGATCGGCTTTGGGGGCTGTCGCCAGCAGCAAACCCAGTGAAGCCACACCTTTGGCCAAGGATGAGGACATGGATACAACTGAAACCACTGAAGAGACTCCTCAGAGCAAGTCTGGATCGATTTTCCCACTCCAGCAACCCCAAGAATCCACTACTCCAACAACAACTCCTGGACCTTCAAGGTTTAGCTTCGCAACATCATCAACTCCCGGAACCTCACTTTTTGGACAAGCAACCAAAACAGAAACACCTTCTACTGGCTTATTTGGCACTCCTACAGACACTCCGAAACTTGGCAGGTTTTCTCTGTTTGGATCATCCAAAGCTACCGATTCAGCTACCGGGGAACCTAAGGTCAAAGTTGAAGAAGAAAATCCCTTGCCACCTGACACAACAAGCAAAGCTGCTTATCCTGTGGATGGTTCTTCATCTTCCTCGGCAACATCTAATAGTACCCAATTATTTGGATCAACTACTACGCCTTTGAAGCATGATTCTACGCTTTCATCATCCGATTCTGCAACCCCGAAACCCTCCTTGACCCAACCCGATGCTTCGCTGCCGTCCGTCTTTTCAAAACCGGTCAAGCAAGCGCAACCTAGCTCTAAACCTGACGTCGTCAAGGTCACCGAACAGGTCGAAAACCCTATTGTCGTTGAGGATGCTCCGCTGCCACCCGACTTCACCAAGAAGCCCGCTATTCAGACTTCGCTACCTGCTGATTCCACCAAGGCCACGACCACAGCCAATGGCAATGATGCGCCAGCGGCGGCAGGCTTTATTTTGCCAAGGGCCCCTTCAAAAGAGCCGTCGAGCATACCCTCCCTCCCAGAAACAACGGAAGACGATGAGAGTGACCTGGGTGAGGATGAAGTCTCAGAAGGAAGCGGAGTAGATGTCGCAAAGGACCTAAGCCCAGTAACGAGTGGCCTGAACATCACGCCTGGTTTCACTCCTCAAAGTTCGTTCGGCGGCATTGCAGGGGCGACACCGGCCTCTGCCCGACCCGAAGATAGGGCTCGTCCACTGTTTGGAGAAATCAGTCGCGGTGCACCCGCCCTTTTTCCCAAGCCAAGTCAGGCTAGTCCCCGTTCGCCTAGTCCTGTGCGCGGTGCTGTACCCCAGAGAGTGATTAGATCCGATGCTACACGGTCGGTTAGTGCTCCCGGTGTGGCATCGCAGATTCTTGGAGCGAAGCAGTCTCAAATGCACCCCGGCAGCTCCATCATCAGTAGCAGGGAGAAACAGCCGCCGGGCGAGGATCCGTTTATGCTTCAGCATAGACGTATGAGGGAGCGACAAGAGGCGGAAGAGACTCAGCCTCTGGTTGACGAGGAGGATGAAGAAATGCAGAAGGTGCTTTCTTCCGAAGTTGAAGGCACCTTGCAACTTGATGAATTTATTGCGCACTCAAATGTTGCCCCGCCCGCGAAAGAAAGTGTTCCTTCTCAAGTGGAAGCTGTGTATCGTGATATTAACTCTATGATTGATACACTGGGGCTCAACGCGCGGGCGGTCAAGGCATTCACAAAAGGTCACACTGAGAATGCCGCGGAAGATGGCCGAAGTAAACAAGATCTTGAGATTCCGGATGATTGGGTTCTATGCGAGATTAATGACTTGGGCGAAGTCCTCGACAACGAGCTGCACTCAGATCTCGAGAACGGTCGCGTGCAAAACTTGGATGACAAGTTGGACGCCTGTCAAGACCTGTCACGGGATATGCAGCGACTACGAGCTAAACAAGAAGACCTCAAAAGAGTCATTATGACTCGGACGGACCCAGAACAGGCTGAACAAGCCCGAACGCTACCCCTCAGCGCAGAACAAGCTGCTCAGCAGAATGAATTACGAAGGGAATTTACCAACTTTACGAAGCTTCTGACAGAGGCAGAGGAGGCATTGACTCTTCTCAAGACCAGAATTGCAGCTACGTCAAGCTCATCGGTCAGAGGAAGCGCCAATGTACCCACAGTCGAAGCGATCATGCGCACCATTTCGAAGATGACCTCAATGGCTGAAAAGCGAAGCGGAGACATCGACGTGTTGGAGACGCAGCTGCGCAAGATGAAACTCGGGTCAACAAGCCGTGAGGCATCTCCCATGGTGACACCACAAGCGAGAAAGAGCATCATGATGTCCCCAGACGTGACTCCGTCCCGCAACTTCCGCCACAGCCTGACGATGTCATCTGGTGTAATGTCCCGGGACGCGGCGATGAAGGGCACGCCACCAAGGAAGAAGCTTAGCGGATTCAGCAAGGATGAGAAAAGTGATTTGATGGAAAAAAGGGCGAGGCGTCAGGCCGTACTATCAAAGTTGAAGGACAGTGTGGGCAAACGAGGCGTTAATGTATGGAACTTGGAAGATATCGATTAGGCGGCCGCCGCGATTGTTGGTGGACCTATTTCAAAGAGCATGGAAGATTACAAATGTATTTTAGGGGCATGAAGATAATGTATAAAATACTAAGACCAAATGCATTATTTGCATAGACTGTGGAGCTGTCTTAGGAGTGTGAGTGAAAAACCTCCTCTGTAATCTGTATAAGAGATTGATGACCACGAAGTTAACCACAAGTTCATGCTTGTGGGGCCGCCGCGCTAACATGCCAACCAAGCCTACCTAAAGTTTGGCTTCAGGTGGGTCCATCAGCTTTGACTGCACTTGGTGCTACCCAGCTTTTTTTTTTTCTTGGTTGGAGATTTGTTCGTCACCTGCGGCCCTGGGCTTGAGTCGGAGGAGCGTACAAAAAATTTCCAAGCTCGCGGCTCACCACCGAAAAATACTCAACAACTTGCCATTGACGCATTGTATACAGCCATGGCACCAGAAAAAATGGCCAACTGGCGAAGCAAGCCTAGCGCAGAAGTGGAAGAGCAACGCAATGTACGTTTCTTCTCTCCCAAAGTGTATTTTCTTGGCGGTATCTTGCAGCTTGTTGAAGCTCAGCACGGGGAGTAATGCGTCGCCTCAAAATTCAAGCTAACCAAGCCACTCTTTGCGATAGACTGTGGGCATCAACCTCGAGACTGTCACTGATGTAACGTCTGTCGATTACCCGGGCCACTTCCCGGGCGAGGATCACGCCTATTCTCTCGATCGCTTTCGAGCCGGCTTCTCCGTCAACTTCCACCAGAACGAGGCCAACTCTTCTTCCTTCTCCTTGATGGGCCTCGATGCCTCACTGGCCAACGCCTTTCGCCGCATTCTCATCGCCGAGATCCCCACTCTAGCCATTGAAAACGTATACATCGAGAACAACACGTCGGTGATCCAGGACGAGGTGCTCGCTCACCGGCTGGGCCTGATCCCCTTCAACGGCGGCCGCGACGGCCTCAAGAACTTTCTGAAGTGGCACAAGAAGCCGGAGGCAGGGGAGGACCCCTACGCCGGCTGTTTCGACTGGAACACGGTGCGCCTGGAACTCAACGTCACTTGCACCGTGAACCCGGACGCAGCGCCAGACGAGCGCGACCCCCTCAAGGCCTTTAACAATGCACATGTTTACGCCAAGGATATTGTGTTTGTCCCCACGGGCAAGCAGGTCGAGTTCTTCAGCGGCGAGGACGCCATCGCCCCCGTCAACCCGGACATTCTCATTGCCAAGTTGCGGCCCAGACAGACGATCAACTTGTCGATGCACATGCACAAGGGCATCGGCGCTGACCATGCCAAATTCTCGCCTGTTGCCACCGCTTCATACCGCCTCATGCCGACGATTAAGATCTTGAAGCCTATTCTGGGTGCCGACGCCGAGAAGTTTGCCAGGTGCTTCCCGCAGGGGGTCATTGGCCTGGAAAAGGTTACGCCAGCAGAAGCCAAGAAGGCTGGGAGCGGATACGAGGGCCACGCTGGTGAGAAGAAGGCGGTGGTTAAGGACGCTATGAAGGATACCGTGAGCAGAGAGTGTCTTCGACATGCTGAGTTTGAGGGCAAGGTGAAGCTCGGCAGGAGGAGGGACCACTTCATCTTCTCGATCGAGAGCACGGGTCAGTGGGATAGTGATGAGCTATTCGTGGAGGCCATAAAGCACATGAAATTGAAGTGTAAAAAGCTGGAGCAGCAGGTTGTCAATATGGCGAGGTAAACCTTGATTTTGTATTGGGGGAGGGCAAAAAGTGGGCATATAACTGGAGTTTGTGTATATTACGGCTATCTTCCTTTTTGTGTTTGTGAACTGCGTTGCAGTTTTTGGTTCTTTTCTATGGGTAGATAAAACGGTATGATACCATGACGTTATATTTCTCGATAATTTCATCTACTTTCATCTGCATGTGAGGCCTTGGTGATGTAGATGGTAAAGGTATATATCTGCATGGAAGGGGTTAGTCATTATGTCACCAATGCCTGAAGCTTGCGCAGCTCTGGCATATTCGACGAATATAAATACCAAAATACTCGCCCCCCACCCTGGATCAAGGAATGGAAGTATGAACAATTCGAGCTGTTCTATGCCTCCTTGAATTTGAAGAAAAAGTTAAACTCTAGCGGAAAAGCCGGATCCGTGACAACAACCTGCTGCCCATCTATCAATCCCAAATCCATAATCGTCTTGTCCAGATTCGGTCGCGTCTGCTTCTCCAGCCCCGGTGGGAACTGCATATACAACGTCCTCCCTTCAGCTCGTATAGATGGCTTCTTTAGCTGTGCCTCTGGCCTCGTAGCAAACGAGTCCACGAGCTCTCGTAAAGTAACTTTGGGGTCAACTTCTAGTGGACGGGCCTTCCTCCCGCAAACAGGACAATCATCCTTCTTTTCGTGCTTGAATGTATATGTGTAGATGCTGTCGTTGCCAGAGTACATCATGTAGTTGTTTTCAAAGCCCAGGCACGGGGCAGAGTTGGTAGCGATTTTGAACGCCTCATTGCAGCAGGATGCCGCGATGATGGCATTTGTCGACGCTATTGCGGGGATGATGTTTTTGATGGTGCCTTGCGTGAGGGAGTATGTCACGCCCGATATGCCGAATTCCTGGGCGCGAGCGAGCGCCTTCTGGTAGATCCAGGTGACGTGCTCCGGTTCGTCTTTGTCCAGGCTCGGGAACGGCTTCTCCTCCTCCCATGCAATGACGTGCGCCCACTCGACGCAGTGTTCCGGCTGGCGCGGGATAGAAGCAATGGTACAGAGGGGCACGGCTGCTCGGGGCGCGTGCATGTCGAGTTGGCATTCGATGCAGGATGTCATGGAAGGCAAAATCACGCGGGATTGACCCTTGAAGCCTTCTGTGCCGCCGTCGATAAGGGGCTTAATGGAATCTGGGTCGGCTTCGTATTCCTCGGCGATAGAGACAAGCATAGCGTTGATCCATCGGCGTGCTTCGATGGAGTCGAGGCCACAGATGACAAGCTGGAATTGTTTGTAGAAGGTCTCATCAAAGTCCTGGATCCTGTTGTTGTGTGCGGTGATGGTGACGCCCTTTACGCGGTTCTGGACGAATCTGGCCGCCACTTCGGCTTTATATTTACCTACGTCTGAGCTGCGAAAGAGGAACTGTCTGTTTAGGTTGGATACGTCGATAGTGTCTAGAGGACCAAGGTTAGTGAGGGGGGGATTGAGGCTGGTAGAGGGCGGAAGAAGGGGGAGCCGCGGAGTACCCATGTCAATAACGTGAATGTCTTTGAACTTGGACATGGCGAGGTTTTTGAGGATTTCGCACCCTAAACCTCCTGCGCCGCTGGAATGGCATTGGTGAGTGAGATGACATGCGCTCGTGGGCGAGTGAAACGTACACGACGCTGGTGTGAAAATGTTAGCTGTGACTGTTGGCTGTGTCAATGTGTCAAGACGAAACGCACAGAACTTTGATTTTTTCAAATTGTGCTAGAAATTCTTCAGATGTGGCCTCTGGATCGGTAAAGGGCCCAGGGGTTCGTCGTATATGATCAATATACTTCCTATTTCACGTCGTCAGAAACAGGTGGTCCGTTATGTTAGTCAGTGCTTGAAATGTACGCACCATCTTGCCTCCTCATTTATGGTCCCAGAATCTGGCGTGGACTGAGTAGATATGCTCATTTTGTCATCCATTTGCCGTACGGTTCCCTAGGGAGACTTGGGTTTACGGGGGAGGAGAGAGGACGGAGAGATGGAGAGACGGAGACGGAGATATAGGCAGAAAAGAGAGAGTGCAGGTGGTGAACGTCGATAGGTCCAAGTACCTGGGTACATGAATCTAGAAGTTGGTGGTTCGGTGGAGGGTGGGGCGCGCAACCTTAAACCAGTTTGACCTCAGTAGGCGCTGCATTTACTCCAGGCCAACGAGTGGTCGTGAACTTTGAAAGCTCTCGTAATCCCGGCCCATGACGATACAACCTTTGTAATATCTCATGTTCTCAGCACTGTGACTCTGGAAGGCCGGAGCTGGTCAGCCAGCATGGATGAACTACTCACCCCGGTGAGCACGACCTACTTGCGGAAGAGGGAAGATGGGGAGCCGTTGATGGCTACGAAAACTACGGAGCTTTCCAATCTTTCCAAGGTTCTCTCTGCGGATGACGCGTTGTCCGTCCTGAAGAGCCAGCCGGACTATGACTCGCTGATTTCGGCCCTTCGATTTCTTACCAAGGAAGAGGTGTCTTCCGAGTTTAATATTCATGTGCCTAGTCCCAAGAGCGCTGCCATCATCCATGTTCTTGTGTCGGAAATCGTACCGAATTATTGGACTTTACTACAGCAAGAATATTCGATTAAAGAGCCTGCATTCTTGGCTTCGGCATCCGCTGATGCCGTGGGCCTGGTTTCGAGTTTGCAGAGTGTCGCTGGCATCAACGCGGTAGTGGGACACATAAAGGCACTTGTTCAGGAATCAAAATTCGCTACGAAGCATGTCAAGAGGCCTGATATCAACCTACACCTCGATATTTTTCTGGACCTCTTGTCCGTGCTCTTGGATGGAGATGACTCAATTCGACGAATTTGGCAATCTTCAACGGCTGGTTTAGCGGATGCAGTTTCGAGAAAAGTCCAGTCCCAAACGCTGCTCTCCTTGGTAACTAGCGGCCGTATCATATCCATTTCTGCCGAGGCTTCAGAGATTATTGCCAAGGAAGGAAACCCAATCCCTGGTCGATGGCTTGTGGATGGCGTTGAGTATAGCAAGTGGATAGGACGAAACATCGCAACTTGGGCCAAGGTTCAATTGGAGGCTGCTGAACTTCAGACTTGTTTTGAGGTGTTTCAACGATCCTTGTCCTTGGGATATCCGGGTAAGAAGTTGTCCCTGTGCCAAGATAATGAGTTCATGAGCTGATGCTACATAGAGACTTTGCTTACTATCGTCATTGACCAACTCCTGCTGTCTCGAGGTGCAACTTCTGGATTATTCTCCAAAGTTTGTCTCCACCAACCGCAGACATCCAAGAAAGTGATATACATACTCCTAGAATATCTATCACAGAAGTTCTTGAATCACCTGGAGTTGGAAGATGCGAAACCCATCGAGGAGGTCTCTGCCGTTGCTGGCGTAATTGATGGTGTAATACAGAATGACGCGGGTCGCAAAACCCATCTCTTGAATTGGTGCTGCAGTCCCTCTGGGGCTGGGCTAGGTGATGGGGTTGGTATTCGACGAGCTGTGGTGACTGTTCTGGCAAAGGACAAAGAGACAATCACGTCGCTTTTGGAGAAGAGCTTGAACCAGTTCGGAGACCAGCTTTACATCAAACATACTGCAATTCTACAGCAAGAAGGTGAGGATAACAAGAACCACACTCAGTTCAAGGCGCGCTGACTATTTCTGCAGCCCACACCCAAGTATTACTGCTCAGTGCGGCATATGTAGCAAAGCTGTCTCCCATAAAACTAACCATGCTTCTTCGCTCTGGAAGCTATTTATCAACAATATCTAATCGGATTGCCTCCACCAATGCCAGAGCGCGCTTTTTGGGCATGTGTGTCGGAGAAGGCCTATCCGCATTGTCTGACAACAACACTAAGAAGCTCGATTTTCACATGGATGAAATGGAAACAGAAGAAGCACAATGGCTTAAAGGTCTAACTAAAGTCTCGGATCCTATCGGGCCAGTTGAGTCGCTTCTTTCCAATTTTCCACCGCCACAGCCAACGGAACCGCGCCCCCGGCGGGCTCAAAAACCGCAACCAAAGAGGGAACAAAAACCGAAACCCGTTGTTAGCGAGCCAGCCCCAAAAGCCATCATTGAAGAAATTGACTCGTCCGATGACGATGATGATCATCTTCCCACTGCAGCAAAGTTTACGGATGACGAAGATTCGGATGATGATCCAACCCTGGTTCAACGAAACAAGCCTAAACCCCCAGTTTATGTTCGTGACCTCATCACCTTCCTACGAGACTCAGAGTCATACGACAAGCAGAAACTTGGAGTGCAAACAGCTCCCGCACTCATTCGCCGAAAGGCCAACTATGGCACCGAAGTCAGTTCACACGCCGAAGAGCTCGCACGACTCCTGGTCGGCCTCCAAGACAAATTCGAAATTGAAAGCTTTGAAGATTTGCGCCTTCAAGGCATGGTAGCCCTGGTGATCTCCCAGCCTAAGGCCATGGCACCATGGTTCGCCCGTACTTTCTTCGAAGGCGACTACTCCCTCTCACAGCGAACGTCAGTTCTCGTCACCCTGGGATTATCAGCTCGCGAACTAGCCGGTCTCGATATCTCAGAATACAAATCTTCATCGTCATTCCCGTCGAAACGACTCCCCGAAAACATTGAACAGCTCTACCTAGAGCCAAGAACCTCCACAAGCCAACTCTCCTCATCCAACCTCAAACCCCTGCCTCCCAATGCCATCGACAACATTGCCCAGTCCCTGACATCGACATTCCTCGCCCCCCTCGCCGCCGAAGCCGCCGACGCAAACACTGGACCTGACGCACTAAAGCTCCAAACATTCTCCGCGCGGTACAAGTCCAAGTCCCGAAACAAACCGCGTATGCGTGTGATACCAAATACTACTGCCGCTATTCTAGGGACGTACTTCTTCTTCCCGCTCACGGCGCACTTCCAATTTGCACTGCGCTCCTCCAGACCCGTCGTTTTGAATCCCTCCATGCTAGCCCTCTATCTCCAAACACTGGGTATTGTCGTAAATGCTGCCGGCCCGTCGACACTCTCCCTGCCACAACTTACTTCTGAGTTGTGGGATCTGCTATTACGGGTGAGAGTCCATGTATTAGGGGACTTGGGCGCCCTCAAGGGCTGGCTGGTAGCCATGTCAGTGCTGCTAGAGGTAAATGAAGATAATATGCGGCGGATATGCGAAGAGCAAGGCAGGGAGGTCGTAGAGTCGCGTGAGTGGGTGTCAAGTGTATTTGAGCGGACGCGTGGGGATGACGGCGGCGAGGAGAATGACGTTAAGATGTTGGCGGCAGGCGTCTTGATCAAGCTGGGCGAAGCTATTGAGAAGTATCAGGCTTTATTGATGGGGGACTTGCTTGGGTCTAATTAGACAAAGTCTGGGTTTCACATTGCGATGGAATGACAGGCAAATGAGATGGAAAAATTATTTGTAGTATCAAGAAATGCCCTGAGAGCTAAAATAGTCACGATGAAAAACGCCCCCCTACACCCGGGTACAATCCTTCCTAGGAAAAACATCCGACTCCGTGCTTCCGAGCCCAAAATCATGCCAATAGCAAGTGCACTTTTCTTTCGCTCACCAATCTCATACATCATAGTACATTGTCCATCCTCTCCCAACATCATATGCCCTTTACACATACACAAAGAGAATTTCTTAGCTTCCATCACTGACAGACTCCATTCGCGTTACACTGCCCCGTCCAACAGGCAAGCTGTTCAAATAGGCATTTGCGTGGCTCAAGTGATCCCCCAGGCTCATTGCCAGTCGACGCAGCTCGTTCTTGACGTCTTCTGCCGATGCCTGTCCCTGCATGACATATGGTGACGGAGCAAGAGGCAAAGGTGGCAGGACGATGTCCTGATAGGATCCGCGGGGTTGGCTGAGGACTGGCTGTGGGGGAGGAGGATCTTGATAGGTAGCGGGAAAGGTGGAAACGCTGGGCCCGACTGTTTGCTGAGGGGTGATGTCTTCGGGGTCCATGTCTGCGAACTCGCTTAGGGAATACGGCCTTGAAGGGGGATAACTTTGCTGTGAGTTTTGGTCATCCTGATGGGGCTGTTCGTTGTCAGACGAGGGGTCGGGGTAGTCGGCGAGGGCGCTGGAAAACTCCGAGTCGTCTGACACGTAGATGGAGGGTTCTCGAACCGTCGTGGGTAGCACATAGAGTGATGCATGCTTTTCAAGCTCGAAGGGGTTTGCGCCGCCGATTTCCGAGCCGCTCATGGAAGCTACATCCGAGTGAGACGTTGATGGCCGAGTATAATCTGTTCCGGAGTCTGCGAAACTCATGTCGAGGTCGATTAAGCTCCCAACAGAGGCACGGTTGTCCATTGTACTTGAGCTGGAGGGGGCGAGCTCGCTCAACGTCGTGGATGTTTGATACGACTCTGTAGGGTGATGCATCAACGCCGGTCTTGCCGAGTTAGGGGCCGAAGCATCATTGGTAAGAGGGAATCGAAACACTTCTGGGTTCGCGGACGCTGGCGGCGGCATGGTGGGAAATTTCCAATCCTGGGTACGTCGGTTGTTGTTCAGGTCGGCAGGGTCACTCAACGGCGGCCTTGGGTAGGGCGTGTCTCCGAGGTCGTAGTCTATTGAGGCATGAGAGTCACCAGCTCTGATGGTCCCCATGTCGACAAACTTAGATATATCGGCCCCATGCAATGATGCGTCGAGGTCGATCAGGGACTCCCGAACGTCCGCTGGTGCAGCAGACTCATCTCGGAGTGGGAGATCTGAAGCTGAAGCTGAAGTGGGAGCTGGAGCCGGGAACGGACGCCCGTAGTATGCTCTTGAATTGTCTTCGTAGTTTGATATGGTATTTGGGTCAAATACCTTTTCCAAGGGTGCCTTGATAGATGGTAATTGTGGTGGTGGTCGTCGCCTGGACTTGCCCTTCTGAGGTTTTGACGTCTCCTCAAAAGCTTGCTGGCTGAAGTCAACCTCGGTACCATAAACGTCGTAAACATCCTGGGCATCTCCATCATCAAACACTTGCTGGTCAAAGGCAGCCGTGGTGCTAAAGTTCCACTCATCATTGCCCATTGCAGTAGAGGCAAGGTCGGACAAGCCTTGGGCACCGCCTATTGAAAACAGAGAGCGTCGATCTCCTCCTTGTGCCTCCCACAACTTGAATGCTCGTACTAGGTGGGCTAGCGATGACGAGGGATAGGCATCCTCCGTCTTGAGAATGTATCTGTGACGCTGGATTTGCTCGATTGTTGGGCGTTTTGCAGGGTCATGTTGCATACAATAGGCGGCGAGATCCTTCAAGCCGGCAGAGTATCTGTCCCCCTCAAGACGCGGCGTGTGCTGCTTCAGATGAGTGCCTAGTCTGGAAAAGTCGATGCCATCCGTTACATTGGGCGGCAGTCCAGAGGCAATTTCATACACCAACGAGCCAAATGCCCAGATGTCGACTTCGGTGCCATATGAAGTTGACTGATCAAAGAGCTCGGGGGCCATCCAGTGCGGGGTGCCGATAAAGGTACTTCGCTTGTCAAACTTGGTTTCAATGACGCCAGCAACGCCAAAGTCGCAGAGTTGAACGTCGCCAACCTCGGTGATCAGGACGTTGGCGCACTTGATATCGCGATGAATAATACCCTGGCCGTGAACCCACCAAAGAGCCTCTGCAACTTCGCGCAGAATAGGAATGATCCATTTCTCCTGCAGCCCGCCCGGAGCAGTGGGCGTCATTAGAGTCGAGACGCTGCCGCCAGCGCAATACTCGGTAATCATCCACATGGACTGGCCAACGGGCAGTGCCTCGATGACATGATTGATATTTTTGGCGCCGCTGTCGCTCAGCAGCTTCAGGGCATTGATCTCTTTGAGGAGGTCACTGTATGTGTCGGCCAGCTTGGGGTTGACAGTGTCGCTCTCCTCAATGTCGATGATCTTGACGGCAACGAGCTTACCCGTAGTTTGAGACGTTGCCTTGTAGACTCGGCCAAAGCTTCCCTTGCCAATCAGCTCCGAGAGCTGATATCTCGGAATATCCTTTCCTGACTTTGTGCACGTCTCGACGACGGCCTTTTGCATCTTCTTGGCATCTTCAAAGGCCTTGTGTCTGGTGGCCGACATCTCAGTCAGACGCGGTTGAAGGGACGCCATTTTGGCGAGACGGACATGGACGGCAGGCCGGGCATGCAACAGTGAGATGGCAAGAGATCAAAGGGCCTAGGCCCAGTCATGCGCCGACTATGTGGAAAGATGAAGTCTGCACTCTGCACCGACAGGGAATGCGGCCATGGCCGTGCAAGTCGCCAATCTGTCAAGTCTTTTCTGATGCGCGATGTGGTTCGAGAAGTGGCAAGGAGAAGCAGTGGAGACCTGGGGCTCGGAACGAGAAGTACGGAGTACGTACGAGTGTGTCAGACGGAGCCAGGGGCCCAGGGGCCCAGGGCAGGCCTGCCCAGAGGCCACAGCCGCAACTTGGCTGGGTGGCAGCCCGACGCTGGTGTGACTGCTAGGCAACCCCCTGCGAAGCGCGTTACTGGTACCTGGGTGCCGTAGCGTTGGTGGCGTTAGGGCGATGCGTACTTAAGTAAGTACCGTCGACCCGTCGATGCTCGCCTTCAATGTCCCAGTAGGACCCGATAGCGGGCTGTGCCGGGCTCCCTCCACTAAGCAACGTCTGGAATGCCCACTGAGCGGTGCCGTGTCTTACTACTTAAGTACTTGTACTTAATACCAGACATGCGTTAGAAGTAGGGTCTGGTGCATGTGGCATGTACAGTGGGTGTACATACAGAAGTATGTAGCAGTTACCCGACAACCATTGAAATGCCCTTTAAGTCAACATTTGAAGCTTCAGGGAGCCACATCAAGATTACACAATGACTCTCTCTTTACTCCTACCCATTGCTCGGTTAGAAACACACACGTCTTGTTGGTCATGGGTTATGTGATACGATACGACATGCTATGTGCTTCCAAGTCTCTATTGCTGCTCGTGTCCAATCTCAAGTAGTTGCTGTCTAGACACCTTGTATTCTCGCTTCGCTGCGTTTCAACCACACGGTACAAAGGTCGACTCTCTGTTCTTGTCCCAGACGAGATGCCCTGCTCCAGTCCAATGCCCGTTATTCATGACTCTTTTTGCATCTCTGCCACCATCTTCTCGTGAATGCCCCGCCAAGTACCCTCACATGTGTTCCTGATGACGCCGACCAGGAGCCTGGAGCATTTTACCACCACGTCCTCAATCAACTCATAGCCGCCGCCGCCTTTCTTTTCTTGAATCGTCCAGACCGTCTCCATGATGGTATTCAGTGGGCTTCGTATTCTTATAAATACACCCTTCTCAAGGTTGATAAACTCATACGTGCTTACCACATCCGAGTCCCATAGTCCAGCCGGAAGAGCGTGGACCTTGTCTGTGACTTGATAGCACTTGGGCGCCGCAACGCCATGGAGGCCACGGTCTGTTGGAAGCTGTGGCTCCGGGTCCATTGGCTTGTCGATTGCTTCATACTTGATCATGTGCGGGTTAAACTGAATGAAGAACACGTGCCCCTGGAGCATTTCTACGCCTTTGGCTGCATTGACGTCCCCCGGAAGAGGCGTCGTATGCTTGAGGGAGTCTGTAGTATTGAAAAGGGCTACACACAAAATATGGTTACTCAAAGCGTCCAGATTGCCATCGTACGAGTATGGATAAAGCATAGCCGGGGAAAAGGGGGGGAGGCGGCATCTTACAAGACATATTGCTAAACACTTTGTATAGGAAATGCGAGAGCAGCCCGGAGAGATAAACAGAAAACCATCAAGAAAACAAATTTATACAAACGACGGGGGTACTTTGCTTTACGTCGCATATGCGCACATGCATGTTTGAGGCGGAGGAGGGGGGGGTTGACACGGCTGTTACGGTACGGAGTAGCGTCGAGGCTAATCTTGTTCGTCTCGGCTCGTCTCGCCGTGGACATCAGACAGCAAGCGACTCAGGTGGCGGTTGCAGCCGTCCGGGCCCATGGTGACTTCTCTGGTTGGAAAATATTGTGTCCATCGATGCTATTATTTCTTTGTAATTATTGCATTATTTGATAAAAAATTTCATCACGATGACCCTTTTGCTTTGCTGGTTGGAGACTCTGGATCCTGGGTCCTGAATCTCGCAATATCGATTGACCTTTTGCGGCACCAGTGGCAGCCTCCACCGCCTCCTATTGGCGATGCATCCGACAGCATGTGACCTCGCGATTGTCCGTGTAACCACTACCGCGCGACTGGCGTGTCGTCGTGATGGGTCAAGTGCTCGTACCCACCTCCGCAGAAGACATCGTGAATTTTTAAATTGTTCATCTCCCATTCACGCCGCTTGCGAGCCAAAGTTTCAATCTAGTATTTCCTGAAGACAACTCCCAAAGTATTGATGGATTACTCATACGGCGTATAATGCACGTCATCCCGTACTCCGTACTGAGCCATTAATTGTCACAATGGTCGCCACGGCGAGATCGAGCCGATCCTTTACGCCTAGAAAGACTGCGACGGCAACGCTTTCGTCAAAGAAACCTACAAAGCCAAATGCAAGCATTCTTAGCTTTTTCCAGAAGACCCAACGACCAGAAGACTCTCTCTTTGTTGGAGCCACACCCGATGCTGCTACCCAGGACGATGATATCTACGGTCGTGATGACGAACATCGGTTCAATGAGTCGACAATGTCCAACAAAAAGAGAAGAATGAGCAATGATGCTCCTGCACTTCGAAAAAATGACAATGCTGTCCCAGCAGAGGGGCATGCTGATGAAAGCTCGGACAATTGTAACGCGGACAACAGTGCCAAATCTCGACTCAATCTTCCGTTCCTCGTGGACTCTGATAGTGACGAGGAGGATGAGGGCAGCGATGAGGATGACAGTGGTAATCAAGATGGAGTACCTTCTCCTATTTCTCCGCAGCCAGAGAAATCGTCTGTGCAAGGTACTCGTAAACCTACTAGCCCAGGTCGGCCAAAGTCCCATGATGACCCAAATGTACGATGCCAAAGTCCCGAGAAGTTGCTGGATTCTAACGAACAAGACCAAAAATGCCATTGGCTTACAGACCTCGAGGACTTTGGCGAAATAGATAATTTGGACTTTACAGAGTTTGAAGGCGAGGAAGCGCGGGAGATGAGATACATGCGGGAACAAGCCCGACTGGAAGCTCAGGAAGCAGGAACAGCCATACCTGAAGAGTTCGGTCAAGATTCTTTTCAAGATGATTCTGCGGCTCAGACATGTCCAATTTGCAATGGGAGTCTTCAAGGCGTCTCAATGGACGAAGCGACCAAACACGTCAACTCATGTCTCGACGGCAATCCAATACCCTTACCAGAACACAAGCCCCCCACAGCTGCATCGCCACCGCCTGAGATTGAAGCTACGGTAATAAGCAAACGATTTGCACGAGCCGCAATTCCAAGACCTGGACAGGCAAACCCTTTCGAGCCGGAAAACGACGGAAGCGCGGCCAAGTCTGCTTTTTCGAAGCTCATGTCAAATAAAGCCGAAGATTCCGCCTGGGCCGCGGCGGCGGCAGCCGAGAACGCTTCAAGGGGTCGTCCAGCCTACGAGAGAACATGCCCGTTTTATAAAATCATACCCGGGTTCAACATTTGCGTTGATGCTTTCCGATATGGGGCTGTCAAGGGATGTGAGGCGTACTTCCTCAGTCACTTTCATAGCGACCACTACATCGGCCTGACGGCGAACTGGATGCATGGGCCAATATATTGCAGCAAGGTGACCGGAAGCTTAGTGAAGCAGCAGCTTAGAACAGCTGCAAAATGGGTAGTAGAATTAGACTTTGAGAAATCCTACGATATTCCAGGAACAGGCGGCGCCACGGTCACCATGATACCGGCCAACCATTGTCCCGGTAGCTCATTATTTCTCTTTCAGAAGCCTGCCGACAAATACATCAATCGTCGAGGCAAGCGGATCCTTCACTGTGGCGACTTCCGAGCCTGCCCAGCTCACGTAACCCATCCACTTATCAAACCAGACATTCAAGATGCAACCACGGGCAAGCTGAGCCAGCAAACCATTGACATATGCTATTTGGATACCACCTACCTTAACCCGAGATATTCATTTCCACCACAGGCTGACGTCATCAAAGCTTGTGCCGATATGTGCGCATCACTATCTCCAGATCCTACATGTAAAGATGACTTTTGGGAGACGGGTGCCAAGGAAAAGGGGGCACAAGCAGTCAGCAAGTATTTCCAAAGTGCCACGCAAAGTAACGGCACCGTCGGGACCAAGACTTCACCCAAGTTGGGCCAACGACTTCTCGTAGTCTGCGGCACCTATTCCATCGGAAAGGAGCGAATATGCGTCGCAATTGCCAAGGCATTGAAGAGCAAGATATTTGCCATTCCCCGTAAAATAAAAATTTGCAAACAGCTCGACGACCCAGAATTGGCCGGACTCCTCACGTCCAATCCTGTGGAAGCCCAAGTTCACATGCAGTCACTCATGGAAATTCGAGCAGAGACTCTGCAAGAATATCTGAATGGCTACAAGGGGCACTTTAGTCGCATCGTGGGTTTTCGCCCCAGTGGCTGGAACTACCGACCTCCAAGTAGCAAGCAAAAGTCAGCTGATGTCTCGCCAACTAGCATACAAACACAACAGATCCTTCATGGCAAGGGTTGGAGATCAAGGTTTGGTTATAAAGACTTTGTGGCGCAGCCGGGCAGCACCAAAGAAGCCATGTGTTTTGGAGTTCCTTACTCGGAACATAGTAGCTTTCGAGAACTCTCCATGTTCATAATGAGCCTGAGGATAGAAAAAGTCATCCCTACAGTGAATGTAGGCAATGAGAAGTCCAGAAAGAGAATGAAGGGATGGCTGGACCGATGGGCATCTGAGAGACGGCGGGGTGGTCTTCTCTACCCCTTAATAGAGGGGCAGGATAATCCTGAAGACGAGAAGATATGCTTGTGGGGAGATGAGTCTGGGAAAGGAGGAGGGGCCTGGTGGTAGATTACTCCATACATGAGGAGCACTCGCAGGAGCATGATGATGCTTGTATACATACACACATATACGTTTGAACGGATTGAATAAGTGTCATTAGTCCATTATTCATTTTAGACTCAACGCCGTTGCCTTGGTTGTCTTGCCTTGGTTGTCACAAGTCCATTCACATCCCCTGCCCATGTCCAAGCCGCGAGGCCCAGACAAATACTCACATCCCCATGCTTCAATAACCACTCAAAGGAAGCCCAGTTCACCTAGCCTTGGCCTGCTGAGCAGCGGCTTCTACAGCACGGTCAGTAAAATATACATCTCTGCATCACAAAAGGAACAAACTGACCTCTCCGCGTTGCATCCTCCAACAGCTGCGTATCTACCGACCCAGCCGGCAAATGAACATAGCGCACGACCGAGCCTCGGATAAAGACGTTCTTGACCGAGCTCTAACTACCGTCAGTCCAGTGCCAGGCTAGCATTTGGCAGACGAGGACAAAGCTGCACGCATGGCCACACACACGCGGGGCGTGGGGGACAAAATACGCACCAGATGAGGGTACTTCAGCTCCTCCACGACAGAAATGTCATCCAGCTTAATGTTGAGGTACTGGTCTACGCTCTTGAGCGTTCCCTTGAGCTGGATGTCGTTTTTGAGCTCCACCGTGACTTCATGGTCAATGAGGGTTTTGAAGAAACTGCCCCTTGAGGTTAGGACCGCCCTTGAACTCAAATAAAACGTGTCCCATGTTGGAAAGAGACAGAGTCGAATGAAAGTAGACTTCGACTTGCTGCATGGCAGGCATGCGCCGAGGGGGCAAAGGTGGGATTACCTGAAGAACAGCATGGTTTGGGGCTCAGTGGGATGGAGGTGTTGAGGATGGGCGCAAGTTTCGTGGTGTTTCGGGAGGCGTCGAGGAAGGCTCTAGGCACTCGGATTTGAATTTTTGCCGAGATTTAAAGGGAACCCGTTGGTGCGCTCTTGGTACAATTTTCTGGGACTCGGGCGATATTTGTTGTTTCTTTTTTTTTTGGTGAGGTTCTTGATATCTTGTTCTAACTTCTGGGACTACGGCGCATCGCGTTGCGAGCTGTTGAGATCCATCCACATCACGTGATTACCTTTGACTTGCTCTGGATTCTGATTTCACCTTTCGGGGGTTGAAAGAACCGATGCTGACCTTATTTTTTTCTCTTCTTTTGCCGGTCATGGAATAAATTTACCCTATTCAAGCAAATCATACACTACTGCCCATGTCTTTCTGTTTTATGCTACATGTACAAAGGCCCGCTTCTTCGCACTCCTCTCTGGGTTCTCATCCTCCCACTTCTCATCAACATAATCCTTGATACTCTTATCGCGGAGTTGCATCCCCACGACCTTGAGTGCGGCAATATTAACTCCCATTTCATCCTTTTGTCTCTTCAGCGCTGCTCGCAGGTTTGTGCGTATCCCATCCATCATAGACTTCATTGTGCGACTAGCTACAATTTGCTTGTGGTGAGTCTTGATTATGAAAAAGAGAATGCGGCACGTCAGGGGGATGTTCATGGACCGCATGGCAAAGATGTTGAGAAATGTTAACAGTATCGGGACGGTGGCAAATGGCAGAACGAGCAGTGCGTCGTGCAAGGCAGATGCCTTGATGCGTTGCAGGACTGACATGACGTGGACTTCGGCGGTGATGTTGCCGAGAGCGAGGAAGACGGGGTTGCGCTGTGGCGGGGGGGCGTGAGGGTTCGTGAGTTTTGCTTCCTCATATTCTTTTATAAGGTTCAGGTCGGCCATGCCCATTTCTAGGGCTTCTTGTATTCTTTCACCAGCCATCAATGTCTCTGTTGTCTGTTTTGTTGCCGCAGCTACTTCGCCATTCTCGCCCTCGGCGTCGGGGTCATTTTCAAGGGAGGTTGTTAATGTGCTTTCGTAAAGCTCCTCCATTTCCTTCTCTCGCTCCTCTTCGAGGAAGATTTGCTCGTCGGTTTCCTCCCAAACCCGGATGCTCTTGTCGTGACTAGCGCTCACGAGGAAGTTTCCGGTGTGACTGATGGCAATCGTCCAGATTTCGCTGTGATGGCCGTCCAGTCTCTGAATCTGCTCAAACTTGTCTCCGTCCCAGTATCGAATGGTCTTGTCTTTGCTACTGCTGAAGAAGTGGTGGCCATTACCGTCGGAATTGTGTGGGACAAAGGCGACTTGCAGAATACTGTCCTGGTGACCAAACAATGCTTTGTGACAATCACCGAAATCCAGCCCCCATATTCTTATATTCTTATCCGCTGAACTCGTAACAATAAGCTTGCTGTCGTACGAGATGTCCATACTCAGGACGGGAAGCTTGTGACCATAGAGGTTGAGGTATAGCTTTAGCGAATTTACAAAGAAAACTTTGACCGTGTTGTCTAGCAAGGCCATCGCAAGCAGCTTGGCATCGGGAGAAAATTTGAGACTCAGAATATCATCAGACACTTTGAGAGTGCGTGACTGAACAAGTTTCAGCTTGGGTGTTGTCCTCTTCGTGCCAAGAATCTCCTCTTGGACAATCTTGAACTCCCAGAACTTTGCCGTCTTATCGGCACTGCCAGAAACAACGGATCGTCCATCGGGATGGACGCTAAGGCTCCAAATGGCACCCTCGTGTGCCTGCACGGCATCGATCAGTGATGCTGATGCAACATCGAATAATTGCAGTTCACCACTCTTCGTGCCGACGACCACCACTTTGTCACCCGGCAAGAACGCGCAGCAAAGAGCGTAGCCACACTCAAATGTACGAATACACGCTTGAGTCTTGATGTTCCAAATCTTCATCGAACCGTTGGCTGCCGAGGCAAGCATTTTATCATCCGAGCTCAGGGACAATGCTCTGATGTCAGCTCGATGTCCCGGCAGTTCTACAGCCAAGCCGCGAGTATAGTCAGGGATGTCATCTTTCTTCTTGCGCTCAATCCTCTCCTTGTGAGGGATGCTATAGTACTCCAGTTGGTTGTTTGTTGTGCTCACCAACAGTTGTAAGTCCTTCTGGTTGCTGGATGTTGCCCAATCAACTGAGCGGACCTTGCCCCCAGTTCTGACAATAACATACTGAACAAAGACATCCCCAACGTTCGCTTTCGAAACATCCTCATTGGCTTCATCGCCGTTTTCCGCATCATGTTCTTCGGCCTTGCTGTCCTTCTGCTTTTGTCTGCGTCGCTGTCGCTTTCGTGCTAGACTCTTTTTAATTTCCGCTTCGGATTTGATTCTCCACACATCAACACTCTTCTCGGAGCCATGGACGGCAAAGTAGTCTCGCTGTGGGTGGAAAATAATCTCGATTGCTCGATCTTTGCTTTGCCTGTGAAGTATTCCACGGTCATGAAGGTAATGAGCGGCCGCAGAAATATCGACCTGTTGGGTGCTGGCGGCTAAACCTTCGGTATCAATGGACCAGACTTTCATCTCGCCGTCATTTCCTGCGGTGATGCATCCGCTTACATCAGGAGAAACACCCAAGGCCCAGCATTCGCCATTCGTTTGAGAGATATGTGTTTCGATGCAGTGTCTTGATGAGAGGTCCCAAAGTTTAAGCAAAGAATCCTTGCCAGTCGTGATTAGGAAGCCATCCGACGAGTTTTCATCATTCAAGAGCATTGCGCGTGATCCGTCATCATTCTCAACTTGCAACTTGGGCTCGATGAACTGGAGCCCAGTGACCTGATCCTTGTGTCCGCGTAGTTTAAATTGGCCGACTTCAGCGACCAGATCCCAAATAATAACATCGGTATCCTTGGAGCCACTGGCAAGTCGTACGCCAGAATTATCGAATGCTAGCTTCGTAACAGCGGACTTATGACCGTTGAAATTAACAATAACCGTCGAAATTTTACTGTCCCAGAGTCGGATACTACCATCCTCGTATCCAATGGCGTAGACGTCTTTGTCTGCCTTGCTCTGCGCGATTGCAGTCACAGAAGCTGTACACCGTTCGTCCCTCCATCTACTGATAAGCTCTCCCTTTTTTATATCCCAGCAGAGAACTTCTTCATTCGCGGCGACGACGGCTTGTCCGGCGCCACTACTGGTCCGGTCTTTGGCAGCCCAGAGAATGTTTGAGGTGTTGGTCGTAATCACACCAAACGACTTGGCGTGTTCGTACTTTCTAATAAAAAAAAGGGTCAAATTTCTAGTTATTGATGGAGTGAGGCGTATAAAAAAGCACTTACAGGTACGATTTCACCATTGTCGCAAAATGGCAAGGTCAATTGGTGCTATCACTGTCGAACTCCAAAATGCCATCCTCACTGAGACCAGCCCTTTGGAGTGGGATATTTTTTTGCTTATCGATAGAGATGTGGGGCGCATCTTAGAACTATCTTGTCACGTGGCCGCTCACCTCTCGCGACAGCTCGATGGCCATCCCGCACTTGCTCAGCCCCACCATGTGTCGTCAACAGCTCCAGACGCTGGGAGGAGCAGGCAGATCTCGCGAACTGCAAACACATTTGCAACGATGCTTCTCCTTGATTACCAGAATGTACTGATCCAATCGGTTCTTACCGAAAGGTTCTCCGGGTTCGTAAGGGCTTGTGCTGGCTAATTTTCCACAAATAACTAACCATGTGCACCAGAGCCCCTCCTACTTCCATCGACCAGACCGTCTCCGACTTCGATGGCGTTACCTTTCATATCTCGACTCCCGAAACAAAGACTAAAATTCTCCTTTCTATCCAAATAAGATGTTTCCAGGATCTAGTTCAATATGGCGCGGAGCAGGTTCTTCAGCGAGAATATGGTCAATATGTCGCACCAGTGGAGCCTGGTTACGACTTCTCTGTGCTCATTGACCTCGAGAATCTACCGGAGGAGAAAGGTGCGAATCGCAACTATACCCGAAGAAATTGAGCTTTTCGAGAAAGTCCTAACAATCCGCGCTTAGAGGAGCGCGATGCGCTTGCAATGAAATTTGCTCTTCTAAAGCGAAATGCGATGGCAGCTCCTTTTGAGCAAGCTTACCAGGAGCATTACGAGCTGAAAGAACAGGCATCAAAATTCACTTCCGAAGAGGCCCCTCAAGGTGTTCGAGAAGGTGGCCAGGTAAAGGCGATCCGCTACCGAGAAGAAGAAGCGATCTACGTGAAGGCTAGCCACGATAGAGTGACCGTCATCTTCAGCACGGTCTTTCGAGAGGAAACAGACAGGGTATTTGGCAAGGTGTTCATTCAGGAATTTGTCGATGCTCGAAGGAGGGCTATTCAGAATGCTCCGCAAGTCTTGTTCCGAAATGATCCGCCTCTGGAACTGCAGGGAGTTCCTGGTGTACAGAACACTGGCACCGGAGAGATTGGCTATGTCACATTTGGTACGTGGACACTGTCTCCTTTGCTCACAATACGACGCTGACAGGCACAGTACTTTTCCCAAGACACTTGACCCCCCAAAGGATGCCAATTGTCATTTCGCACATCCAGACTTTCCGAGATTATTTCCACTATCACATCAAAGCATCCAAGGCCTATATTCACTCACGTATGCGAAAGCGAACGGCAGACTTCCTTCAAGGTTTGTATTCCCAAATTGCACTCGCTGGAACCAATGCTTACTTTTCCTATAGTGCTGCGTCGTGCACGTCCCGACAGCGAGGAAAAAGAGAGGAAGACTGCAAGTGGACGATCATTCAAGGTCCAAGGAAGCTAAGGAGAGACGCTTGTGGATGCATATTACGCGTGTTGATGGCTGGCGCAGTAGACAGCATCTGTCAAGTGTAGAGAACAGCACCTGTAGACGAAGTTCAATGAAAACGAGCCACCCAACCATTGCCTGTTAGTACTTGGTAATAAATAACATGCGAGTATCATCTAGTTACCTACCAGATAGGTGTTTACTTGCTGTTGTTACTGAGTGACAAACTCACGTTGTAAGCCAGCTTGTAGACCTGAGTATCTTGGCCTCTGGTGCCAATGCACCAGACAGAATACCGTTGAGGTCAACTGGTAACTCAAGGTAACTAACGTAGTAGTGGGTGGAGTGGGGTGTTCGTCCCTGTAACATTGATAGCCTCAGGCAGCCGGACAGCTAGCTGCCACACCTCAGTGAAAGTAATCACAGCCAAACGACTTCAATCCACGTCTCAACGCTTTCTACCCGCTAAGCATCGTGGACAAGCACATGGCCAGTCGGCCTCCGGGTCGAAATTCAGGATGGTGTGGCCGTTTGGATCGCGAATCTCGACATCAGAAGACTCCAAGGACGAAGCTGAATCGACAAAACGCCCGGTGTCATGGTCTGAATCTCTAGGACGAGCCGAGGCTGATCCCTTGGGTGCGGCAAAAGAATGGGCGCCAGTTGTAGGGTTCTCTCTCGTTGGACTGGGCGCCTTGCAACTCTACGCAAATTATCTTCGCCGGATTCCGGGTGCAGCCTTTATTCGCCCATCTTTTTTCCGAACCCGAAGCCTGTTTGGCAGGGTCACGGGTGTTGGTGATGGTGATGGCTTCCATCTCTTTCACACACCGGGTGGTAAAGCCGTAGGCTGGGGGTGGCTGAGAAAGGTTCCTGAAACCAGAAAGGAACTCAAGGACCGAACAGTAGGTCCTTTTGTGGAGTAGAGGCGATCGTCCTGAAAGTCTCAACTAACTTGTGTGTGCAGATATCGGTCCGTATTGCTGGCGTCGATGCCCCGGAAGGAGCGCATTTTGGACGGCCAGCGCAGCCATTTGCCGCCGAAGCGCAGAAGTGGTTATCGGACTATATCCTACACCGGAACGTGCGGGCATATATCTACAAGCGCGACCAGTACAATCGTATTGTTGCGACGGTCTACGTTCGTCGGTTTCTTATACGCAGAAATGTTGGCTTAGAATTGGTTAAACGTGGCCTAGCTACAACATACGAAGCAAAATCGGGTGGCGAATACGGCGGACTGAAGGCTGTATATGAAAGGGCCGAAGCCAAGGCGAAGAGGAAGCGGAAGGGCATGTGGTCTGGAAAAGCGGGCGCATTTGAAAGCCCTAGGGAGTACAAGTCTCGGTATCAAGGGCAGGAAAAACCGAATGAGTAAACCGACAGCGGGCTACAACACTCAAACACCCTATTAATATACGTGGGGTTTTCGGAAGCAATCAAGAAGTGAGACTGCCGCAGAAGCGACCCTGAGGAAAGATTACCACGCCGCCACACTTGGGTTCAACTACTTGGCCAGTATATATGAGACGATTGCCGCATATCCTGGGGAATAGCTGCTTCCGTTGCTCCGGCGGACTACGGCAATTCTTATGCCTGATGTTTGAGCCAACGTCGCAGATTTCCGCGGTGTGACACCACCTTGCGAGCCCGTTTTCTGGACGTACGTCCTCAGACCGCCCTTGAAATGCGGTCATCTAACAGATCTGGTATGTACTAGGGAGTAGACAAGAAACAAAGCCCGGGGTATTGTGACGTCTGGTATAGACAAAGCAAGGCGTGGCTGTCACGAAGTCGTTCGGAAAGCTAGTCTGAGGCTGTCATGACACAAACCTCATTTTAGTATGTCAACCATGGCATGATAATGTTGTACAGCGATGTGGGCAAAAGTACAACGCTAGCGATGGTATGAAGTCCGCAGGTGGACGAGGATCAGAGACAAGTTGTATGCGCTTCAAGATATACCCACGCACAAGTGTTTACGGAGCCCTTCGTCGAGTAATATTGTACAATACCATCTAGTACTACTAGTAGGCAATATGTACTTACGAGTAGGAAGCAGGTTGATGTGGCTTGAGGGGCGCAAGATTGCTAAGACAAAAATGGTCAACTGTTGATAGGACCCGTTTCTACCCGCAAAGTTAGTATGTAGTATATCTGGCCAGCGATCATTGTACGTACAAAACATGCGTAGAACATCCGTCGTCACTTTGATACCTCTGACGTTCATAATATCGTTCTAAGCTGATCTATGGAAGGAGAATGTGGGAGAGTGCATGCGTCTGCTCTCCACGGCAAGCCTCAGAAGAGCCCACTTTCGCGCACATCGAGCAAATGGATTGACGACACAGGTCTCAGAGTCCAATGCAGCAGTATTCACTCGGCAGTTAGTTACGACTTTACAGGTCAGTTTCCTCTTATGCAACTGGCGAAAGGGTACAGAGCCCTCCGCATGGCAAAAAGTAAACAGAAATCATCTTTGTGAACCCCTCGCATCTGAGCATCTCGGCAGGCAAGCCATTCACAGCCCTCGGCTCAATGGTCAGGCACGAGGTTGCAAGGCTGGTCGAACGTTGCCCCTGGCCCCACATGGTACTAATGGCTCCCGTGTTTCCGGAAGGAATGGACAAAAAGGTTCTCATACAACTACAAGACTTGTACTGTTGGCTGTGTGGATATTTTTGTCTATACGGTAGAGTGTGGGTCACACCTGCGACAGTCCCCTGATAGGTCCAACTAGTGCGAGTTTGCGAGGTACCTGACGGAGCTCAGGCATTGCAACCCAGGCTAAACTCAACACCAACTTGCAGAGACATGAACATCCGGCCTGCACACATGCGTCAACCGCTCAATTGCATGACGACGAGCCACGAGGGAAAAAAAAAAGGGATAAGAAGCCGACTGCGGCCCGAAGAGGAGGCGGAGTCTATGTAAGCCATCAGCGTTGGAGCAGCTTCTCTCCCTCCTCATACTTGCCGATGCGCTGCTTACTAACTAAGTACATCTACCTGTACCTAGGTCGATACTCTTTGTCGCCGCCGAAAGAGCTCTACAGGGAGTACTGGAGTACTCCGTACAACATTGAAGGCTCTGCCAAGCAGCCCAGCATCTTCAGCCACCGGTTTTCAACTTCAGCGGGTGTCACAGAATATCCTTTGGGTTGGGCAGCCGCGCCGTACTACACTCCATTTTCTATTTTGTGACATCTGTACGCTCACTATTTGCGTACTATTCTGACCGTGCCTGAATTGAGTTTGCATGAGATAGCGGTGACCTGTGTTGGCCTTTGCCTCTCGAGGAATAGAACGCGGTGGCTTTGACCCGACATTTGGAGATGGACGAAAGTCTGCTGCACATGACGGTTCACTACTTAAGTACCTAGGTACCTAGTAGGCATGAACAGCTCTCCCGGCTTGAATTATCTACTCGTGTGTTGTTGCCCTCAGGTGCCATTGCTCGCGCGCATTTTGTGAAATCGAAGCCGCATGACAGCCTGAGACTTGTACAGTTCCAAGTTATTTGCCCGTAGTCGTTTGTGCTGTGCATGTACGTCTGAAGCCTCTGTCAAGGATCCTCCTCGTTGGCGTACTCGGTACAATTGACATCACATCGGTGAGGCAGCACCAGTCCATCCAGCAACGTGTTCCACACAGACCACACAAACTGACTCTGTGCTCTCAGTGGTGCATTAATGCCTGAACATCTGGACCTTGTTGTGCGACCCTGTCGTTCTGCACTGCCCTGGGCCATTGCTGACGTCTATGGCGCTAGACCTGTTCTGGACTTGGGACCCCTGCAAGCCCGGTGGTCACAACAACCTCTGCAATTTCCCACATTCTTTGTGTCCACCTTGGCTGTCAACCAGCCCGATCAGCCCAGCCATCCTTTGTTCCATCGAGCACAATTCCAACTCCCAAACCCATCCACGGCGAGGGGGAAACCACAGCGACAGGCGACAGATTGCTTCTGCCGCTGCCGTCTTGCGCTACCGACCTTATTTCCTTCGCTATTCTTACCGATACTCTCGTTAATTTTCGTCATCTCGATTCTCTTCGTCCCTCCTTGTTTGTGTCGCGCTCGGTGCACCAAGTCGCGTTCCGACCGCTGCGTTGAACGTTTTCCAAATTTAGGAGTCACCGCGAGAAAATTGCCATGCCCGTCTCTGCATCACAACCATCGACTCAACCATTTTGTCCTTTGCGACTCTAACTTATTCTCGCGCTCATTTTGTTCCCGAATCTCGACGCCGACCGACTTTTCATTCCTTTTCGTCGACACCATCTCGTTCCCGACCGAGCAGGCGGGTCAACATCGCCATGCGGTTGCCCTTTCGCCAGCACCGCTCAAGGCGTCCGCCTGCCTCCACGATCTACTCAACTTTTTTCACTCTGGCAGCGTTGGGGCCAATCTTTTCAGAAGCCATTCATTTTAATCCAGCCCCGCCCGCGAATCTCGACTTTTCTAATCTCGGCCGAATAGCAATCGCTGGCGACTTCAATGGCATCTCCCTTTACGAGTACGAGGGCCAAATATCAAAACCCCTTCCCACAAATGGCAGCGAAGCCCTCCTTGCCAGACTTCCCAATGGCGCTTTGGCACCCGTTGTGTCTACTGACGCGTCTATTCGAGCAATGTGCCTATTACACAACGACGACGGCAAGTTGAAGGGAGTGGTTATTGGTGGCAACTTCACGAGTATTGACGGGACGCAATCAACAGCAATTGCGCTCTTTAACCCCAACACAACCGAAATTTCTCCTCTGAAGGGTCTGGAGGGTGAAGTTAATGCTCTATATTGCGACGACAGTCGGAAAACTGTCTATATTGGTGGCAATTTCAAGGCGTCAAACTCTACCAATGCAATCGCCTGGACGGACGCAGACGGCTGGTCAAATTTGCCATTCGCGGGCTTCAACGGCCAGGTCAATGCTATTTCCAAGACCTCCAATGGTCACATTGTATTTGGGGGTAGCTTTACCGGTTTAGGAAACACTTCTACCCCGAGCCAACCCGATAGCCAAATTATCAATCTATCCGGCGGCAAGGTTACCGCCACAAATGGTGCGACCACCAATGGATTCAGCGACCCCCAAAACATTGTATGCTCGGCAGGCACGGACGGACCTGGCAGCACTTGGCTTGCAGCTGACAACCTTCCCGCCACCTGGGAGGCCGATTTCGGATTCACATTCCAACCCACCAAGCTGCGGCTGTACAACACTCGCCAGGACGGTCGCGGCACCAAGACGTTTAGATTCCTTGCATTCCCATTGAACGGCATAATGAACTTCACCTACGTCGACCCGTCAACTGGGAAAAATGCTTCCTGCACCAGTGAATGCCCTCTCAGCAATGATCCCAATGTCAAATTCCAGGACTTTCGCTTTGTCAATCGGGTCGGCATGGACAGCTTCCAGGTCGCCATATCAGACTGGTACGGATCTGGTGCAGGGCTTTCTGGCATCGAACTCTTCCAGGATGACATGTTCGCATACGCCATTAATAATTTCAACGAACCCAATTGCAAGGGCATCCAGTTCCCGTCGACTGCGACAGCTACCGGACCCTGGACAGAGGCACCATCGGTCCAGAGCAGTTCGGATTACCTCGTGGCAAAGTTGAGCGGCGGCGACATCAATGACAAGTCTGCTTCGGTTGTATTTACCCCCAATATCGTAGAATCTGGTAACTACTCCGTCAACATGTACACTCCAGGATGTATGCCAGATGGAAGTTGCTCCGCACGAGGCCAGGTTAATGTCACGGGCGTCATGTCAACCGGCACGATCGACGCTGGTTTCAGCACGACACTCTATCAAACAAATTATTACGACAAGTTTGATCAAATATACTTTGGTTATATCGAGAAGAGCTCGGATAGTTTCAAACCCACTGTCACCCTTACACCTCTGGCAGGTCAAAACCTTCAGTCCCTCACAGTCGTCGCTCAAAGAGTAGGATTCACTCTCACCAAGTCGACTGGAGGCCTCAACAGTCTGTTCGATTTTGACCCAGAACAAAAGACTGTAGATGTATCCAGCCTGGAGAAGTCGCCAATCAACAAACTGGGCTCCGAATTCGGTCGAAGCTCGGCTGTCACATCTCTGGTCACGTCCGGCGACACACTATTCATTGGCGGAAACTTCACTTCCAAGAATTTTGTCAATGCTGTCGCCATCGGCGGCGACAAGGACACGACCAGCCCACTTGATGGCGGCCTCAATGGTCAAGTTCTCGACATGCACCTTGAGGGAACACAACTGTATGTCGGTGGCAATTTCAACAGCACCCTCAACGGCGATAAAGCACTGGGCCATGCTGCCCTGTATGACATCAAGTCGAATTCGTGGAATGTTCTGGGTGGTGGTGTTGATGGCCCTGTGGAACACGTCGTCCCCATGCGAATCAATATTACATCTGACAAAACAGAAACCGTCATCGGCTTGAGCGGGACGTTCTCACAGTGCAATGCCTTTCAGAATAACAGCATTTCTCCTGCAGAGGGCTTCGCTATCTGGGTTCCGTCTTTGCAAAACTGGCTGCAAAATATCGACCAGCCTTTGCCCACATACAACGGCGTGCTCACTGCTAGCCTTGAGAATGTTGCGGATGTTGGTGACCTCTTCGCTGGTTCGTTGACATCAGCACAGCTTCGTGCAAACGGAGCTGCCACCCTCAGTACACGTGGCCTAGGACCTTTCCCGTTCAAGATCGAAGCTACGACCAGGTCCGCCTCCAAACTGCACCGCCGTGAGAGTATTTCCAACGATACGCTTCGAGGTGTTATCACTGGTGCTTTTTACAGCACTGACAGCTCCAACATTACCGTGCTCGCCGGCCACTTTACAGCTAGTTCAGCCAATGGGTCAACCGTCAACAATTTGATGATCCTTGATGGCAAGGACAACGAGTCCATCACCGGGCTAGGTTCAGGCATATCCGCAGATTCTACATTCATCACTGTTGCTCTTCAGGGAAGCGTCTTGTATGCCGGAGGAATGGTCTCTGGTACAATCGCAGGCAAGCAGATCCACGGCCTTTTGGCTTACGATCTTTCGTCAAAATCATTCGGCAGCCAACCTGCGCCAATCTCAGGGAGGAACAGCACCGTTGCTGCCATCGCTGTTCGCCCCGATACGTCTGAGGTGTATGTTGGTGGCTCGTTCGACAAAGCTGGTGCTCTAGGCTGCGAGGGTCTCTGTATTTACAATTCTAACTCAGGGCAGTGGTTTCAGCCAGGCAATGGCCTGTCAGGTGAGGTCCTGGGACTCATGTGGTCCAGCAAATCAACCCTCGTTGTAGCAGGCGACCTACAGGCCAACAGTACGGAGAAGCGATACTTGGCTACCTATGACGCGAAGCAGCAGACATGGTCAGCCTTCCCGGGAGCTGAGAGTATACCCGGACCAGTTCAGGTCATGACGGCTGGATCAAGAGACGGAAACCAGGTGTGGATTGCGGGCAAGTCGGCCAAGGACGGATCAGTCTTCCTCATGAAGTACGATGGTAGTCAGTGGCTGACTGTTAATGGAACCCTTCCCGCGATTACGATTCTTCGAAGTCTGCAGGTTTTCTCGCTCACCAAGAGCCACGCCAGCACACAATTGTTGGGCGAAAACCAGGCACTCATGATGACTGGCTCGATCGTTATACCAAACGTTGGCATCGCCTCGGCAGCAATTTTCAACGGCACCCATTATCTTCCCTACGCTCTGACAACGAACTCCGGCAACGTGCCTGGAACCATTGCCAGAATCTTTACTCAGAAAGACGATTTCTTTTCAACGGGAGGTGGCAGCATGCCACTAGGCTTTGTTGTCCTCATTGGGCTTGCCATTGCACTTGGCCTAGTCCTTCTCATGGTCTTGGCTGGCATGATTTTGGACCGGCTTAGGAAGAAGCGGGAGGGATATATGCCGGCTCCAACTTCAATGTATGACAGAGGCAGCGGCATTCAAAGAATCCCCCCTCACGAACTGCTAGAATCACTGGGCAGAAGTCGACCCGGGGCAGCACCCCACGTTTGAAAGTCGTCGTTGTTTTCTCGCAGCCTTCCTTTCCCACAGCTTACCTTGATTATTGCCTGGCGTTGATTTGGCGTGTGGAGTGGATCTTTTTTTAATATCATAACTGAGGATGGTCGAGCATTAGAAAAGAGGCCCATATCAATCCTCACTCGACAGGAACGGAGGACGGTAATCCTAACACTGCAAATATTTTCCATTGTGCATATCAGAGGCAGCAAACCAGCTTCTTGTCTCTTCTCTACACTTTCTCTGCATTTGCCCGTCATTTCACGAGACTACGACTACTGGCTAATGTATTGCCATTTTTCTCACCCATCACCAAGTGAATTTTGTTGGTTGGGTGTTGTCTTTGACCTTGATATGTCTTCTTGTTTTTTCTTTTCTTCTTTTCACACTATCATATGAACGTTCTATTACTTGACCGTTCTTTCTCCTTTTCGCAAGCCTTTGTTTTCTTATCTGCCGTTCACCAGTGTATATTACCTTCAGCGCAGTCTCCGCCACTGAGACTGTCGGCATATTTATTTACTTGTCGTCCCTACTTGGGCGTGAGAGACGGGGCGATGATGAGATGGGGGGACGGAATGGTCAGGCACTTTTAGCAGAGGAAGGAATTATGCCATTCTAGCGTTGACGACGGTGGCAAAGGATATTGGTTGATTCCCAGTGTAGATCCATGGCAAATTAATCTGAATGCGGAATTTCAAAACGAATACTCCTCGAACATGGGTGACGCTGACGACACTTGGAAGTGAGGCAAACAGGTCGATGCATCTAGTTGCTTGCCAGTCAAACCGTTGCATGACACAATTTGTCCCATTATCCACGGTTCCATATCTTTACGTATGTCCATCCCGATCGCCAGCTACATGCAGTGTTGAACCTCACAGAACACCAGTGTGGAAGTCATCAATCTCATACTTACTAAATGCGACGGATATGGCCATCAAGGTCTTTTACTACGTCAGGAGGTCAGCAGACACGCGGCCCTGTGTACTCTCCTCTATGATTGATTGAATCGAAACTCCTTATCATTATCGATGAAGGCATTGCAAGGTGGTCGGTCGGGTCTGACGACTGGGACATGGCCTCACCAGCAAACAGGGAGTGACTTGACTACCACCACACCCTACGTGCTGGGTAGTTTGTCATAAAGAATTCAATTTCTCATCCTTCGGAACGGCCCTTGATACTATTTAAGGGACACGCACTAGCATGTGTGCAAAACACGCGGCTTTATGCCACATAGTCATTGTACATATATAGTGCCCTTGTCCTTGACAGGTTGTAACCCTCAGAAACCCAGCCCAGCGCGGTCTTCTTGCCAGCAAGCCGCGCTCTAACCAATCCTCCCGGCAGTCACGCCACGTTGCATATCGGATCTTCTTGGCCCTCCCACACGAGTGCCAAAACAAAAAAAAGCGATTGCGCGTCTTTGATAGCATGAATTTGGGGAAAGGGCCCCTCCCCCTCCCCTAGCCCATTCGGCATAAAACGCTACGACCGTACGACGAGTGTAAAACACGCCCTGGTAGATGCTGAAACGGCAGCCCTATGAGGAGGGTTGATGTTGTTGTCTTCTGATTTGTGCAATCCCATGGGCCGGAATGAACTGATTTGATTCTCTGTTCTTTATAAGCGTGCTGGTTATATTTGTAATGTGAGATGCTTCGAAATACGCATGGGAAATATTTCCTCCATGGGTGTTCCTGGACATGTCTGCCCCCATCCCCGCCTCCCCTTGGTGTCCTCTGCATCAGAGAGGAAAGTTTGGTACCCGAGAATAGCCCTTGTCGATGATGAGAAAATGGCCGGCTCTTTGGTCGGAGTTTCGGGCATGAGAGCAGTTGTGTCGACAAGATCATAATCCCGCCTGCTTGTCTTGGAAGCTGCAGCGCTGATGGTTGTCTTTTGCTTCGACATGGCTGTACATACATAGACGCGGAGAGGTTTTCCTATATTGGCTCGTGTTATTACCACGCGGGCAAGGGTCCCTAGTGTGCCCTGTCGCGGGACGATTTATCGCTGAAGAGGCGTTTCAACGCCCGCCTTTTTCTTTTTTCGCATGAGGGTTGATTACTTTCGGCACCTTGTTATCGAGCTAACGTTGACGAAGATCATGGAACTTTCGAGATGCGATGTCATGTGTGTCTCTTTGACGGCGCAAGGTAGCGAATAGTGGAAACACGGATGCAGGTCATGGGCACCACGATCCCGGCCCCATTTTGATCGGGAAGCTGTGTGCAGATTTTGATGATCGTCCGATCTGATCGACGTGGAAGACGGCTTCTTTGCAGCTGTCATCGTCGTCGGTGGGCTGTCTTTTGGCCGGTTTAAGCAGCCCTTTTGCGATTGACAGACCTAGTGCGCCGGAGATTATTAGCAACGTGTCTTCTGGTACAAATTAATCCATGTGTCACGAGGCGGGATCAGATCATGGCTGTACCGGGAAGGTCGGGGGTTTGGAGTTTTCTCCAGCAGATTAGCAAGGCTGATCACTGGGATGGTGGACGTGGATATATCATGAACTTTTTGTGGGCATCAGACAGCGAATACATGTACATACAAGAGAGGAAACCGGGATATTGAAGGAGTCAAGACAAAGTAAAGTAGGTCATGAGATGCCATGCGCAAGCAGAGAAGATTAAGGCTGTCACTCAATGTCGGACGAGGGGTGTCCTTGCAGTTTATCACATGGCAGCACATTTCTCCCGTTCAATGACAGCTCACCATCAACCAGGTTTTTACTGACGCAACATTGTATTGAAGCGAATCCTCTCAGCTATTCAAAAGCTAATGCTAGGCAGGCTGGGTTATACCCCAGGATCATCTTTGTCTCGCGAGTACATATCAGTGTTGGTACCCGGGGTCACGTGTTGTGCCTGTCGATTATCAAGGCAGGCATTGCTTCCCGCCTTGCTTGTTTCTTCGTCCTCCATCACACCTTGTCGCTGGCTGGCTGCAATGCTGGTGCTTGTTTCATTCATGCGATCTCTTGTGTGCCTGTTGGGAAACTTGGATCGCCTCTCGTTGCTCTGCCGCGATCTATTGCAAGGAGTCCTCGTGGGTAATGGCTCGATGTTCGTATGGTTACCATGGATATTCCATCAAAGCTCCGTGCTCATGGACACCCGGTCTTCGGTACAGGTTCAACAAATCCTAGGTACCTAGGTAGTTGGTTACCTCTCAAGTCTGCACACTAATTGAGGAAAGGGAATTCGACTACTCGCTGGGAAATGGCATAATGGTTAGCCGTTCCATCGCGTATCCTCCGCTACTTCTTTATCGTTGACCATATGCTGACCGAGTGTGCTCTATCAATTGTCGCACGTATAGCAGTTACCACTGGCTGACTGAATGTAAAGCTAGGTTTATACCCCAAACGCCATTACAAGTCCACGTCTCCTAATTAAAACAATGCCAGTTTCAGCCATCCTAGGCCATATTAACAGTCGATACAACCGATTCCCAAGAATGAACCATCGTCCCATACACATACAACCAAAGGGCAAAACATGTACCCCCACGCTTATTCTGTGTTCGGAATTATACAACAGCTCCAGACACACATGGCAACGAGATCCCGGAACTGCCTTGGTCCTTGTCATCCGGGGACTCTGCATAAAAACCTCCACCGATGAGTATGCAACTTGGATGATCAACAAGGCTGAAGAACAAAAATAGCACATGGAGCAAATCTATTTTACAATCATCTCCCGAGGCTCGCAGTGTCGGAGAGTAAAATCAAAAACAACACCGCGGGGATACCCACAGGAAAACAAAATCAATCATGCCTCCCCATACTGATGTATCAGAGGGCATTCCGAATTTTACTAGCAGCCATGCTGGTTGTGAAACGACCATGCCAGAATGCCTGGCCATGTCCCGCCTGTAGTGTAAACTCAAGGCTTTCCCATCGTAGGTACATATGTACGCCTGCCACGGCAAGGACAATCTAAGTCGACGTCTTTACCACCACGCCCCTTCCCCCCTTTTTCTCAATTCCTGCCCCCTCCACCAGTTTCTAGTCTCCACCCCCCTGGACCGGCTGCTTGAGACCAACCAAGATGCCGCAAAATGACGTTACGGGTACCGAAAAGCGGGACTTGGCGGAGCCGCTGACGTCAAAGCTGTCGACTAATTCAACGACGACTGGAGCTACTTTGCTGGCTGTGACAAAGGAGTGTGTGTAGGAAGCACCATTTGGATAACGACAGAAATGCCACCAACACCACCAGCACACCAATTAGGCTGAACAAAGGTTTTCATGACTTTATTCTGCCACCTTTTGCTCGTGTAAAGTGGAATTGGTGTCAGGAGTATGACGTCATAGGACCTAGTTTTCTCGTGCTCGCCTCGGTTTACAGACTTGCAGGTCGATCCCAGACACCGACCCTGAATATCAAGAATCAGGATACACGTACCAATTCGACATCTTATTCTTTGCCACGGCGCCCCGACGTCATACCTACCGGGCGGAGGGGGGCCGGTGCCATGTTCAGCACCATCCTCTTCCGCAATCCAGGCGATGCATTACGGCGATGATCCTCCCGCAACAGGAATACTACTCAAAAGGGCACTCACATGTCTTATTCCCTCGCAACTCCGGGGAGGATTTCCAGATAGAATACCCCGTACTGACACAACTTCGTCATGTCTACATACACCCCCCCCTTTCGAAAGTAGACTTTTCCTTTTTCCTTATTTCTTTTGCAAGTGGACAGACCAACATGCATTTTGCTAAATCTCCACTAAAGTCGCCCAGTCGCTCGGTTGCACGTCGTGAATGCTGTTCTTGGTCTTACTTTCCCAGCTGTCTGGCGCGTAAAAGCGGCGCAACGCATTACAAGCTTACGAGTACTTTTTGTCCAAGGGGAGTTAGCGGGCGAGCGAGCAAGAAGAGGTTTACGAGCGGAGCGGCGATATCAAACTTTGTGATACATCGTCCCCAGTGCTGCCGCCGAGCTAAGACGATCCATACGCAACGGCCGGGGGGAAAGCTTGGCTTTGTCTCCCCTCCTTTTGTGTGAGGGTGTGACAAGCCGTGGCTGGGGAATTTGGTAGTGCCAGCAGACCGGCAAACACCCAAGTCAAGCTTTTTAGGACCGCCACGATCCCTACCAGGGACAACGTGGGCTCGTCTTGTCGTTTGAATCTGATCTGAGTGATCAGCCACGGCCCTGAACATCATCCCTACCAAATACATCCGTGGATAGACAGGAAGGAGACTGAATCCGGATAGAGGCTTAGATCTTTGTACAGTCTGTGGCAGAAGGCGATTGTCCCCGAAGAAGTATACACTAATACTGCAGCACATGGAGCGCGATAGCGAGGTATCTGATCCGGTCATATTTTTTGGCCCCCTCCCCCCTCCCCCACTGTATGTTTTGTGCCGCAACGCTGGATCTCGTGGTCTTTGGCGGGGCTGCCGGCTTCGGGGAAGATGGGCAAGTGAGTTGTCGGAGCCGACCCCTTGTGAAGTGAAGTACGGAGTACTGTACGGAGTATGTACCCCAGGCTCTCTGTCTCTCTCTCTCTCTGCCCTCAGCCGCCCGGCGTGGACGATATAGTGGCACAGAGCCTCCATACCATTGGAGCATACCAGAAAAGTACATGTACAAAGCCGTCGTTGTTCGAGTGTTGCAAATCGTCACTCTTCAGAGCGCCTGAGAGGAATCGTGGGCCAGGGCCACGCATCTGGGAGCGTGGTTGGTTGGCTGCGCGGCACATCGTCGCGCAATGCCTGGATACCACGGCGATAGCTCCGGAGCCAACCAGGCATGGACCCTGGCCCTGGGTCCTGGGGGTCCTGGGGGTCCTGGGGCTACCTACCAGGACCAGCCGATTAGGGTAAGCCGGCGAAACTCAGACATCTGGGTATTGAACAAGAAGAAATCACAGACCATGGAAGGGGGCGGGAGTGGCCCTGAACAGGTAAGCTACCCGAGGCGAGCATGGCACAGCGGAACACGAACGACGAGCAACAGAGCTAAAGAAGCACGTGCGAAGGATATCTGGCGACATCTGTCATGGCCACGCGGTTAAGCTCTTTGGCTATTCATGTTGGCGGCATCTTCTCCACACGACCACGCAGGAGCATTCAATCAATGTTTAAAGTAGCCATGGATATGGATGGTGGTGGTGAGAGAGCGCAAGGCCAAAGTCGCCAAGTACACGGTGTGGCGGACTCGAGGATTGACTGTACGGATACCAGACACCCCCCACCCCTTGCACTGATCCATGTCCACAGTGCGGCAGTCCGGGGCTCACACAGACCCCACACACGAGGTCTCAACTCCCTCAACGACATTTCCGTAATGTTATTTTCTTTCAATGTTTCCCCCCTGTCGCTCTCCCCGACCCCACAAAAGCTTGTCCGGTCTTGACAACACCGCCATCTGGGTCACTTGTGCTCCTTCAAGAATTGATGTTCGTCTCTGAAACGCCCGTGCCATACCATACCTGCTCGAGTATGTGATCTGCCGGGGTTGCCCAAGTTACTTGGCCGCATGTCTTGCTCCCCCTTCACCCCTTCAGCCTTCTGCCCTCGAAGCGTGTCTTTTTGTACATGCGACGCATAATTCCAAGACATGCAGCCATTCATTCATTCTCCTTGTTTTCATCTGGAAGCTGGGCCATGTTCCAGTCAGAAAGTGACGTGCACAATACAGTTGCTCACCAAGGAAACCAGAGAGGCACGCATGTACATACGGATTGACCTTGACTGCTCGGCATCTCTCCGGCAAGGCACAAACCAGCCGCCAGTGGAGGAACAGCTTGCGTGGCTTGACGACACAAGTCAGCCGAGGAGGAATTCCCCTCCAGCATCATCAAGTTCTGACACGCAGTCCAAGGCTCCACGAGCGGTTACTAGTAGTGATTGTAGTTCTGTCGTCAAAAGTTTTTAGGGCAAAAAAAAAAAAGCTTAGCCTCCCCGTTTCCCAATCACCTGCCCCTGCGCCGGCAGTCTGCTGCCATGCCATGTTGCTTCTGCCCACCCCGTCTCGTCCCATGTTTTTGCTTCTTCCTTCACCCTCCTGCGATCACCACTCTTCGTCTTCTCCATGTATGGATGGCAGCGCCGTGTGGCTCACCCGCCGCCACCACATTGCAGAAAAAGGGGACTCACCAAGCCCCCTAGGTAATATCGCGGAAGAGGCGCTGGAGCGGGCGGCGGCCACCCACCCCCCCCTGAAGTAGTCAAGTCAAGTCAAGTCAGTCGCCTGCCTCTGGACAAGCTCTGCTTTGCCTGATACTGGCCCAGGGAACGACAGACAGTACGGACTATGGAGCATCGTCTCGGGACAGCTCGTCGAATGCCCCCCGTTGCAATTCAATTCCCGGTACCGGGCAATTTCAATTTTGCATCTTTTTGTGCGATAATGCATGCCAAGAGCCCATTCATTCGGTATAAGCCACCGCGATGAGCCCTGGCCCATCGGCCCATATCAATCCAAATCCTCAACGTGTCGTGCCTATTCGCCGCAGCAAGAAGTAAAATAAATTAAAAGGGAGCCAACCTCGGTGGTAACACAGGCCCACCAGGCAAATGCACGATAGCCGTTTCACTCGGCAACGTCATTCCATTCTCGCCGAGTTACAGACTAGCAAATCTCCCATGGCAAACTTGAGAAATCAGGAAGGTCGCTTGTATCCTTCTTCGAAAATGCCGGTTGGCCTTCTATATTGAGTAACACTCGTTTGAAAAGTGTGGAGAGGGCGGTGCAATGCAGCAGCGTCGCAGGGAGGAGGAATAAATAGAAACAGGCGGTTTCGCCACCATTGATTGCGCCTGGGTCGTGACCTGGCAGCTGTGTGTGGCCTTGGCCTTGCCCTACAACCCGGGGCCACGGCTGCTGCCATCCATTCAGACCTCCGGTATGAGCCCGAGCCGTCGGTGCAGTGCGGATGGGGGAGTGGCAGTGCGTCAGTTTGAACATTGCAGATTTGGAAGGCCATAAACTCTCAAGGCCTGACGAGGAACAAGCGTCCCATCCTTGACCGCCTACGAGCCGTTACAGTGAAGTGGGTAGTACGCATGCACGATACTTTGTGTGGCACTATCTCATGGAAGATATCGAATTCTCTCAACCTCGTGTGTATTTGCGAATCGGGTATATATCATTGTTCACATAGAAACTATTCGTACAATTGGTTGTCTGACCAGTGTCAGCCTGACCAACAGAGGTCCACCATGCATTGAAGTGGCCTTTCATCAGCTTCCTTTCCAAAATCCCGTTCCCATTCGTCCCGTGTTTCGTCCATCGTTCTTGATGCCCCCCATCCGAAATGATGCCGGGGCTCCTCGCCTTTTGCCCGCCTTGGGCATTCGGAAAGGATGTGTTGCGCACAACATGAACGCTGCCAAATAAACAAAAGACGTAGCAATCCAATGCATTTTCCCCGTGACAATCTAGCTCCATGGAGCAACTTGGGGAAGCAAAAGAAAAAAAGGAAAAGAAAGATATATATCCAAAACCCCAAAAACGCCATGTGCAAGCCCCACCTCATAGAAAGCGAGTCAAATCCCTGATTCGACTGCTCTGGTAAACCCTTCACGTACTCAATGCCACATTGTCGCAAAAAAAATATATATCATGTACAGCGAAAGGATGTGGCAGACCGCCCCTTCAGCAGAAGAGGCTGAAGTCCTGACACAGTCGCAAATGCACCAACCCCCGCTTGAAATCAAGGAATTCGAAGCAACCGTATTATCATGTACATGGTCGCATCCCTGTCCAAATTCTGTCCGCCTAGATATTGGGAACCAAAGAAACCCATTAAATTTTGACCGCCTGCTCTATTTTCTCATCATCGTAGTTGTGTATCTCCGGTAAGGTATGAAACATGACGGGAATATTCGTTAATGTTCGATTGTCGTCGCAAGCCAAGCCTTACAGAGCCTCTATGCCCCGGTTCGTCGTGGTGCTGGAAAACCGACACTGATGGTGCGGAATAGCCAAATCTAGTCCGATTGATGGTCTTCAGACCCAGCTTCCGAGCGAGCGTCGCCCCGATGGACTTTTCGATGTCGTCGTAGATTGGAAACGACTGAAAAATGTCGCCCACACCCTTCAACCTCGCAAGCGAAAGCTGATTTTCAAGGTCAGTATTACGATGACATTTTCTAACTTGAGTAATAGATCAACAAAGGGGGACATACGCTTCTCGCCGGTATGACTGTACATATGTGTCTGCAGTGAGCTCGGTCGAGTGAACCTCTTGTCGCAAACCTTGCACTTGTGCTTCTTCTGCGTGCTTGAAGAAACTTTTGAGCTGAACTGGCCCATCATGGATTGAGGCGCAGGGGGGATTTGCGAGCCAATGAGGCCTTGGGGACGAGGCAATGTCCGCGAGTTGGCGGATTCAATATCGGAGCCAGCAGCTGAAGAGTAGTCTGATACCGAGTCACCATAGTATGAGCTGAAGTTCCCACTTGAGGAAATTGAGGAGCTTGTAGAATGCGTAGAAGGGAACCCATAAGAATCCACAGAAGTGCGGTCATTTCGCGCACCGTAGATATTACGGGGAGTATCTTGGCTCATGGCAAGCATGCCATGGCTTGCGTCCAGAGCATCAGCAAAGCTCCTTCGCTCATCGGCTTGAGAAGGCATCCTAATAGCAAGATTAGTACATTGCATGTTGAGTCAAAAGCCCCTCGCGGATGGTGAGGCTAGGCAAAAACTAACGGCTGAGGAAATCCTCGTCTCGCTGAGTCTGCCTCATGGTTGATACTAAAAGCAGACTGTCGTATAGGGGCCGGCGCATAACCAATAGCATCATAAGGAGCAGTAGATCCCGGCACAAAGTGGCCGTTAACCGGAGAAGCAGAAGTAGCATAGGTGGTATCACCATAGGCAGCAGATGTAGTCTGCATACGGTTCAAAGTCAATAGGTCTGGACATTGTGTTAGAAATCCCAAACGATGAAACTAATTCTCCAAGTATGCATGTATATCTATATATACACAAACATTTATAAGTGGTAGCCATACCTGCACCCGTGGTGGCGACGGGTAATGATCCATATGATGCCATTGATGATGCACTGCTGGTGCTGGCTCTCCCTGCGGGCCCCTTGCCGGGCATCATGTTCATTCCGGGTTGATGTTGGCTGCCAACAAACAAAGGATTTCCAGGGGCAGGTGCTGATTGTGGAGGAGCTGTTGATGATGACCACGGATTCGAAAATGTCGGTGGTGGCCCATGGTGAGGGTAGTCGAAGTTCAACGGAGGCGCAAAGCGCTGCTGTTGAGAGGCGTCTAGGGTCATGGTCATGTTGATACCAAGGCTAATACGATTGCCAATGATGCTATGGTATTGATCTTGGTGTCGATGCTGTGAAGAAGAAATGAAGGGTTATAGCAGTTTCTCAGAGATTGTGACGGTGTATATATATGGACGGCGGCGCAAGACCCAACGCTCAATGGAAAGAAGCACTTGCGAACAACCAGTGGTGACTGTAGACAGAAAGAAGGTTTGTTGATCAAATGCGGGATTCTGACTAGAAAGAAAGCCAAGTCTGTAACACAGATCAGAGACAAGAAGATCCCGCCTAGAGATGGAGCGTGTTTGTCGGAAGCCAAGGTGGGATCAGCGAAGTCTTAAGTGCCCACGGCTCTTAAGTTGACGTGCGTCAGTTCAGGCCTCAGAGCAACTGGCCTGTGGGAGGACCAGTAGACTTCTTCGTGTGCTTAGCAGAAGCAGGGTGTGCGACAACTCTGGTCTAAGTGATCAGCAGCACGATGTCCCTTTCCAAATGGCCGAGGCGACAGGGTTGGGACGATGAGGTAGGGTAGCAGCCAGAACCGACCAGGGGGGTGTGGTCTTTAGACGTTGGCGCCAGGCTAAGCGTGGGTTTTGGGGGGGTGGGGGGGGGACAGTGTGAGCATGTAAAGACGGCGGATTGCTGGACGCTGGGCGCTGGACGTTGGCACTGGATGACGATGGAGTTCGAGGAGACGTCAGTCCCACCGAACCAGGATTGGCCTCACGGCACTGTGTGTACTCACCCAATCCTGGGCCAACAGTGACAGGATCAGCGACGTGTGCGTGCGTGGTGCCAAGATGCGTGCCGTGCTGTCAACCAGGGCGATAAGTTCTGGTATCGTGCTGGAGCTGGTGTGGCAAGCGATGCTGTGATGGCATGGGATGCGGATGGAGCGAGTAGAGTAGTCGAGAAAAAGCTGACTTGTCCGTCCTTATTCGACGTGAATTGTAGTAGTGTTCCGAGTGTGGATTAGACGGTCTGACAGGTTAAGAGCCTAACGAGCTTGTCTTCGCTCACTTCGCACAGCGTCAAGGGATGCATAACGACTGGCAAATGGCCGAGGGGTGGTGCATTGCGTCGTCAAGCCTATTACGAAAGCTCGAGTAGACAACAATGAGCCACGGTTAGTCTTATCGGGCGGCAATTGATGCAAATAGCAACACATGCGCACAACCCGTGGCAAGAAGAACCAAAAACAATGTCAAGAGAATAAGAAAAGTAAACGAAAAGAAGCCGGTGTGTTGGCCTCTGGCCAAGCAAAACGCAGAGGTAAAACCCAGTGGGTGTTGAAGATTACCGATATGGCGTCAAAGGCGGAACAGGACCAACATTTGGCTTGGACATGGTGGTAGTAGTCCTCCGTATTGTGCGAATGAAAAACCAACAAAAGAAGGAACATTGTGAAGGGACTTGAAAGTTGGACCCGGCAGACGGGCAAGGTCGATGCGAGTGGATACCGACACACAGGATGGGTCAAGTTTGCTCAGGTTCGTGCCAATCGAGGGTGGAGGATGTCGTCGGAGCCGGAGCTGGAGCCTGTTAGCGCAGCAACAGTATCCAGCCAGGTGAGTACTCCGTACGGAGTCAGTAACTCTTGGACCTTAGCACGGAAGTGGTCCGAGTGTAAATGTGGTCAACGGGCAGTAGTAGTAGCCTGTCTCGTGCAAAATCCAAATGGCTGCCAGACATGAAGCAAGCCGTGTCGAGTGGTAAATGGCCATGTTTCTCACCAGATGAAGCCCACGGCACTTTTGGGCGGCTTACCCTGGCCAGTTAGCCAAAGAGCCAGCCCAGCCCAGGGGTATGGACGAACATGGGAAGGCTTGAGAGAACGGAAACTGGAGCATGGCGCACGAGACACCATCAAGCCGATGTGGAGGGAATGAACGCCAAGCGGCCCCTCCAAACATAGGGCCCTTGTGAGGAAGGAACTCCAGAGGCCCGTGACTTGAGCTAGCACTATGGGATACCTTTGAATAATACCCGAGGCCATAGTCAGTAATCCAAGGGCGCGGTAACAAGTCGGTCCATCCGCCAGTGGGTCTGCTCCAATGCTTGGAGACACATGTGTTCTTGCACGCGCCGGCAGGTGAGGCTGCAAGAAGCGCATGATTAGAGGTGCTCATCTTTGTCAAACACTCGAAAAGAGCACTTTGAGGAGATGGAGAAGTGTGAGTGGGCGATGAGTCGTCGTGGTGGTAGTGCCGCTGCTGAGCGGGATCATGCAGGGTCTGGGAATTACCGTCGGAGACGTCGCGGGCACAACAGTCCAAGCAAGCAGTCAAGCAGCCAACTTGCCATTTGATCCATCTTCACATTGCAGCACCCCCAAGGCGGTTTGATCAATTGATTGCCATCGCCCATCATCTGGGCGTTGATGGGACGGGGGTGATGGGGTGACAGCATACGGAGACGGGCACGACGAGGGCGGAACTGAGAAAAGCGGGTCTTGGCACCTTGTCAAACCCGGCAGACGAGTGCAAGTGTGTGCGTGCAAGTGTGGCATGCTAGCCCTTGCTTTTTTGATCGCTTGCCTGCCTGATGGTTCTTGGATACCAGGCGTACTGGTAATGTTTCGTTCCTTCCTTGAGCCTTGAACCTACAGCCTTTAATTCGCCGTTCCGTCCCGCCTTCCAGCCTGCCACAGTACTCCGTACTGCCCATTCTTGGCTTCCTTTGTCAATGCTTGTCTACAGCAGACGAGGGTAGCTGCTGGCTTGTGAAATCCGAAACGAAACCGTTTCATTCCAGACCCTTTTCTTGTATGTATTTACACCGCAGATTCGCAGCATAGGGGCAGACTCAAAAATTCAAGGGCTGCCTTCCAATACAACACAAATAACAGGTAGGCAGGTGTCGAAAAGCGCCATGGCTTCGCTTGCCAGACACCTGGTTTTGCAACGACTCTACCAAGTACGCTGCCAGCTCAACCACACCTGCAGCCTTTGGAACAACGTCTTTGTGAAGGCGACTGGAGGGACCAGTCGGCCGTATCCAGAAACTAACCAAGCGCCACAAAGAGCCAAGAGAGCTACGTAGCTAATGGATATGGCGGCGACACAACAGCCTTTACCGAAGACCTGGCAGTGGGAAAGCCGCTGACTTCACACCCGTTCGCCAGGTGCGGCAAACGAGACCGAGTACGGAGTACAAGTGAGGTCTGCTCACGAGTTGGTCTTCCAGGACACTTTTGGTACTATGCAGATGGCCGTTGCTTTTTGCTTGTACGCTGTACCTGTCTGGCTCTCTGGTCGACTGCTAATGGGCTGGTAATAGATTTTGTCCAAGTCCTACTCAAGTACGGAGTACCAGTATCCGCGGATTTCCACATGCAGCATCCACCAGCGTGTCTTGCAAGGCGTCCCGGGCGGTGATGCAAGGCTAAGAAAGCCAAATGCTCCATCATGGCACACATGCTTGCCTAGGTCATAACTCCAGCACAACACTGTTAGAACCACAGCGCTCTCACACCCACCCATAAGCATGCGGCTTGCTTTTTGAGCCGCGGTCTAACGGGGGCGTTGTCGTAGTGGACCGTTGAGCTGGGGATGAGGGGAAGAAGGTCCACGGAAGTGGGACAGCCAGAGACAAGCACCACTGCGGGCTGGCAGGCATTGTTGATGTAGCTGCAGGAGCAGACGCAGAACTCAGCCAAACACTCAAAAGCAAAAAGGCAGGCTTCCATGCCATGGAGAGCATGACCGCCGTGCGCCGTTGATTGGTACGGGGGCTAGGGTATCGACCGAGTGTTACCGTGGGTGCTGACCTGGATGGCGATATCGACCTCGTTGCTTCAACTAATATTACTCTGTATTTCGCTCCGCAATTGAGACAGGCGCAGCCTCGAACCCCAGAAGGGTTTCCCGTCTTAGCAGAGAGAAGGAAGTGCCTCTTATAGTGGCGGGCGAAGAGTGCATCTGCGACCGGATCAGGTGGCCGGTTATCACCCTCTATCCTACGTATATACTACGGTTTAGTGTGTACTTGTTGGTAGGCATATATTCTGCCACAGACTGTATGCCCTGCACTGTAGCAGAATCTCTTCATATCCCGAAAAGTAAGTCTATCAAACACCCATGGACCACAGCAGTCTAGCTAACAATAATGTTCTCCCGTTCTAATATGGACGCCACGCAAAGTCCCTAGGTTCAACAACATATCAAGCCGTCACCTACTTCATTCTCCAACTGAGACAGTCTGCGGGATCAGATGTCGTGAGGATTCGCGATGAATCCATCCGGGGCCGCGCATACTGGTCACGACACTAGACCCAAACTCAAAGTCGAACTCGGAACCTACAACGGTGGTGGTGATTTGTGTAACTCCGATGTGGAACTCCTATGCAGCACCAAGGGGGGGGGTCAAGCGGAGACTTACAGAGACAGTACATGCGAAGGACAGCAATTCTCGTAATTGGGAATCCGCCTCACCATCCCCGTCAACGGTTCTTCGTTACGGAGAATTTATAACAATCACGGGTAATGCGCTACAAGTCAAATTTCATCAGCAGTATTAGCATACATTTCAAGGAGGTGGTGATGCGAGTCCTCGGGCATTTATCGTGTCTTTTGGCATCAGCACCTTTGACCTTGCCAATTTGATATGCAACGGCCGCAAGTGACAAGAACCAAAAGCCTAGAGGGTTGGAATAGGTTCGCTCGCAGCCAGACGCCTGTGGTCTGTCCGTTATACTGGCATGTAGCTCGACTGAGTGTCAGGTGAAGTCGAGGAGGAGTTAATATGAGAAGGGCAACTGCCGCGAAACAAGCCGAGGCGGTGTTCTCATGGCGGGCGAAAATACCCACCACACAGACATATAAATCACCTATTTAACATGCTAAGCACTGCTGTTTAAACATCAACTGCTCCGGTTCGATGCTGGCCGACCTCTATAACGAAGCCAAGCACGCTAGCTCCACAGCCCGCCAACCGTACTAGTGCAATGCTTGGCTCTACTTTATCACAACTGTTGGCCACTAAACATCCTTGATCCAGACGGTCGCTTTGC